ATGGGACTTGGCGATCACGTCGATGCACTCTCCGTCAAAAAGAACAGCAGCAGCAGGGGCAAGAGACCAAGATCGCCCCGCCGCGCAACCACAGCATTCTCTCGTTCTGTAATGTTGTGAAGAAAGCCAAAAAGGACGACTAAATGAACTTCAAGAAACTATGTTGAATTACTAACTAACTACAAAGTGCAACTTGCGTGGAATTAACCAGCAAGGCGTCATCGGTGTCCATTCCACACATGCGGTCGATCGACTTGCACGTCTCTATGAGTTCGCCGTTGAACCTGAGTATGGCCTACACCACGGCGTGGCGCCTCTTCGTCTGGCTCCACGACGATTCGGCTGATGCCCTCCGTGGCGCAATACTTGGCCAGGCGCTCGAAACTGCAGCTGGGGTCGTTGAACTGATGGAAGAAGATCTGTTCTCCCTCGGTGTTGTTCATCACGTTGACTTGGTTCTCGCCATCCTCCTCGCCATGGCAGAACTCGCCGCCGAAGATGGTTTCCACGCAGAGACGCCTGCCATCGTCTAGATCCGCGGCTTCGACGATCGGCTCGCCATCAAGATTGAAGAGCATGATGTTTGCTTCGTCGCAGTTCTGCTGGGACTTGTCGGCATCGATCCAACGAGCGTGAAGCTGGACGGTAGTGGCGTTGAGGCAGCCCACCTTGGCGAGAAGAGACCGAACCACCGCCTCGGCGTCCTGGCACTGAGCGTCGACGTCGGGGACGATGCGCTCGTAGAGACCGTCGATGCTGCCCACCTGAGAGGCGCGACCCAAGAGAGGCCGCCTAGCCTCCCAGACCGCTGGCTGACCCGGCTGGTGGACGACCGGAGCAAGGCAGAGGCGGGAGTTGCACCCGCCAAGTCCCACGACGATCTCCCAGCTGAGGTCTCTCTCGCTCTCGTCGCTGGCCCACCGATCTCGGCGCCACTGCTCGGGGTCTGATGAGATGGCCTCGCGCAGGTAGGACGACACCGTCTCCGGCGTGACCGGGATCGTGTTGTACGCGACCTTCTCTCAGCCCGACGGCTGCAACGGCAAGGAGACGTCCATCCCGTCGATGTTGCACATCCGCGCCAGCTGGGCGATGAACTCTGAATCAAACATGCACTGATCCGAGAGGGCGGTGTCGAAGCCGGTCAGCAGCATCTGGTCCTGCTCTTGCTGTTGCTGCTGGTCCGGCGCGAACTGGAAGGCAGCAGACGTAGGGTAAACTGTGACCCCGTCCAACATCAGCTGCTGTTGACGATGAACAAAACCAGCTGACGTCACGACGGTCTCGTGTTCGCGCTGCTGGCGTTCGTAACCGGGCTGCTGTTGCTGCTCGACGTAGCTCTCGGGATCTGCCAAAGCGACCGGCGCAGCGTAGCAGTTGGATGAGGACGACGACGATGACGACGGAGGAGGGTTGTGGTGATGATGATGGTGATGATGATGATGATCGTTTCCGTCGGGCACCGGCACGCCGTAGGCGGTACAGGCCGCTGGCACGTAGCCGGGCGGGATGGTCATCATGACGTCCTTGAGATATCCGCGACTGATCTTGTACCTGACTGGAAGGGATTCGAGGTTCTGGTAGAGCCCGAGGAACCAAGGCAGGAGCGCACGAGACTCTTTGGGCGTCGGCACTGGACGGTTGGCGGACTTGGACATGGGAAGCGGTTGGTCCATGACCACCAAACGGGCGATGGCCATGGCCTTCTTGACACTGCTCCACAAGGGGCTCGAGACGGGGAAGTCCTGGATGAGCTTCAGCACGGGAGTGCACTGCCACTTCGAAGGCCTGCCGTCGCTGCTCGCCTCCATGGGTTGCTGGTATTGGAGAGCGACGTGGTGCGGAAGAGGAGGATGTTGCGGCTGCTGGGGGTATGGGTATAACCGGAGGGGTAGTATTGCGCCTGTCGCTGCTGGTACTGCTGATGGTCTGGCGGAGGCAGCAGGCTCGAGAATCTCTTGGGTGCCGCGGAGTCGTAGTCGACGTGGCGACGATGTCGGCTTGCTGCTCGGCCAGAGGCGCCACGGACTGGTAGACTGGGTCATGGTGGTCCGGTGTCACTTGGGCAGTTTTAGTGGTGTTGTACACGCGGTTGGCCTCTCAGGGGTGCACGCCATGATTACCCAATCAAAAACAAGGGGCAGAAAGAACTCAGTTCACCCATTCCCCAGGTACATGCTGAGTTCATATTCAAAACTTATTTACCCAGGCGTCCCCTGTGAGCACAGACAAACGACACAACCTTTCTATTCTTCCATACTGAGTTACAGAGATGTCCCCGTAAACGAAATTGCCACACTACGGGAAGATCATGGTGTTTTTGGTAAAAACTGACGCTGAATCTCCACAGTTGCATTGGTTCATTGGTCACATGTGAAAGACTGTGCTCCTAGGCGTGTACATGGCAGGTTCCACCGCGCCACCAAAATAGGCGCAATGGAGAACGTTAACACCCACTCAGACACGCCACTTGTGGGGGTCGTCCTCTCAGGTTTCCACATAGCCATTGCCCCACAAGTTACAATGGACTTGATGGCACGCCAGAAGTTGCTCTTGGGCATAAACTTAACAATGTCGCTGCCTCACCTCCATAGCGCCATTGTAAATGGCAGCCAAGAACAATGAACTCATGTGTGCAGCCACTGCCATTAACAGACTCCAATGCGTGAACTTGATCCACTCTGTGTCTTTGACATCATCACCGCCGCCGCCGCCGCCACCTGTGCTGGTTGTGCTCATATCTCTTCTCTCTCTAAATAAATGCATGCAATGTGATGACTGAACACAATGTTATGGACTTAGGATTGAGTCTATCGTCGCAACCATGGAGGTACTTGTTGTGCTTGTTGATGTTGATGATGCTGATGATGTGGATCAACATCCATACACAAGTCCATAGGATCGTCGCCGCCACTATTGATGCTAATGTCGTTCATCCCGAAAGTGGCGCCGATATCCATGGTCTGCTGGGGGAGGAACTGAAACGTTTCAGTGGGGGTGGTGTTGTTGCTGTTGGACAATGGCACTGACACTTGCCTTGCATACGTTCTTCGACGACTCATGCCCTGATGACAACAATGACAGTGAACATGATATGGAAAAGATATAACTAACCCTGCAAAATGAACGACTCTTGGAACTACCACAAACATCCTCTTTTTTATTGTTGTTGTCGTTGTTGCTACTGCTGTTCTTACATGAGATCGCTGATTTTCCTTCATCTCTGGGTGGTGGCCCCTTGCGTCGCCTTCTGGGCGCGTCTGACCGTTCTCATGTAATGGCTGGCAGCCACGATCCTGCCGATCATCGACAGAGGCTGCGGACGTGCCTGGAGTGCCTTGTCGACGTCGCCCTTGTATTGTGACTGATAGCCAGACTCGTGGAAAATCACGACGCGCGGGTTGGCTCAAATACTGCCAGGGTCGAGATCGTGGAGGAAGAGTCCGTCGAGGGTCTTCACGCGGGAGAAGCCAACGTAGCCTTGACTGTACTGGAAGATCTCCCTCATCCTGAGTTCCGCCTTCTCGAGCGTCATGCCTTGGACGCGGTGGATCGTGAGCGCCCACGCCAGTCTAAGGGGCAGTTGCCAGATTCGCCCCTCCATGGTCTTGGTGATGTTCTGCATCGGCCTGTGATGATGGTCTGCCTTCCCTCTCGCGCTGCTGTCGCCCGTTGGCCTTGAGGACTGGTGGTAACTGGAAGAAGTCGCCGAAGAAGACCACCTGGAGGCCACCGAACGGCAACTCTTCACGGCCTCTGTAGGCCGCGATGATGCGCTCGGCCTTGTCAAAGAACTCCGCGTCGAACATGGATATTTCGTCGAGCACGAGCACGTCGAGACCCCGCCACATGACCTTGGAGGGGTTGTTCGTACGTCTCTCCCTGGCTTGATTGACCAATTCCTCCATCGGAGCATCGCAAGCACCCATGCGGAGCAGGTAGTGGAGAGTGGTGCCTCCGATGGCCACTGCCGCGATGCCCGTCGAGGCCGCTTTGGCGACGTTCAACATTTGTGCCTCGAGACCCTCGACGATGGCTCGCAAGACAACCGACTTGCCCGTGCCAGCATCTCCAGTCACAAACGCGCTCCTGCGCCGTCCGACCACTGCATCGACCGGCCTGCTCTGTTCCTCCGTGAGGACGGGGCCATTCGATGGCGAGTTGATGCGCTTCTGCTGCTGCTGCTGCTCTTCTTCAGTGGCGTCGGCCTTGTGCTTGGCAGGTGGGGCGTTCAGAATGCCGCATGAGGAGTCCTCGTCATCCTGAGACTCGAGGAAATCAAGAAAGATTTCAATGTCCTCCTCCATAATCATCTTGAGATGGTCTGCTGTGCTGTGCTGTGTCGTATTGCCATTGTTATGGTGTGTATGAGCAAACAACAACCTTGCCTATTTGTAACTGAAAATCGATATTTCAATGAAATTTATGGCGCTGATAAATCCTTTACAGACCGATCTTAACACTCGTTGGACATGTCCTTGGAGAGGATCATGGCCTTGTGGATGGCCTTCTCCTGGAGCCTGTTGGCGGCCTTCTTCTTGTTGACGATGGTGTTCACGTTGGTCTGGAAGCCAGCGGCAAACATGGCGTCATGGAACACGCCAGCCAGGTCAGGCTCCAAGCTGATGAACTGGGCAATGTCAATGGGGCGCACATGGCCGCGGGTGGGCTTCTGCAGCTTGGAGTTGCCATTCTTGTCCTTGACCCTCCTGGTCTTGCGCTTGATGCACAACTCAATGCCACCATTGACGAGCCTCCACGCGAGGTACTGGAGGGCACCAGCCATCCAGGGGGAGCACTTGGCACGCACATTGCTCATACAGGCCTTGCTCTTGATGAGACCATGACTGCGGGCGACAGAGATGTTGGTTCAAGCTTCTTGATCATCAACAACATTTTTTCAGTGTGTTAGGGTAAGGGGTGGTGGTGGTGGCGGCCGAAGCCCAACACTGTGGTGCTCTCCAACCCACAGCTCATACAGAACACCTGGTAGAGCCTGTACAACCTCTCTCTGGGCACGAGTCCGCCTGGAGAGGGCAGCAGGGTTTTCAGGAGCCTGACTGACGTTACTTAGTGGTTGAGTTCAGGCTGCCAGGAGGTGCAGTACCATGCTTCTACTTCGTCCCTGGCTTGGTGTTGGTCCAGGTAGATGAACTGCTGGGGTGGTTGGTTCATGGGGCAAGAGAGGAATACAAGGAAAGCGGTTGTTGCGCTTCACCTCCTGGAGACTGGCCAAAGTAAAGTTAACTACCATCACATGGCTGGGAATCAGATGTTCTCAACAACGTCAGTGACTCTTGTAAATGCAGATCTTGGTCAAAATTGTACACGTGTCTTGTCAACTCCGAGTTGAAGCAAGCTGGTTGGTGTACGCCGAGCCACTCACAGTAAAGCCTTCAAGGTCCAGGCGCGAACAAAAGGCTGCCCTGGACCCAAGTATATTCACCTCCTCACCACCAACCAACCAACACAACCTAGCACCAGACCATACTGTTGGACAGGTTGGTGATGCGCATTTCCAGTACCGCGCTTTGGCTTCTCATGGCCATGGCCATAACGGTCGGCTCCTTCTCTGCTGCCTCCACCTCCTCCAGCACCATTGTGGATAAGTTCATCCATGGCCATGTGATCGTTGAATTCGAGTCCAAGTCAATGGCGCACCTCTTCAGACCTGGTCTGCTCAAGGAACAGCAGCTCAAGAGAGATTTGCTGAACGACGAAGTGGCGGGTATTGAGCACCACGCCACCGACAGGTACTCCCAGCTTGTTGCCAGTAATGTCAAGGCCAGGAAGCACCTGGACAAGTTGGAGACAGAGAACAAATTTCTTGAGTCATCTTGGCGACGCCCTTGGCCTCTCTAAAGAGGAACGTGACACTGGTACTTGTCCTCCCAGTGTCCAAGCCCATTTAATCTGCTTGGCAACCAGTGTGGTTCTTGGACTCCTCACTATAGTTCTCATTGTTGGTGCTGGTCAGAGGGCACCAGGCAGTACGTGGCTTGGACGTATGACCACGCCGGCCAGTAGATTGAGGCCATTTTCACCATCGCCTTGCATGGCCTGGCTTTGCGTGTCCCCAAGCAGTACCTTGACCAACCAGAGAGGGTCATTCAGCTGGTGAGGAACCTTCCACACGTCCGCAGTGGTACAGGAGTCTTCCATTTCTTTGCTGTTTCATTCCTCAGGTTTGAAATTTCGTTTGGGTTGTTGGCAGTAAATCTTCTTGTTTATATGCTATCTCATGATCTATTTTTTCTGAATTTGCTGGCCAAGTTACTGGGAATAATAATAAGCTGTAACCTTGGGGAGGGTACTACCGCGTCTTCCTAAAATAAAACGCTACGCCTGGAAAAATGCCCTACAAATTCCCAAGCACGTGCCGGGCCCTTCAAAAACCCAGGATTCGACTGGAAGGAACACAATTTTTCTTCCTACCCATCTCAAAGTCTTCGCAAGTTGTGGCATGTAGTGACTCACCATCAACACAAACACAATTCAGTCTCTCAGGAGAGACGCGTAGTCCCCAAGCTCTTCTCAAGTGGTGAGGCAATCAACCTGAATGCTGCTTATTCTGCTGCTAGCATTGGGAATATATCGATGGCCAGCAAAGGAATCAAGGTAAATCAAAGTTGGACTCACGTTGGTGTTGTTCAACACTGACTTGGGTGGGATTGCTTCAGTGGACAACGGAGTGTATGCAGCAGCGCTGATGTTCAATGGCACAGGGTACCAACTTATTCAGCCAGATCAAGACGCCGCGGTCATTTTTTCCTACCATGTAAGCATGAGACTTAACCGCGAGTTATTGGCTATGTAGGTTCTCTTATCCACCAGGCTGGACAGACGCCAAAAAGGGTGATGTGACCAACTGCAATGGCAAGGTGATAGTGTCCAAGGCCTTCTTGACGACACCTGGGTTTCCATCCAACCCCAGCATTGATGACCCAAACGCTCACAGTACACAGTTGCTCCAGGCAATCGCCATTGGCGTCGTTATAACCCAATGAGACGTTAGGAGCTCACATCCATGATTGTAAATGGCAAATTGTTCACCCTTAGGTACTTTCTCAGCGTCCATCACGGGCGGTGTAGAGGTGAATGCCACTCAGGCACCTTCACCAGGCTGATTCATGGCATTGCTCCTCAGGCCTGGATCATGAATTACCGCATCTCCTTCTCAGTAAGGACACCTTGTCATCTGCTTGGAATCCAGTAATGGTTGTTGTGCTTTGAGTCACCATGACGAGATCTGATAAAGGCCACCCTCCTACGTTGTTGCAACTACAGGAGATCCCCATCATCCATCGGCTCTGGAGGCTGCCCTCAGCAATGGAGCCAATGTTGCCATTAACTCTTGGGCATGGCCTGCTTACAACAACAATGATGGGCCTTTCAGGTGCGAAGCTAACTGAACTGTCACCTTCAAAGTTTCAGTGCTGACCATGTGGACCTGGCCTGGTCTATCTGTGTGCATACAGCCCCACCAACTGGGCGCTGGTCAACCTTGTCCATGTGGGAATGTTCATTGCCATGGTAGGCATCACCCACCACTATTGTTGGCACTGCTAGGCGTCCTGTAGTTGATAAGGACCCATTAAACTACACCCTTCAGGCTGCTGGTAATGAAGGTCCCTTCTTGTCTTACTTCAATCCATGTGAGCGATGCCTACATCACTGTGGGCGCCATGTCCAAGGCTTCCTATCTGGACACTGACTTGGGAATGGTTGTGGATGCCCAGGCCTACATGGTGGCAAACACAAGCTGCAGGTGGGCTCTTGTGACAACTTCATGGGCCAATGTTGGGTTTATTTATCTGTTGCTTGTGTGATTGAGAACAGAGGCCCATCAGTGTTGCGCACCCTCAAGCTGGACATTACTGCGCCAGGCGTGGACATTTTGGCGCAGGGCTATGGACCCACGCTTGCCCTTGCAAGCATCGAGTTCAGTGTCCAAAGCGGTACCTCAGTACCCACCCCCTCCCACTGTTCCTGTTCACTTCCATGTTTAACTGTTCTGCTGATCTCCTACACTGGACAGTTTGCCACACTGGTGGTGGCTGGTGCTGCAGCACTGATGAAGCAGATCTGGCCCGGATGGACTCTGAAGCAGGTCAAGGCCGCCTTCATGGGATCAGCCAAGTGGAAGGGCGTGATCTCCAACTCTATGGGCATAGGTGCTCAGCCTCTTGGTACGTCGTCACGTCTGGTGGACAGGCCAAGAGTGCAGAACTGACCATGCCAGCTCCTCAGAGATGGGAGCAGGTCTCAACCTTGCAGGCGCTATCAATCCTGGCGCGCTCCTGGATCCACCTTCCCTGTCATTCAGCTACCTGACCAAGGGTCAACAGGTAAGCGCTGCAACTATCGTGATCGTGACACGATGATTAATCCTGCGGATCAGAGAGCTAACCTCATGCGCCCTGGTCACCCAGAAAACAATCCAAGTGGTTGTATTCAGTGTAGTGAACACATTGGAGACGTACACTATCGCTTCAGTTTTCACCGGCCTCAATTCTGCTGCCATTTATTCCACTCCAGTTACTGGGTATGCTATGCTTTCCTGGGTGTTGTGAGTTAGACTGGATTCCATTGTGAGTTGCGCTGATGACTGGGGCAAAATGCAGGATCTCCTTTGCGCCCACCTCCATCACACTAGCTCCCAGGGCTACCGCTCAGATCAATGTAACATTTGACAGCTTGGCCGTTGGAGTCAACTCAGGTTCACATGCTCTCCTTCTCTGTCCCAACTCGCAAAAGAGTCTCTGCCTGAAAACTATGCTCAACCCACATTCCTAACATGCCTTGCATCATCGCCATTGGCAACTCCATTAATAACCCTAACGACTTACACAAGGCCTATACGCTTCAGCCCTCCTTGCGCTGGGCTTCAACTCGACAGTGCAGGAGGCGGTGGCGACTCCCCTGACTGTGGAGGATCTCTGGTGGATCTCTTCTCACCCAATCGTCTTCGTCCTCTCCAGCAACAACGGCGTCGTTGGATCTCTGCAGACTATACCTGAGATGGTAAACCATCTACTTCCTCCCCCTCCATCAACCTTTTATTTAACAAAAGTTATCGTGTGTTCATGCAGACGCGTGAGGTGCTGCGTGAGCACACAGTCATGACTGGCGGAAGAGTGTTCTTGAGTGGCGCCCTGGCTCCCGTGCTGGCGAGGCCTGTAATCAACAGTAACAGCGACACCTCTCTCATCAAGTGCGTGGCCTGACTGCCATCGTCCCTCAACAGCCTCGTGCTTAGACAAGAACCGAGCTCACCACGTGCCTCTACATTTTTGACAGCTTCTTGATTGACAGTCAGCTGATAGGAGACACCTGTCCAAGCGGTGCTTCTGTGTCCACCTCTACCTTCAGAGGCCTTGCTAATGGACCCAAAGGTACGTCTCTTCTCTGGAGTTGTTGATACCAGTGTCCCATCCTAATCCCCTTCTTCTTCGCCATCATCAGCTTTCCAGCAGCTGTCGTTCCAGCTTCTTGATACACCCAGTAGCCAATGCATGTCAGCCCTGAAAACCACCACTGGTACACCTGCACCCTCAGGAGCATCCCTTTGTGGCAAGTGTCGCTCATGGTCTCTTGTTGTTCAGAGGCACTGTTCCCAAGGGAGATCCTTGATCTTGTTCAAGGCAATGGTGCATCCACAGTTGCAGGTAAACATGCTCAGCCAAGCAAGCAAAGCCCAGCCTCGAAGTCCACCATTGTGGTAGAGTAGGGTGTGTACGTTGACACAAGGCGAGAGGCGTGTGTGAGAATGAATGGGCATGCGGTGCGCATTTTATCAGCCTTCCTTGGTTGTAGCTCTTCCGCTTATCGCTTTCCTTTTTCGGACGTAACTTGATCCAATTCTCCTGGCGACACTGTAACATTAAATGAAAGGCCCGGTATCGGCACGCGCATCCAATCCGACGGTGGATGCTACCAAGGCGAGTGGCCGTCCTCGAAGCAGTTGGGTCTCTGCGAGTTTCGTTGGGGCGTTCATACCCGCGCGGACAAGCCCCGTCAGCACACGGCGAAGCGACACCCGGGTGTGCCCGTCCTTGCCTGAGTGACATCGCGGTTCGGCAGCGCAGCAACTCGCTGTCACAACACGACGGCGTGTCCATGCCTACACGACGGCGCGGCGCGACGGCCAAGCGTTGTCGGCGTTTTTAGGTCTGGCGGCGAGAACCAGCAGCGCAGCCTGGCGAGACGCCATGACCCCCGCAGGCTCGGGACAAACTCGGCAGCGCAGCGAGATGATTCCTCGGCGTGTCCAGGCCAGATGAGCGTGCCCGCCTTGCGCCACGCTGTTTTGCTTGAGTTGGCGGGCCGAAGTTGGGTTGAGGAACCCAGCGAGTTTTTTCCCGTCAAGGTCGGGTTCAAGTAGCCAACGTGGTCGAGTCGCCAACCCAGGTCAAGGTTGAGGTCGAGCTTTGGACTGGCGGGGAGGCCGATTTGCGGGGCCGAGGTGGAGTTCACGCTGGTAGCGCAGCCCAGCGATGAGTCATAACGCGCTCGAGCTGACGTCAACATCGCCAGCAGTCTGGCCTTGCAACGCCGGTGGCGTGCGCCAAACATCGACGCCATCATCAACAGCGGCGCGCACCAGCTTTATCAACGAGCGCCAAACGCCAACAGCGTACGCCAACGTGGCACAGCGGCGTGCGCCAATATGGACAGCAGGGGCGTTGGCCATATTGATGTCGACATTCACAACAGGTAACTATTCAAAGTATGAGATCAAGAGCGTGGCCACCTGTTGGCAACCGCGCGTGTAGGCCGCCGCCGTATCCAACGCAGTGGGCGTTTGGGTTCGCGCGCGAGTCTCCGACGGCGCCGAGTCGAGTCACGCTCTCGTCTCCATCGTCGCTGGTTGGTGTCGGCGTGCGCTCGCTTGCAACATGCTCTCACACTTTGGCGTCAGCCAGTCCAACACACCACACACACTGCCACACAACACCACACAACTCCATCCCGGCGCAGGCCTCGCCTAGCGGTTCCTCGCCCGTGGCCCAATTGCAAAGGGTGACGATGACTTTTTTTTCACTGGAGATGCCTTTTCTAGACCCTTAATTCCCACCGCTCACATTGCATGGACATGCCACACGGACTCGTTTGTTGGCCACGCGCCACGTGGATATATGTGAGAATGTGCCTACTCCTCCTATGGGTCCAAAGACTGGTTGCCACGTGAGCCAACGCCACTGGAACAGTGGTACACCGTGGTCTTTTACTGGCCTGCGACGACAAAATAATCAGAAGAAATCCATCCATCTGCAGGGTCTGTTGCCTCAACACGTACGCTTCCCAAAAGGCAACGCAATCCTTCTCATGAGCTCTCTCAATATCTATGGCTCGTCGGTTGTCGCCGTCTGAGCGCTCGCAACAAGCCCCTATTCTTGAACGGCATGTTTGTATTCCACCGCCACCATCAGTCGCAGACAGCACCCAAGGTCTCAAAGAGCTTCAACTGCCTGCGCTGTTCGTCCTACGCGGCAACCACGTCACCTTCGCCGTTAGCTCCATACAATCCGTGGTCCTAGTAGGGTTTTTGATGTACGCACACTTTAGCTTTGCATGAGGCCCACTGCGAAGTGGTCATCGATGAACAATATATGAGAGTGTGTGTCGTGTGGTGTCATGTCGTGTCGTTGGTCATTGGTCAGGTCGTGTGTCGTGTGTTGTGTGTTGTGTGTCATGTGTTGTGTGTTGTGTGTTGTGTGCAAGAGCTAGAGGAAGAGGAAGAGGATGAGCTTCCCCAAGTGAGGCCCAGAGGCAATCCAAAGGACCAAAGCTGGAGAGACCATCGGCATGGAGCCTCTTGAGCCTAAGACATCGATGTCACTATCAACTAGGGCCTAGCACACCCACCACACACACCCACCATCCCCAGAGGGGATCCCTCCCAATTTTGGAGTTGGCCGTCAGGCCACTGGGGGGGGGGGTGAAGATGATGGGTTGGTGTGGGTGGGGTACCGCAGGTTGCTCTCCAAGTGGTACCTACAACTTGCACCAACCACCTACCACCGACCGGGAGGCGGCCCAGCCGTCAAGCCTGGGAAGCGTTTTTTACTTGCTGCATGTGCGGCACCTACAAGGGGCTCCAAAAAAGGTGACCTTCTTGTCATCGTCATCGCCACCAGTGTTGAAGTAATCGATGGTGATCTCCTGGTGCTCCTTGATGCGACAACCCTCCTGGATCGCTAGTGTGTAGACGGCCGATAGCCCCGCAAACTCCTCGAGTGTGACCGCTTTCCCCGCTGCCTGCCGTTGTCTGGGATCGATCTTGCGCGAGAACGAGAAGCACAGCAGCGAACCGCACTTGTGGTTGATGAGCGATAGCGGGCCGTACAGGATACTGGGCTCGTGCCAGTACAGCGAGGGATAACCAACTGACTCGAGCTCGCTGAACTGCTCCTCCGTGACGCCGAAGCAGATGCCGAAGAGATGAGCCGGAGCAAAGGCGCTCTCGACCGCCACCGTGGACGTGCGTCGGGCAAACAAGCCCAGACCGCCGGCACGCTTGCTCTCAGCGACGTAGATCGGACTATCCGGGTGGAGGAGGGCTTCGTAGTAGCGCCACACGACCGCCAGCATATCAGTCGTCATGCGCCGCACGGTGCTGTCGGACCTGCCGCGCCCTGTGCGGCAGAAGGAGGGTCCCCATTTGGCCGGGTTGGCCTCCTTCTTCAGGAGAGCCCGAAACTGGTCCGGCCCCAGCGGTGCTGACGCAAACTGCTCACGCACTTCGGGGCGTTCGAGGATGGCCCGCTTGAAGTAGAGCCAGTAGCTCACCGGCAAGGGGACCGGCGTTGTGGCCCCCTTGCGCACCTGCTTCAGCTTGGTCGCCTCCTCCATATGTGATCTTTTTTTTTGTGTGTTCTACTCCTTTTTTCTTCTGCCGAGTCTTATTTTATTCTTGTCGACTTTTGGCCAACCCAAGGGCGCGGTTTGGGCACAGTCAGCCTGACGTGGCAGAAAGCGACGTGGCGACGGAATCTGAACAATGAAGTCAAGCAAAGAAGTCATCTTGAAAATGCTGCCAGCACTGAGAAAGGAGAGGGAAGTACGGTTGTCCCGCTGCCCTTGCTGTGGGCGCTGCCCTAATCGTCGCCGTCGACCTTGCCATGGTCGCTGCCCTCGTTGCCCTCGCCGTAGGCGTTGCCCTAATCGCCTTCTCTGTGTTCGCTGCCCTTGCTGCCTTCGCCGTGGGTGCTGATCGAACGCTGTGTCGCATTCCTCTTTGAGCTACACGCGGCATGTGGCACACAACGCACGGTGAGTTGGCCTGATGGCAACTGGCGCCGGTGAGGGGTCAGAGTGGATGGTGGAGGAGCAACGGCGTGAGCGTACGTTAGGGGAAGCCGAGACGGCGACGATAGTGGCGGCTCGGGCATGGAAAGACAGGCGGTAGCTGTCGTTTGGTGTTGATGGTGCGGTGGCAAGGCAACGGACTTCTTAGGGTACCCGTCTGTCGATTAATCAAAGTCGCGTCGTGGGACCGAATTCCCGTACAGCCTGGAAGACGCCATAGCCATAAGAGCTCTTGTTTGCGCCCTCAAATGCAAGAGCGCGCCACGACAGGATTGGCTGGGCGGTTAACCTGTTCGTTAGAAGTTGAGCAACATGCGTGTTGTTGTGCCCCTCTGCGGTCTCCTTCGCAGTTTCTCCCACCGCCAGGATGGGATACCCTTGCTCTTCCCCACGGTAGGGCGAGACTGAGTGTGAAAGCAAGGCCTTCCCATTGCTCACCAGCCTTGCCCTTCCTTTGACTTCATGCAGGCAAGGAAGAATAAAATAAAAAGCCCAATGAGAGAGAAACTTTACTAGACTGGACTCTGGTTTTTTATGTGCGCATGAGTGTGTGCACTGTAGTTATATGTTGTCATTAAAAAAAGTACAAACAAAACAGACAAAACAAACTATCCGCGCATGCCGCGGTTCCAGGCATCTACCATATCACGCTGGTTCATGTACATTTGCTCCACCCATTCCACCACCTTGTCCTCTGAACCGGTAGAGATGGTCAAGAGTTGTCGCTCCATATCCAACCGTATGTCAGCACAGTTCTGCCTTTTCTCCTCCTCACTCAGGTGTTCGCTCTCGGCCTCCTTCTCCTTGCGCATATTGTCAAGGATTGTGATGAGGGAATCGAGCCCCATCATGACGGCCATATTCCTGATGCGATGGTACAGCGTGCCGGCGCTGTCCTACTCGCATCCATCACCCAGCAGGTACTTGAGGATGTAATGGAAGGCCAACGGATGGCAATCGAGGAAGTACTCTCCATACGTGATGGTGGCCCATTCGGGCATCGTGCTCAGGTCCTTGGTCAAGAAAACCTCGGAGAGCTTGGAGCCTGGTTCCTTCAGGAGGGTCGATCACAAAGTGGATGGTTCTACCAACGTGGACGTTGAGAATATCATTTACATGGAGAGGACTGCACGCGGCGGCGTCAACGGTCTTGGAACTGTTTTGTCTTTCCATGTGCAGATGGTGGTAGTGGTAGTGATGGTGGCCAGCAATGATAAAAAGACAAAGAAAACAAGGCCTGCTTCCAGGTTTGTCTTTTATCATAGTCTTTGACCAATAAGAACAAAGCGAATATTATTAGTCAAAATACGCGGTGGCATCTTACGGAGCATCGCTGGGACAAAGCACCAGATGATGTCGGCCACGAACATGGTGGGCATGGATATTCACTACGGTGGCGATCTCAACGAGGCCCATGGTAAAGGGGTGTCAGGATTTATTGGCCTATTTTGAACTTAACACCTGAAAATCTGCTGCACATTGTGCTGAAGGCAAGAAGGGAAAGGCGGACTTAGAGTTGGGACTCGATCTTGTTGCCGGTCTGGTTGACGTTGACCCAGGGCTTCTCGTTGTGGATGGTCACCAAGAGGACTCCCTCGGGGAAGGAGGTCTCGCCGGGGCAGTAGGCAGGACCCTCGCTGGTGACGACGAACTTGATCTTCTTGGCCGTGATCTTTTCAACGAAGGCCTCCTTGTACATCTCATCCTTCTTGCACAGCTTGATGATGTTGTCCACCAGGCCGGCCAGGGTCTGGTTGATGACCCTGCCGATGAGATTGCCGTCGTTCTTCAGAGCCTCGTGGATGGCCGCACCGTCGGCCTCGAAGGTCCAGCCAGTGGTGCCGGTGGCAGCCTCCAGCTTCTTGATGGCTTCGGCGTTCTGGGGCTCGGCATCCTTGAGGCTCTTCCTGGCGGTGAGGGGCAGTTGGGTGGCCATTGGTGGTGTTGTTGGTGGTGGTGGTCGGTGGTGGGTGGTGGTGGTGGAACTGTCCGGGTGGTGGCCTTTTATATGTGTGGCGGGCTGGGGGGGGGTGGACTTCACTGAACCCTGAACCACCAACACTGCTGGGAGAATAGAATCCTATTCCTGACAGGCAATTTTTCTTGTTGGCTACTTTATCCCCTGAAACCACCCCACATTTCTCCGGTACCTCCTTTAACTTAAGTCTGACCAGCCCACCATGCCGCCGATATCCTCTCATCCACTTCAACAATGACCTCCCGACTGCCTGCTCCAGCAGGCGGAAGCTGCGGGCGCCACAGGCTAGACCTTGGAGCCAGACACAATGGCCGTCTCTATGAAGCACTGAAGGCAGGTGGCGATGGCGATTACGTCGGCAGGGTCATCAGCCAGATCATCCTGGCCGTGGCCTGGTGGAAGATGTGCAAGCGGGACAACGTGTATAATACGGAAAAGATTAGGGAACGCTTGTGGTGGTCATCCACAGGGAGAAGAAGCCCTGGCACCATGTCATCATCCACAGACGGGCAACAACAAGGTCTTGGCCCAGCTTTTCCCCCAATAAACACCCTACGGCCCCTCGTCGTATGTACGCCCACAGATCGCGGGGCGACAACGATGTCTGGACTCCTCGCAAGACTTTGCGACTTGCAGGCCGTGCAAAGCGTTCTCTACATGCTGAACGGTTTTTCGCCAACTGGAGGTGTCGTCCGCCTATCAATCTCGAAGGAGATCGCCAGGCCACCACACCGACGCACTGTCCTTCTCCGTGTACTCTAATGCTAGGCCAGCTCCCCTATCGCCGTATTGCCAGGGACACCATCCAAGCCCGCGAGCCTCACCTGCTGAGGACTGTGCTTGCTCTTTACAACCAGGCTCATAACTGGCGCCAGTCATGCCCGAGGGGTACACCCTTGGGTCGCCGGTGTTGACAAGTCATCCAGCCACCTAAAAGGGACTGCCACCAGAGGGGGGGGGTGAGAGAGGTCGAACAACTGCTTGGGCTGAAAGGAAAAGAGAGAAAAAGGAACACTGTTGGCAATACGGACGACAAGAAGTCCTGCGATATCTTGATCCCGTCCTGTTCAAGCTAATGCTGGGCAGCCGCTCGCCAGCGGGGTCCAATGCCCCACCTTTCCTTTGAGTACATGGGTGCACGTCACCACAGCCAATGTTGACTCTCTGCGGTGACCAGCGTCCAGGAGACACCACAGACGTGCCTCCGGGATGGACCTGCCGCCAGTTGGGTGCAGCTTGTGGTGGACTTGGCAGACTTTCTGCTGGCCACTGGGCTTGCAGCGAGAGAGAGAGAGAGAGAGAGAGAGATCGCGCGTGCGCTTCTGGGTAGCGGCGGTTCAACCCTGCACACTTTGCTGCACTTGCTATTGGATCTGGGCCGCTTCTCCTCCACAAGCAAACACTCCGAGCGCTCCCACCCATTGACATAGTGGTGTCTATGAACTGTGGGCCTGACCACCCACGATCACATGGCTGGTGTCTCTTTGAATGGCTCCACACCACCCATACCACTCCCAACTTGGGGGAGGCACTCAGGAGAGACACTTTCTGCTCAGCCAGCCCGCACTTCCGCCACGGCCCCAACCTTCAAGAGGGCATCAGGGGAAGAACATTGCACTCAAAGCTACAGTGCCTCTTGCGCCTGAACCAGGAAGGCACAAAACCAGGCTTTATATGGGACAAGGATTTGAGCTGGATTTGGACACTAAACTGTGCACAACCTGAATTCCATGGCCCTTTGGAGCGATCAAGCTTGTGCCATTTTCTTTCTCTTGGCTTGTTGTACAGGTGCTCAAATATGGGGGAAGAGCAAGGGGAAAGAACAACCTTGCCATTCCTGTCAAGTCACTGCCCACAATCCAGGACGTAGAGGCACTGGCACATGCGGAATCTGAGGAAGCAATGGCCATCGACTGTAACCACCAAACACTACATGCCTTAGTTGCAGTACAAGTCCACACCCAGAAATGTGGCAATGTGTGTGCCAGTGCATGTGCGTGAGCATGCGCAGTGATATGCGTGCAGTGGATGAGGTGAGTGTACCTGGTGTGCGGTGTGTGTGGTGGTGTGTGTGCATGTGGTCGTGTTGTAGGGATAATCCAACCCATTTATTTATGAACAGGTACTTGGTGCATGAAGGGCCAGGAGGGCCGGTCTGCTGGAAGTAATGCACGCGTCGTCAAGTGACATGTGATGTGGCACCATGTCAGCAGAATATAGTCTTCAAGTTTTTGTGTGCATGAATGACAGGACTGCATTCGTTGAGCGCCAATGGGGTGCCGCCGGTCCCCGGTCCTTGAAAAAAAGACCTCCTGGGGTATACTGCCCCAACGACAAGTGGAATAAGACGTTGCTGCTCCCAGGCGGCCAGACAATCCGCGTGTGTACGGCGCTTGACGAAGAGCCCCTGTGCGCGCCCATGTGGAGGGAGCAGAGGCAACCGCCATGTGGCAGCATTGCCCAGAACCGCAGAAAAGAGGATGTATGCAGATGCCATCATTGGAGGGGCCTGCAGAGGTGTGAGAGGCGACCACCACTACCAACGATATAGGCTGTTGGGCGTGGTGTGGGCCTTGCTACACCACTAAGGTGGTGGGTGAGTGGTCTGGCATATCAGGTGGTCTACCAGGCATAACAAGGCAGAAATGACATAAAGGACAAGTATGCATACTGGATTTGAGACAAATGGGCAATCTTGAGGTGTGACCTACTGAAGAGGGCGAAGACCTGAAAACTCAGCCAGTTCAATCCATATCCAGGACGGTCCCAGGTAGTAGTGTTGTTGGATCATGGCAGATGGATGGCACCTTCATTGCTGAAGGAATACCAACATAAGGAGGAGATAGCAATCAAGTAGATCTATGATGGGGACGAAAGTGTATGCGGCGTCGTACCCCAACAACTGATGGGTGGTGCCTCTACCCACACATCCATGCTGTGCAGGGATATTGCCTCACCACAACTGTGACACCAGTCCATGCGCACTTTATGGTGTCCTTGTATGTTATGCCATTACATGCATGGTGTCCTCTTCTCACCATGGGCTGGTTGATTGCTCTTTGCTGGCCCCATCTCCTGCAACCTGGCAGGTTGGATGGTTCAGATACCACCATTGCCCAATGGTGACCAGCACTAACCCTGGCGCATGTCAGACAGGCTGCCAGAGTGTGACAACAGTGGTTGAGCCACTGTGGATCTGGCAGCAGGTGTCTGCACTGGGTGTCAATGGCCGCCGCCAAGGGACGCCTGGCTTGCCTGGTGCAGTGTTGTTGGCTAGTGTCCTGAAGCCAGCAATGGCCCAAGCCACTGCTGAACTTAGGTCTTCAACTTTATGATAGCACCAACCAAAGGTGGTGGCCATTGCACCCCATATGTGTGCTCTGAAAGATGCTGTGTGCAAGTGGATACCAGCAGATACTGGTGTTACAGCCCTGACAATCTGTACATGCTGCCAGATAGTTAGTGAAAAAGAGTCACTGACCCTTTTTTGTGAACACTTGGTAGTAGACAACAGTGCAGGTTAGCATTCTTGTCTTGTGATATTCCTGTTCTTTCAGAGCTGTGACACCCTGTGGGTGCCTATTGTATACAACAGCATAGAAACAGTGTCACAAGCACTGCCACCAACTCCTCTTCTCTGCAAAGCACTGCTGCACTCCAGCTGACAAATGCACCTCCTTTGTCTAACTGGAAAGAACTGGAAAGATGTGAAGCAGAAGCAAGTATTGCAGCAAAAGAAGAGGTGAATGTAATGGGAGTGATGGTGAAGAGGAAGAGGAAGATTGAGATGTAATAAATTGTTTTATTGCAACCATCCACATGATTCATACCAACCAATCATCATGGGTAGGGTGATCTTTTCAAAAATGGTGATAATGGAAGAAGAATGGTGATGATGGAAGCTAATAAATCATCACATACATTGAAAGATGGGCAGAGATGTGATTTCAGAAAACTGAACACCTTCTCTGCAGGGCTCAATTCAGGGGAGTACTTGGGTAAAAGTTTGTACTGTGGAGCAGGCTTAGCTGTGATAAGCCATTGGGCCATCCCACTGCTTTCACCCTGCTGATGAAAGGAACAGTTGTCCCTGATCACCACATCTCCAGGATAAATAAATTCCAAACAATAACAAATAAATGTCTGAAATTTATCACTGTTGTCACAGAGTAAGCAGTTGGCCAGTCTCTGTTCCCTGGGGTCCTCAAACATTGCCTTCTGGCATGAATACTGTTGATTTAGATTTCAATTCAGGGTGCTACCACCCCATGTCTCACCCATTTCCTCTGCTAGCATCCTTTTTTCATCCTTGACAGCAGCTTGACCATCATTCTCCTATGCCTGTGTGGTTCATCCTTATTTTGTTGCCATTTCACCTCTCATACCAAGCTCTTCAAGCAGTTCAGGCTTTCTGCCACAGCCTGAGCTAACCAGTTTGGGTGGCTGGCAACCTTGCTCTGCACCACTCTCCACAGCAGAGAGTCCCCCACCCCTGGCCACCATCAGGTGCTGAGTTGACCTGATGGTGCGTTGACCTGACACAGCACACAGCTGACTTTTTCACCATGCACATAAATGCATTTTTCTGCCTTTGTGGCAACACTTTTTGCATCATTTTTTTCCCACCACTTTGAGCAAATTACAGGACCCTGTAACAGTTCAGAATAAGTCAGGCATCACTGACAGTAGAAAGTGTGTTGAATTGTGTATAACAACAGCATAGAGTGGTATCTCAACCACCACAAACATTTCTATGAGTCTGGAGATCATGGTGCTGCTGGTTGGGAACTCCAAGCCTGGCATGATGTGGTGTGAAGGGTGACTGTGTTGAGGCTTGTGTTACACTCCAGGTGGGCAGCCCCATGGTCCAGCAGCATGACCTTGGCTCCTGCCAAGCCAAACACCAGCCAGCGTCAAGAGTTGTGGACACACAAGTGCTTGTGGCCATGCTAAGGCGTAGGCATGTAGGTACTGGTGGCCAGCTGTCCACCAGGCAGGCCCCGCGCCATCTCAGTAAACAACTCGCTTGCCGGAAAAGAGCTGCTGTGGCGAGTGCAGAAAAAAAAATGAAATGAAAACGAAAAGAAATAACAACGAACTCCGTTAATGGTCGGAGTTGGTTCAAGATATGATCATGTTGTGATTGGTCGACCTTTGCTTCTTTTCCTCGATGTTGCTCCAGCCTCCGGCGTCCTCCTACCATAGCTTGCCTCAACACTCGTCCACAACTTTTTTCTCTTGCGACACCAAATCAACAACAACATGCTGGCGTCGGCCGGGCTCGTTCGCGGGCGAGTCGTGGTGTTCGGACTGGCGACCCTGGCCCTGGTCCTCTACCTCATGCTGGCCAGCTCCTTTTCTTCCTCCTCTTCAACAAACCCCTCATCTTCGCTCTCCCACGCCTTGGCCTCCGCCGCGCCGTGTGGACCTGCGACGGAGCATTTGCTACAGAAATTGGCCGACCTGGCTGATAGCGTGGCCGCCCTCGAGAAGGACATCCATGACAAGAGCAATGCCGACCAGCGTCTGCGCGAAGCCGTGGCCCAGCTGGTGCAGAAGGCCAACGATCAAGAAGAGAAGAAGGAAAAGGAAAAGAAACCTTTGCCCACGACGGTGGTAGCCTTCAAGGGCGAGAAGGTGGGCGGTAAAAACGCGGAGGGCGATGACGACGTGGCGATGCCGCCAGAATGCGAGGCCATGTGGCTGTCGGACGTCGACAAGAAGACGTTCGTGCGCGGCCTCACCAGCCGGAAGGTCCAGCAGTACATCGAGTGGGGCGGCGGTGGCTCCACCCTGTGCTCCTCCCGCCTTGTGCCCAATGGTACGCGTACACGCACCACCGCGCTCACCGCACACGCCACACCGCACACAACCGCATGGCCAACCGCTTGCACGTGCGTTACAAGGCTTCTTCTTGATTCTCTCCGGTTATAGTAACTACGATCGAGCACAACGAGGCGTGGTGCAAGAGCCTGCGCGAGCAGCTCCAAGCCAAGAATGTCACCAACGTCAACCTCATTTGCTCTCCTGTTGCCTGGCAAAGCTTTGGTACGCCGTGTGTGCACCCCCCCCCGAATTCCAAGGCCTAAACCTGACGTGTGACGTCTGTGTCACTTCAGGCAGCACGCCCGAGGGTGATGGCACCTACGAGCAGTTCAGAGACTATGTGGACACAATCGACACACTCGGCATTTCTCACTTCGACGCGGTGTTCATCGACGGCAGGTTCGCGCTCAACTCCTTTTCCTCGTTGAACCATGTTTTTTTAACTCCGACACTGCGGCACGCAACCTGCCAGGGCGCGTGTTGCGTGTGCAAGGAAGGCCCTTGGCTACATCTCCAGCGACTCTCTGGTGATGGTCCATGACTGGCAGCGGTGTGTATCCACCCCTTCCCCCCTGCCTCCTGGGCTGCTCTGAGGTCACCCTGCTCACGCTGTCTTGCGTACCAAACGCAGGGCTCACTACTCGGCGATTACAGAGTGGTATGACGTCGTCAACAAGCCCTACTATGAGCAGCGAGATGTACTCGCGCTGCTGAGGAAGAAGCTCTGACCCTAAAGAACAGAAGAGCGGGTAGAGGTCGGTAGAGCATGCCTCCAATAGGTGTCGGAATAGTGCAGTCTGCGCCACTGGTGGTGGGTGGAGAGGAGAGGAGAGGTGCGTCGCTCTCCTGGGCTTTGGCGGTACCCAGCATCCAGCCGAGGTTTGCTGAGGTTGTGCTGTGAGTAAAGAAAAAATGAGGAGTCTCAGCGAAGTCTGCCACAGAACTAGTTCTTCTTTATTTAAGGCTTGCCGCGTTACGCTGATCCTGTTACGCTGATCTGGATGCAGGGCAACCAGCGACCAATGGTGGCACTGCGCCATTTGTGAGAGCCAATGGGCGTTTCGGTTGCCTCTGGATCTTATTGGTTGGGGATGTCCCACCAATGCCAATCCTCACCCTGTATCCTCATGCCACACGCCAACAAGAGGAACTCACCTATTAAAAAGGCGGTCCTCTCGTTGATCGCCTTAACTTTTTGTACACCAAGCCCGGCATGAACAGCGCACGAGCCCTTCTCTTTGTTCTCCTTTCTGTCTTCTTCTTTGCTTGCGTGAGCGGAGTGGATTATGGAGCTGAGGACACCACCATCAACCTTCAGGAACTGGTCAAGATTCGATGCTCCCTCCACCAATGTAAGTACTCTGCGTTTACTTCCATAACTCTTACTTGCCCTCAGCGTGGTTCATGATTAATTAAAGTAAATAATTATTCCGTTCGTTTATTTGAAACGTTCACTGACTTTACTGAAAATTAACCCTCAGCTGATGAGACCGTGTTCTTCTTCAATGGTACCGTGACCGCCTTCCCGACCCAACAGCCGAACGTACGTCAGTTAGTCATGTTAACTTATTTGATTTTCATTGGCATCTGACTTCTTTTCCTTTTCCATCACTTCAGGTCGTACTCTTCAAGACGATCGGACTCAACATCGCCCGATGCTTCAAGCGCTCCGATGGCTCCTACACCCTCGCCGGCCGAGAGCTTCTCTACTATGTCGACCCTGTTACTGATCAGATCGTCAACAGGTACCGTGGCCAAATTTCCTCCGCCTTTCCTCTTTCCCCTGCCGTTCTCCGCTTCCGTCCATCTTCCTCCGTTGGCGCCTGCCTCCTTTCGCTTCTCCTTTAGAATGCAACTTCCGCAGCTTTGCCCTCTTTGGTCGCTGATTTTATCATTCACGCATCGCACAGGTGGACCAACCCGTGGACCAACGAGACTGTGCCCGTCGTTCACGTCGCCAACGACCCTGTCATCCAGAATTTTGCTCTCGGATCAACCTATCCCGCTTTGGTACGTCTTTCTCCTGTTTGCGCCTCTCCTTCTTCCCTCAGTTCCCTCATTGGTGTCCCTTCTTTCTCATCTCCATCTGTGCGTTTATGTTTCTGTTTTGCTTTGTGCGATCGCTGCTTTCATTTCATCGACGCTCATCACGCTGATTATCCATCCATCGTGCAGAAACTCGACACCAACACGTTGTTGCCTCTTGACGTCCCTCTCTACTACCCGAACGCGCTCTCTTTCGACCCCAGAATGGCTCCCTACTCTCCTCAGCCCTTCTATCAGGCCGGCGAGTGGTTCAAGTTCATCTCCCGCACTGGCGAGGTCCGTTTCCCGCTCACCAAGACTGTCACCTCCACCCTCGTCTCCTGGACTCGTAACGGCCCTTGGTTGCCTTGGATGAAGCAGGTACGCCTTACCTCCCTCCTCCTTTCGCTTCCTCATCTCGTCGCTCGTCTTCCTTTCCAATACTCCATTCCTGTCGTCCGCTCTTCCTCTGGTTGCTTTCCTCCGCTCCTCGCTGTTTATTTCGTTCCTTCCTTTCGATCGATCGTCCTCCCATCCTATGGGAGGATGTCCTATGTTCCTTCCTTTCGGTCGATCGTCTCCCACCCTGTGGGACATTCACGCCATAAATTCCGATTCTCACCTTCCTTATATCTAAATAGGGAAATGCTCCTGGATACCTCATCTACTCATCCCACGGAAACAAGGTCGACAGCTGGAGGGACTTCCCCGCGTCCGTTCGTGCTGGTCAGTAACTCCCGCCTCTTTCGTTTTCTTGCTTACCTCCTACGTCGGATCTCTTCCTGACTTGCCTTGTCGTAAATCATGAGCCATTACTGATACGGCCCTGTCTTCGTTCATCCACGCAGATCTCGCTCGCATTCCTCACTACAAGTCAGCCCCCGATTGCGTTCCCGCCGTTCGTCAAGTCACCAGCTGGTCGTATTTCCAGGCCAACTTCGCCGCCTACCTTAGTGGAGACCTTTTCCCCCTCGCTGCTCCGGCCGTCTACAACTGCACAGCCCTGTAATTCAACAACACACACAACGTTGCTAGCGTTACTGCGTGAAGATGCACACCTGGGCATTCTTTTTGTCCTCAGAGAGTTTGTGACACATGTTCCAACAAAAATGGCTACTCTGTATGATGCAAAATGATATTGTTTGTTCTATATGCAGCACTTGAGTTACATAAGACAACGTCAGCAGGGTGCGTCACTCCTCCCGGTGATCACCTTGGCACAGTTCTGTGCCCTCTAGCCTGGGCCTCTTCGCCTTGGGTTGCTTCTTCCTGGTGGCAGTGGAGGCTGCGGAGGCCTCGTGTGCATAACGCTTCTGACCTCGCTCTCTTCGAATCAGAGCTGGCGGAGCTGAGGTTGCCAGACGGTGCGGCTGGTCCACCAGCGACGTCAACGTAGTTGTTGTCAGCACCGGCGCCACCGTGGCCGACGAAGAGATGGATGAAGCGAGAGATGGCGCCGGGGATGCTGGGTGTGCGCTGACGAAGGGCACGGGCACCGCCTTGCGCTGCGCCAGCAGCTCGCTGCGCATCTTTTCCATGCGCACCTCGATCTTCGATTTCCGCCTCGGCGATAGGTAGACGCTCATCTTCATCGGGGTGGAGGCCACGCTGCTGCTCCGAAGATCTCCTTCGTCCAGCGAAGGAGCTGACTGGTCGTTGGCTGCGCCGCGGATGGAATCGAGAATGGCGTCGATCTGCGCGAGCTGCTTGTCCAGGGCCAGGCTCTCCTCCAGCATGGCTTGCTGTCGCTCCGTTGCTCTCTCCGCCTCTTCTTCCTTTCGCCATAGCTCGCTCTCTCTCGCTTGCTCCTTCCTCTGTTCCTTCCTCAACTTCTTCAGTCCCTTGCTCCTCGCTGTAGTCGCCGCCGACTTCGTCTTTTTCGTCTTCTTTTGCTTCTTGGTGGGCGCTTCCGAGATGGCGTCCTGTGTCTCGACATCGAACGCGTCGACGAAGGAGTGTCGGAGGAGGTCGCCGTCCGAGGAGATCGGCTTCTCCCATTCTTCTTCCTCGGCGTCGGCTTCCAGCGCCTCGTGCACGGCTGCTGCCTGCTCTCTGCGTGGCAGACCGTCCTCCTCCACGCTCTTGCGCTTCTTGCTCGCGGCGGTGTCGTTCGCGCGCTTCTTTCTCTTTTCCTTCTTCTTATTGGCCTTCCTCTCCGCCTTCTGGACGTCCTCTTTCTCCCTCTTCTCCGCAGCCGCAGTCGCCGCCTCGGCAGCCTCCTTCTGAGGCGCAAACATCCTCCTGAATTGGCCGTCGGCCTCTTCCTCGGCATTGACCACCATCGTGCCCCACGCCCTGTCCTCCTCTCCCTCCTCGTCTTCTCCCTCGTCGCCGTCCCGTCGTACGATGATCGTGTCACTCGAGGCAAGGTCGACAAACTCGCCAGCGGTCAGCATTGCTGCGGCTGCTGCTGCGGAAGCCTTCCGGCCGGAAGAAGTGGAAGAGGCTGACGACGAAGATAGCGACGCCGAAGAACTATCGCCGCGAACTTGGCTGGCCGATACTAGTAGTTCTGCCTGCTCCTGGCTCGCCTGTGCTTCCTTGGCTTCCTTGAACTCCTCGATCAGCGACTTGAGGACCACCTCCGAATTGGCCGAGTAGACTTGCTCGATGAATGGGTGCATGAAGAGGTCGACAGCCCGTGGACGTTCGTTAGGATCTGCAGTGTGTGTGGAAGGGAGCGATGATTACGCGCAGCCCTAACGTCAGTGTTGGGTCCGGGGAGGAGGGGTGAGGACGTGAGACGCGGAGGAGGCTCGCAAATATACCCTTGATGAGACACTGGCCAATGAAGTCGTTTAGTTCCGGAGACCACTGTTCCGGCTCGGCGAGTGTTGGCGGAGGACGGATGGGAACCATCCTAGAGGCAAACAGAAGGGTGGCCATCTCTCTTTAGCGCTGCGGTTCCACGTGGAAGGGCACAAATCGAAAGGCTACGCGTAGAGGGATCTTAAAATTGAAGTACCTCATTGCGCGCATGGGATTCATGTCCGCGAACGGAGGAGCTCCCTGCACCATCTCGATAACAGTAATGCCGAGCGACCACACATCCTGATTTGTTTCAGAAGGGCGCTCCACTTGTCAGAGAGCCCGCGCTTAGGTCCGGTGGGGCCAGAATATATCAAAGGGGGAGGGGGGACTGATGGCTCGGGTACCGCTTTGAAGTCATACTTGCCTGCCGACGACGATAAGGCGCAAGCCGTGGCTACTTCTACGTATTTAAATGCGTCAGTTTTTTCCTTTGAGTTATGATCTTACACTGGGGCGTCGCGAGACGCATCGTACCTGGAGCCATCCACAGCGGTGTGCCCAACACCTTATCTGACGTTCGAGATTCAGCACCGTGGCCCGAGAACTGCTCGCTCACGCCGAAATCGGCTGCAGAGATCACCGTCACACCAAAGGAAGGGTTAGCGCGGTGCACACTATAGTGTATGTTGCCACGACCGGCAGCAGAGAGACCACAATGAGCCGTACCGATCTTGACCTGAGCTTGGTCATTCAACAAAATGTTGGCTGCCTTGACATCCCTGTGGATAATGTTTCTCGAGTGCAGATAGATGAGTGCCTTCAGAGTATGGAAGCACACCACCGCCACCTCGGATTCTGCAAGAGAGTCATGACACATGAGCACGAGAGGTAAGGATCCGCTCTGGGGGTGGGGGGCTTCAGGGAGTGTTAGGTATGTGGTGCACCAGTGAGCGGACGAGAGATGTCGATCAGGTCCCGCAGAGAGCCCAACGCACAGTATTCCATCAGTATCTAATAACGAGGAAGAATAGCAAGAACTTGCAAGTGAGGCTCGACAACATCACCGCGCCAGCAAAAACGCACTGAACATGTAGAAGAGCGATAAGATGGTGAGAGCGGGGTAGCTAACGAAACGTACCCAGACCGAATCTTGTTCGTAGATGCTGCCGTAGTACGGCACAATGTTGGTGTGGCTGCATTCACGCAAGATGTCTATTTCCTTGCGGAATGATTCCTCGTTGTCGAGCTTTATATTGATGACCTACACGCGTAAGAAATGATTAGAAAATGGGAGAGATCATAGAGCTTTACCTCCGGGTGCTGCTGCTGCTGCTCGAGCAGTGGTACCTTGACCACAAGAATTGCTCCGGTCACCGCACGCGCTTTGTATACCTCTCCGTAAGACCTGGAGCGCGAAGACGTTTGAAAGAAAAAGTTTGAGTTCTCTCTGGAAGGAACCGGTTGAGCTCGCGTAACTGGAAAGCTGTGGATTTGGTCAGCGCACCCTTCCCCCAACTTCTCGACCAGTTGCAGATTGGAAAGAGCCTCCTTGCCCGAAAGATCCTTCCACGTCAGATCCTCTTCGACATGCAACCGGTGTACGAAGTTGTACGGCTGCGATATAGTGCTCCTAATTCCGTGCTCCAATTCTGGTGGTGTCGTGATGTATAAGAAGATAGGGATTCGGTAAGAAGTAGGAGAGGAGAAGCTTCAGCAGCAGCAGCAGAAAATGCGCTCGGCCACGCGTCTTGGGGGGGGGGGAATGTTCAAAACACGCGAGTGGTGTGGTGACGGTCACGCGTACCCTTCTTCATTACTTTGAGGCTCTTTCTGTGCTGGCGTTGCTCCTTCTTGGTGAGCTTGATCTGCGGCGTAGTCGGGCCTTGGATGCGCGAGCCGGCAGCAAAAGACAAAGGCGATGGTTGCGTGGAGTCCTCCGACGACGACGACGACAATGTGGAAGCCCTTTCCCGGTGGTTCACACTCTCGAGAAGGTGCGGCAGGGGGTTGGTGGTGATGATCTTCGAGCCTCGTCTGCGCGGCGTGAGCGTGGCTCGACCACCGACGGTTCGGTAGATGACGCTGCCACGGGTCGCTGGCGAGCTCGTTCGCAACGTGCTTAACGATGGTGTTGCAGTGAAAGTGAAAGGCTGACGGTCGGCGGCGGCGGCGGGAGTGAGGGGAGGAATAATCGGCCTGCTTGCCACCAGCGGCGAAAAGGGGCTGCTTGCTATGCCACGCTGTTGGTGGTGGTGGTGGTGGGTTACACGTGGCACGCAGCGGGTGATCGCGTGTGAGTGGGGACCACCTCAACTCGAGTTGAACCAGGAGGAACGGTAGACTCTAGTACCTTTTGGTGTGCGATGAGTTCAACTGCATCATCTAGCGAAGGAGAACGAAAGGAGTTTGATGGTGGGGGGGGACAGTAAGTGAGAAAGATGTCTGTGGAGAGGCTCTAGAGCACAGCGTGGTACCGGAGGGACTCTTGAGAGGGGTCAGATGGTCGCGAATGATGGTATCGCCGGCGGAGGATGAGCCGTTCGTGATGTTCTCCTTATCCACGTTGTACACTCGCCCAGCCGACTGCTTGGCGAGGGTTCCGCGCCCAAAGAGTGGGTTCATGGTGAGATTGACCCTTGCTTTGTCGTCGAGGATTTCGCCAACGTTGCTGGTGCCCCTGAGCGGCTCTTTCATGAGAGCCCTTGGTAGCTTGCGCAAGGAGGGCGAGAATAGAGGCGTGCGGCTCTTCCTCTCCATTATCTGAGATATGATAAGTCAAATTAAATTCGAATTCCAATCCCTACAGCCAAACAGGTAGGTGCACCGCACACTTAAGAGAGAGAAACTCGTAACCGTACCTCTGTCGTTATATGATAGCCACACAGGACACAAATAACCTTGGCTCACTCAACACACTTACTCCAGCCTCAACACCTCTTGGCCCCCTTTCCTCTTCTTGCGCTCCCCAACGGAACACAACGCCATTTTGGCGGGAACAACCGGCAGGGACAAAAGGAAAAGAAAAATGAATATTAATGCCAGCCTTTTCCTGAAGCACGAGCTTCCAGAACATTCGTGAAAGATTGGATTGCGCGCGAGTAGCGGCAGATCTTCCCTTGGCCCTGCCAACACAACAATTATCGTATTGCTACGCCGTGTCAAGAGTCGTCCCCGACTTCGAATAACCAGAATGATGAGTGGAGGTGAAAACCCAAACAATGATAGCGTCGTTGGGACTGTCCCCGATGGGATTTCCAGCATCAGCTGGAGCCCCAAGTCCAACATCTTTGTTGCCACCTCGTGGGACAATCAGGTATCCATTTATCTCTCTCATTCGCTTTCTAATGTGTGGAGGGAGGGCAGTAAATGATTGAATTTGTATTGACATGCGATTTTCTTGCAGGTGCGCTGCTGGGAGGTTACTGGCCAGGGTGCCGTGCCCAAGTTGTCCATGTCGCATCAGCAGCCAGTTCTGTGCTCTACGTGGAGCAAGGACGGCATGCGAGTGTTCACAGGAGGCTGCGACGGAGTGGCCAAGTGCTGGACCCTCCAGACTGGCCAGGCAGTGGATATCGGCAAGGTACGCACGCGCACGCACACACTGCGCACACCACGTGCGCGTTAACGGTTTCTTCTTCTTCTTCTTCTTTACCCTTCAGCACGGCGCACCGATCAAGACCGCGCACTACATAGACGAGCTCCAAATGCTCTGTACCGGTAGCTGGGACAAGACCTTGCGCTACTGGGACGGAAGGTCACCCACGCCCGCGGCCACTGTGAACCTGCCCGAGCGTGCCTATTGCATGGACGTGGCCTATCCTCTTGCCGTTGTTGCCACTGCCGAGCGTCATGTGCTCATCTACAATCTCAGCAACCCTGCCGTCGAGTACAAGGTACGTGCTTGCGCTACTTGATTCTCTTTGCGCGATCCTTCTTTTAAAAAACCAAGCCGCTGCTGCTGCTGCTACTACTCGAAGACCCACTTGGAGAGTGCTAACAGCTTTTTCGGGCTCCTCTTCTTCCATATGCTGCAGCGAATCCAATCACCTCTCCGCTACCAAAGCCGAAGCTTGGCCTGCTTCCCCGACAAAAAGGGCTTCGCTCTCGGTTCGATCGAAGGTCGTGTGGCCATCCACCACGTCGAGGATGCTGACAGCAGGTACGTAGCTTCCGCAGTGGTTCTCTTATGAGCCCGTCGACGAGACGTGTGCGTGTGTGTGCGTGTGCGTGGTGTGTGACGACACACCGCGTTTCTCTTGCTTCTAAGCTAAGGCCCACCCCCAATATGTCTCTTAACAGCAAGAACTTTGCTTTCAAGTGCCACCGCGACACCGCACGTGACAGCAATGCTATCTACGCGGTGAATGCCATTTCCTTCCACCCTGGCTACGGCACTTTCTCCACGGCCGGCTCTGTGCGTACTCCCGTGTCGCTCAAGCGAACTGAGAGCGCTTACGGGCATCTACAACTGACACACTTCTTTTATGTTTCTCCTCCAGGACGGTACGTTCCACTTCTGGGACAAGGATTCGAAGCAGCGCCTCCACAGGTTCCAGAAGATGCCACAGCCCATCTCCTGCACGGGCTTCAACTTTGATGGCTCCATCTTCGCCTACGCGTGCTCCTACGACTGGAGCAGGGTACGTCGTCGTCTTCTTCTTAAAGGAGTGAAGTAACGACTACTGATGGCCTGTTCTTCTCTTTCTCTTCGGTCCTCTCTCTCTCCCCCCCTCTCTTTTATCTCGTGGTCGTCCAGGGAACGGACAACTACAACCCGGCCACGTCCAAGAACTACATCCTTTTGCACGCCACCAAGCCTGCCGAAGTTCAGGGCCGTGCGAGGTCGTAAGAAGGCCGCGGCACCACGCCCATGTGGTGCGCGCGAAGAAGAACCAAAACAAAAGAAGAGATCACGTGTAAATCTTTCAGAGCCGTTGCTGTCGTGAGCATGTGCTGCCTCCAAGAACACCATTCGCAAGAGAAGATTAATTTATTTGTTTTAAATATTTTAAAATCTGATAAAGAAATATGATATATCTACACACCTTACACGAGGGGCGAATGGAACACACCCCATCAGGAGTGATGCCCTGGCTTTGGTTGCCAATTCTGGAATTTGGCTTTGAAGTCGGGATCGAGAGCAAACTTGGCCGTGGAGGAGGAGGGGGAGGACGAGGGGAGCTGATGAGGAGCTCGAGACGGTTGATAGCCTGCTGCCGATGTCGTTGAGGATGAAGAGTCGTACTGTCGGCTGTTCCTATCCTTCGCATCGAGGTAGGTCTTGTACTTGTCCACCCACTCCTTCGGCATGGTGGGATCATCATTATCGGACTCGCGCGGATTCACGAGCCGTTCTGTTTCTTCATTCACTTCGGTGCTCGGGCAGCAACCCATCTTGCGTGACAACCCCTTCCGGCTTCTTCTGCTGACCACTCTCTGCCACCGCGCACGTGGACCTTGCTCTTCGGCTGGCCCTTCTGTTCCGCTTTTCCTTCTCTCTTTCCTCAAGGCCCGACCACAAGAAAAAGAAGAAGAAAGTCCACGGCCAACCAAAGGAGACCCTGGCATGGACAAGGTGGGTGAAACGCTGGAGCGGCTGCGGGAGGAGGGGAAGCTCCCGCGCCTTATCGCGTTCGACCTGGACTACACCTTGTGGAGCTGCTACTGTGAGTTCCAGTTGCCGCCCTTCACCCCCGCCACCAAGGGGGCTGCGGCAGGTGAAAACACCGGCAAGGGGAAGCAGACGATGAGGCACAGCGGCGGTCCGGGCGCGGATGCCTTCGACAAGCACGGTGCCGGCATTCGCCTCTACCCCGACGTGCGCCCCATATTCCAGGCTCTCCTCGCTCTGCAGAAGGAGCTCGGAGGAGGAGGAGGAAAAGAGTTGGCGCTGGCGGTCGCCTCACGCACTCCGACGCCGGACCACGCCACGCAACTCCTGACCACGCTGGGCATGCTGGATAGGTTGTTGTTTTGCACTTCAAACCGCACCACACCACCACTTGCACGCTATCCTTGCTGAGGATCGAGTGTATTGGGTCCGTGTGCATGCGTGCAGCTTCCAGAACCATCAGATCTTCCCAGGCAGTAAGATCACGCACTTCAATCGTATCCGAAAGCAAACACGACTTGCCTTTGAAGATATGATCTTCTTCGACGATGGTACGCATTGGAATCTCGCGCTCGCAACTCACCACTCTACTCACTCTTCGTGCTGCACAGAAAGGAGGAACGTAAAGGAAGTGGGCGCCATGGGTGTGACCGCCGTCCTTGTTGACAACGGCCTCACCTGTGCCGACTTTCTGCGAGGCACGTGCGCCCCCCCCCCAATCTGTCTGTGCCAATCCGATCCGGCTGTAGGTCGCTCTAACCGCGCCTTCACGTTGTGCAGGGCTGAACCAACATGCCGAACGTAGAGCAGATGCCTGACAGTCAGTCCCGAAGGAACCAGGAATGGATCGACCCGCGGGACGCCACACACGAGCGAAACACTCTATTCTTCCGTTCGATGAATCATGCGCTCACTGTACAGGCGAGAAAGATGGGTGGTTCAGGAAGCTGAAGGCCAAAACACGTGGGCCGCCTCGCACGGTTCCTTCTCCCTCTTGACTGCTTCTGGTCCTTACTCGTGCGCCTGAATGAAGAGGATACACCACAAAGGAATAATCAGCCAACAATCATAGGCACCCCATACTCTTGTGACGAGGATGTGCACAGAGCTTCAATAGTGGTCAGAGTAAGATGCGTTCTCACTTGCATGCTCGATCCTCCAGAGAAAGAGAAAATCTATGTCCAGTGGTTTACCGAGGTGATGCATCTGTATCACCCCGACCTAAAGAGCTGAACAAACGATAGAGGAGGGAGAGCGAAAGAGAGGAGTAGAAAGCGGAGGATCAAGCAAGCATCAAACCTTTTACCATTCATCATCCCACTCTCTCTTATGGTGTTCCCTGGTTGTTGTTGTTGGTGGTTATTGTAATATTATACTTTGGTTGGTCGTGTCTGTGGGGCGGGCCGCCCAAAGAGGGGCAGCCACTTGCAAAAATTTGGCTATGAAGCCAAGCTACGTGCTTGGAAGTTGGGGTGTCAGCACATACCCGCCCGTCCCTAAACGGTCATCAGCGTGTATCCTTTCACCCTGCCATAAGGACGGCTAACCTTCCCACTGCCTCGTTTGGATTTTTATGCGGCCACCACACGAATTTCAATTATGGGAACGACGCGCAAAAATAATCCCCCCCCCCATACGTGCCGACTTCCTGTTGGGTGGGTTGGTGGTACCTTGACAGAGCGCGTCTCACTGTTGGGGGAGGTGCGAGCTCGGTCAGGCCAGAGAGGTATTGAGGTACTCCACAAAGGTGTCGCCGATGTGCTCCACCCGCGGCGGGTGCATTTGCGAGATCTTGAGGAACTGGCGCTGCATTCGTCGCAGCTCTGCGAGATTGAACTTCTTCACCAGCCGAACGTGCGCCGCCAAGTCAAGGAAGCCAACCACAAAGAAGGAGCAGGAGGTCACACGGCACTGAGCACGCACACGCACAGACGCGCAGAGAAAGAGGTAGGAGAAGAATTGGAGGGGGTGGAGGTTGCATTAAGGATATCTTTTGCTCGGCCTTGGGTACGGGGATGCAATCCCCGAGCATTGCGTGCGTCTGGGCCTGCAGGATGGCGGCGATGATCTCCTGTGTGGTCTTGTCCAACTCGTACACGAAGTTGGTGTCGGAGATCACTTGCTATGGCGGCACAATAGAGAAAGGAGTGCATCGTTAGAAAAACGCAGCAAAACAAATAACGACCAAGTGTTGCGGTCGCAAGGTGCGTACGGGAAGGGTGGCGATGTTTGGTGGCTTCTGGTGTCGTTCAAAGAGCGCTTCATTGATTCGATCCAGCGGAAGCTCTTGGTCTGGTTGATTGTTGGGGAGCAGCAGAGTCAGGCAAGCAGCAGCCGCATATATGACAAGCTAGGGAGGGGGAGGGGTAACGACCTTGCTCTAGTCGGAACAAGGGCGCGTCCCACCGGTTCTTCTCTATGGGTGCCTCAAAGCGGCTGGCCAGGTCTTTGAGGCTGTAGAGCGAGATGAATGGCGGTCACATCGCGATGGCGTTAGCCAGCGTACTCTCTTGTAGCATTGGGACGAGCGCCACGAAGGAAAGCGAAGACATACAGGACGGGGTCGAGCCGCTTTTCGCCTCGGCCTTCGTTCCACTCCAGCGCAGTGTCAAGAGGGACGTCGAACCAGATCTTCTCGAAAAAGACCAAAAAAAGTGAGTGGGCGGGCGATTAATCATACGCAGCAAGTGCGATGTTGTGTGTAGGTACCACGCAATTGGGAGTGCGCTGAGCACGAGCGATGCAATAAAGCTCGTAACGGTAGCCCTTGATGTAGTTCATAGAATCAAGAATGACCACGCAGTCCTTCGACAGAAAGCGCTCCACCCCGGCCTTCAATCCCGCCCTCAGGTTCTTCTCAGAAAAATTATCTTGGCTTGGTCAGCATCAAGCACCACCTGGTGGTGCAACATCACCCACCTCCTTCTATCTCTTCTTCCCGCGCCAAAGAATCAGCCCCGAGCGGCGTACCTTTATAGCCATCGGCCTTCGTAATGTGCAGGGATTCTTCATTGATCAGGTGCACCTTCTTGCCGCTCTCTACGAAGTGTTTCTCCAGCAACTGGGCATGATGGGTCTTCCCGCTGCAGGGAATGCCACAGATGACCACCAGTGGCATCTTCTCTGGCCAGATGATCCTTCGGCGTAGAAAGAAAATAAGGGAAATGTGAAGAGGCCCGACAGAGGGAAAAAGAAAGAAGAAAAATTCAATTCGGCGGTCTTTGCGTGGCGCATCGCATCACATCTGCTCTTTCTAGAAGTTCTTCTCACCATTGCCGCATTCTACTTGCTGCGCAACACTGCGCGATCGATGAATTCACCCGAACCTGGCCTGATGGAAGCCTTTGCTGCCGTGACCCAAGCCGTGCGCACGGCCACTCGCCAAAGTACTCTCCTCCTGCCGCCCATTACGTGACGTTTTATGGCCTTTGGATACTGATGTATATTTCACACACAGCATTCTATGGCGACAATTTGTGGGTCGAGCCCGACGTGCGTCTTTACCGCCTCGATGCCTTTCATCGCCATTATCATTATCATCATAATCTTTTATTTATTCACAATCTTTTATTTATTCTACTTTTTCGGCCATCAGATGGAGGAGATCTTGTCGGGTGGCACTCCCGCGGATGCTGCCGACCACTCGCCCCTAGCAACAAGTCTGGGCGACTTTGAAGTGCTCGGCTCAGAGCTGGACGCTGAAGGTACTACCTACCACCTTCTCTCCTGTTACTACGGCTTCCTCTCAGCGCTTGTGTCTAATTCATTATTAATTATTGATTGTGCAGAGGAAGAGGTGGACATTCCCCGCGGGGAGAGGAAGGCACCCCTTTCGCCCCAAGAGTGGCGCTCCTTCTTCGACGAGACCGGCAGGATCACCAACGAACGCAAACTCAGGAAGAAGATCTTCTACGGGGTACACCCTGATCCTCCTTGAGCGTTGGGGATGTTGTGAATGCACCCATTGGCTAACGCTTCTGGCGATGTGTTGCTGCTGCCGTTTAAATGGCTTGTGCTTCAGGGTGTCGATCCGTCGATCCGTCGAGAGGTGTGGAAGTACTTGCTCCGGTACTATCCCTTCGATTCCACCCAGGAGGACCGGCTTATCATCAGGCAGAGCAAAGCGTATGCACAACCATCACTCCTCCAGATCTCTTAATTGGGAATTGCTCGACTTAGCGTAGCTCACCCACCCTTGGCACCTCAGGGTCGAGTACCGGATGTACAAAACGCAGTGGGAATCGATCACGCCAGAGCAGGAAAGCCATCACTCCATCTTCAGAGAGCGCAAGCACGCCATCGGTATGGCTTGCGTCCTCGCTCCGAGGGGAGTTGTACGTGCAATAGCCACTTACGCTGCTCCCCCCCCCTGCCGCGCTCTCGCAGACAAGGACGTGGTGCGGACGGACAGAACGACGGCGTTCTTTCAAGATCTGGCGGGGCCGAACCTCAGACAGCTCAACGACATTCTTGTCACATACACCTTCTTCAACTTCGATCTCGGTGCGGGCAACACCAGCCCCCCCTCCCAATCTCTGCCTTTTTCACGGCTTAGCTAGCGACCTAACTCGTGTACTCCCCTCTTTCCAGGCTACGTGCAGGGGATGAACGACCTTCTGTCGCCCACCATGATGATCATGGAAGACGAAGTGGACTCGTTCTGGTGCTTCAAGGGCATAATGGACAACATGGTAGGCACTCCTCCCCGCTTATCGTTCGCTCATCAATCGACGCACACTGTTGCGTTTCCCGATCACTGACGTGTGCCCGTTGCATCGGCCCAGGCGGACAACTTCGAACGCGAACAACTGGGAATGCGAGTGCAGTTGGCGCAGCTTCGCGAGATCCTCTCCGTGCTCGACCGCCAGCTTTACGATCACATGGCCAAGCACGACAGCCTTAACATGTTTTTCTGCTTCCGTTGGCTCCTTATCCTCTTCAAGCGCGAGTTCGACCTGTCCGAAACGCAGACCATCTGGGAGGTGCGTGCCCTCTCATCACCCTCAGCTGACACGAACCTTACACGATCTTCTTTTTTCCTCGCACCCAACAGGCGCTGTGGTCGCGGCACATGTCCGACTATTTCCACCTCTTCATTGCGGCGGCTATCTTACTGGCCGAGAAGAAGAAGATCATCGTACACGACATGGGCTTTGACGAAACGCTTCGGGTATCCTTCCCGACGCCATGGCGTTGACGTAACGCGTTGAATTTCAGAGCTTTTTCAAGTCTAACCGCCTCGTGTGCGCGCGCTCGAAACCAGCACGTGAACTCGTTGGCGGGAAACCTGAATGCGAACGAAGCGCTGATTGAAGCAGAGCGGCTGTACAAGAAGTATCTTGTGCGGACTGGGTGCGCAAGCGACGAGGAACTAAAGGCGAGAATGATGGTGGTCGATGCCGAGATCCGACCGCCGAAGAGACCTCTGCCCCCCAACATCTTTGATGCCGTCCGCGCCGGCTAAGATCGACCTCTACGGAGACCACTACGTTGCCGCTTATCCGCCTGCTATCCTGTACATACAACAATGCAAAGCCCTCTCTTGCCACACGTCGCCAAGCGCACGCACAGAAACAGGAAACGAAAACAAGCAAAATAGAAAAGAAAACCACCATAAAAAAGAAGATATCGCCCCACCCAGATTTGAACTGGGGTCCCAGGTACCAGAAACCTATATGCTGCCAACTACACCATGAGGCGCTCTTGATGTGCTCCTACACCTCAAGCAAAAGATTTGATGCTCTCGCCTGGGTGGTTGATCAGTTGACCGGAAATGGGGTGAACCAACGCTCTCGCCCATTCGAAAACTTTTTCCGAATGTACGAAAAGAATGTACGAAGTATTAGGACACTCCGCGTGCTTCCTCGCGTTCCAGGCGAGGAAGGCCACCGGAGGTCTAGATCGCAGAGAGACGGTGCATGTTGGCTTACGGTATCCGTTCGGTGGTCGCTCTCCAACCGCCTGACCTGGCACATAAAAGGCCACGCTGTGCTGCCTTCCCCCAATCTCTCTTAAAAACAACCACACTGCCATAACATAACATGAAGGCCATCCTCGCTCTCTTCGCCCTCCTCTTCGTCGTCAATGCTGCGCAGGCCGTCCTGTTCTTCTGCCAGGACAGCACCTTCGACCCCGAGCAGCCCTCCTTCGACAACCTGCTCGACTTCTACGCTGAGCGGAGCGACTTCAGGGGCCTGAGGGACTACTTCTACGACATCACCCACAACGCCGATCTCGGTAACACCACCGTCGAGGCGGACATCATCGACCTGCTCAAGGCCAAGCTCACCGAGCAGGGCTACGACCTGGCCACCCACAGCTTCACCATCACCCGCTCCAACGGTGACATCACCATGGACACTGGTCTTGGCGTCAACCCCGTCATCGATAACCACGGTGGTCGCTACTCGCTCGGCAAGGTACCCTTCTCTCCATCAAAACTGCCCATCTTTCTCTTTCTTTGCACTGACCCCCGCCTTCCCCCCAACGCGCATCCACCAGCCCATGCTCTGCAGGGACTTCGAGACGATCGTCTTCGACTACACCTACGTGACCCGCACGGGCAAGCAGTACAGGTTCTGGTCGCAAGCCGTCCAGACCAGCGTCCAGAAGCAGTTCTTCTCCTTCAGGTGGAACATCATGGTCAACTAGGTGTTGCGTCCTCGGTCCCAACTTCGCTTGGGCAACAAGTGTTGTGTGCAATATAAACTCCCCTCCGATCTCCGTTCACCGAACGCCGGTGATGTTAGTGTTCATTTATTCGGTCATCTCACGTGGCTGGTTGGTTCGGAGTTAAAAACTCACTGACGGGCCGCGTCAACGAGCACCGCGGAGGAAGGTAGACCACGGGGAGAGGGTGGTTGCGGGAGAGGTGTCGGACTCCCTCGTGATCTGCGACACCAGGGTTGGCCTGTACTCACTGCTACCGCGGAGGCCAACCGCATAGACCTGCAGAGACCACCACCCGTAAGTGACAACTCGCGGGCAGAGAATTAAACAGTGGCAGACACATACAGTGAGAACGTCGCCGTCTTCGAGGTCCAAAGTGGACGAGTCGAACGTCAAGCCTCGCTCCATCACCAGCAGCGTGTATCTGTCCGTGTCGACTTCTCTATAACCTGAAGGGTGAAACGAATGGAGGGAAGGGTGGTGGGATGGCCTTCTAGTGAACGACCGGAGTGTATGTCCCGTACCTGTGCCTACGATCTCTCCGTGCTCCCCAAAGCTCACCTTGCTGAAGATCTTTTGGCCGCCCAACATCACATCGAGCGGGCTGAAGCCAGCGGCTGCATGGATGAAGCTGCACATGGCCAGTGCCGTCGGCGGTCAGTACATTCAACCCCGCGGTGATGAACGTGGTGAGGAGTACCTACCGGAATTTAGCCTGGCCGGCTCCGGGGTCGAGGTTGTCGTCGATAAAGGTGATGATGCGCAGCGGGTACTTCTCCAAGTCGGACAGCTGCCCGGTGAGTACCATGGTGAAATCTACACCGGTGATAACCACCAGGTTCTCCACCTCCATGATCACCTACGATGGACAGTGAATCGGAGGTAAAACGGCGCGAGTGGTGGATGAAAGCGTACCTTGGAGGTGTCATCATGAGCCACGACGCGCACGTCGTACATGCCGCCTTCGGCATGGTAGTAGTCGGTGTACTCGGCGAAGTCAAGGTCCGTGAAGATGGTGTGGGCGGTGGTGTTGAGCTTGGAACGCAGCTGAATGTCCACGGCCGGACCGTTGGCGACAGCGTGGAAGAAGTTGAGCCGGGCTTTGGCTTCGGCGGTCGCCAGCGACATGAAGAGGCACGATGCAATGACGATCACCAGGAACCTCAGGCTTGGACGCAGCATGGTTGGTTGAGCTCTTGGTATTCTTGGTGTGTTTGTTGGGTGTGTTTGTAAGCGAATGAATGCAGTTAGAGCACCTAGTCGATGGCCGATGGATCGCACAAGGCTAGAGCGCTCAACGCTCTTCACAAGGTCGTGAATCCGACGTGAGCGAGCTGAAATGTCTGAGGGCTCTCCGGAAGACCATGCCTGGGATTTCACGGCCACGGTAAGAACAAAGAAACAGGAAAAGAAAACAACCAAAAATGAAGATATCGCCCCACCCAGATTTGAACTGGGGTCCCAGGTACCAGAAACCTATATGCTGCCAACTACACCATGAGGCGCTCTTGATGTACCCCAAACCTTGAGAGTGAGTGACCAAAGAATAGAAGAATGACCCCTGGCGAGCAAGGCAGGAGTAAAAAGAAGAACTTGCGGAGCGAAACTTGAAGGATGAAGAGGGCCGCGGGCACGCTTTCGGGGTCTGCACCAACACACCTGGGAGACTTCCTACGCGTCACACAGGGCGCGTACCTGGTCGCGGATCAATTTGCGGCCCAGGCGGCGGTGAACAACCGCGCATCGATGCTGGGCCGCGCCATCTTCCGCTCACCGCCCCCTGCCATGCGCACCACCAGCGCCGATGCTGCCACAGCCACGGCCCCACAAACTGGAGCATCTGCTGCAGAAATCGCCACAACCCAGGTCCGGTCTTGCAGTATTGATTATGTGGAGTTCGTTGTGGATTAACTGCTCCCCCTGCAGGATGTGGCGGCGTCGTCATCGGTGCTAGCACCGCCAGTTGTTGTTCCCATCCCTCCCGTTGCTCCTGCACCCACCACGGCAACTGCACTCCCTCCCCACGCCGTACACTCTCCCGTGCCGCCCTCTGCCCCAGCGCCTTCTGCCCTCGCGGAATCCACCCCAGCACCCCAAGCGGCGAAGTTGAGTGGTGCCGGTGCCAAGGTGGAGGCCCAGGCTCCACCGCTGGAAGAACCACTCACGGTACCTCACGCCCACACACCTCATGTCAGTTGTTGCGTGTCGTTGCTGAGACCTCACAAACCGCAACGCAGAAGACTGCGCCACCGCCGCGACCGACATTCGACCGGATCAAATACCTCCAAGAGCAACAGGTACAACAACCGCCGACGCAGAGAGGAAACTTTTATGCCTCCCTGGAGGGATCTCACACTGCTCTCTACCACCAGCAACGAATCAAAGAGAACTCCAAGCAGCGAAAGGTCCCGAGCTCGCAGGTCGGCAGGCTCTGGCACTTTGGCGGTATGTATGAGAAAGCTGGCTTTGTAGTGGTAGTCGTCCTTACCATGGCGTGTGTGCCAGGCCTGGGCGTGAGGATGGGGATGGGGACCCTTGGCGAAGCCGCTATGAGGACGGTGGGGCTTGGGAGTTCCGCATCGGCTCATCCGGCAGTCACTCCCGTACGAGACCCGCCCTATCGCCAACGTTGGTGCATGGAACGGAGTTGCTCTTCGTTTTCTGTTGCTGATCCAAGACCTCCGTTGTCCAGGCCAACGCTCAGAGACTGACCAACACCCTCGGACGAATGCGCGGGGCGGCATTGAAACTGGGGCAAATGCTCTCCATTCAAGGTAACCACAACGTCCGAGCGATGATAAGGAATAGGTGGGTCTAATGGTCCTGCGTGTCACCCAGATTCTGCCCTGATCCCGCCAGAGCTGGCCGAAATCCTTGATCGAGTCCGCTACGCAGCCGACAGGATGCCAGACCAGCAGTTGGAGGTGCCGATCACCAAATGGCTCCAATACACTCGCCAGCTGACAAATCTCACTGCGCTGTCCCATACAGGATGTCATGAACCATGAACTCGGCCATGATTGGCGATCGCGAGTAAAGGAATTCGATCCTGTCCCCATCGCTGCCGCGTCGATCGGTCAAGTCCATCGAGGTGCACTCCCATTTCTTCTCCTGGTCGTCTCTGTCGCGTCGTGCTGTACCAACGCTGTGGGTGCGTAATGCCGCTGTTAGGCGTGCTCGCGGATGGAAGAGAGGTGGCCATCAAGGTGCAGTATCCGGGTGTTGCCGACAGTATATCAAGCGATCTGAACAACCTCGGAAGCTTGCTCAAGATGCTTGGAATTCTCCCCAAGGGCATGTATCTGGTATTTGTCATCCCCCCCCCTCCACACCTTCATTCCGTCGTTATCAAGGCGACCAGCAGGCGTCTTACGCGGCTTCCAGGAGAACACGCTTCGCGTGGCTCAGGATGAGCTTCTCTGGGAGACGGACTACCACAGGGAGGCCGAAGCGACCATGGTACGATATGGCGTACCCAATCACCCCCCCCCCTCTACACGCGCGCACACCATGACCTTGCGCTCACTTATCGAACACCGTGGCCAACTTGCAGAAAATGAAGGAGCTTTTGTCTGATGAAGAGATATTCGTCGTTCCAACAGTCATACCCGAGATGAGCTCCAAGAAGGGTACCCGCCTCTTCCAACAACAGGGAGCGATACTGCGTAACAGCGCGAACTGACACAAACTTTTTTTCTTCTCTCTTTACAGTGCTAACCACCGAACTGCTTGATGGACAGCCCATCGAGCATGTCGTCAAGGATGACCAAAAGACGAGAGACATGGTACACCCAAGTGCCGACTCTGCTTTGGGCTTTATCCGCTCACCGCCCGTGCGTCGTCGATCTAGGTCGCCGAGTCAATGCTGCGACTGTGCTTGCGAGAGATTTTCGAGTTCCGTTATATGCAGACTGACCCCAACTGGTCCAACTTCCTCTATAACCCTGAAACGAGAAAGGCACGACACTCACCTTACCTGCCTGACCGTGCACGGCCTTCGATAGGCTCCCGCTCTGACTCCTGCATCGGGTACTCCTCTAGATCGGCTTGTTGGACTTTGGCGCATGCCGGGACTTCAACAAAAGCTTCACGGACGAGTACATGCGCGTCATCTACTTCGCGGCGAAGCAAGACAGAGAGGGTATCATCGACGCATCGAGGAAGCTCAAGTTCCTCACAGGTACATCACCCCCCCCCCAATTCCCGCAGTCACGGATCCGTTCTGAAATCGTGTGTGCAACCACCAGGCGAGGAGCCTCCCATCATGAATGAGGCACACTGCAGCGCGGTGATGATCCTGGGAGAGCCTTTCGCCAAGCCTGGGCCCTTCAATTTTGGCGCGCAGAACGTGACGCAGCGCATCCACGAACTCATCCCCACCATGCTCAAATACCGGTACACTCACTACAAGGCTCCAATCCTCCGTGGTTCGGCAACTGACCGCTGGGTCCGTGTGTGCAGGCTCACACCGCCACCCACCGAGACCTATTCACTGCATCGCAAGCTGTCTGGCGCCTTCCTCCTGTGCGCCAAGCTGCAGGCTCAGTTCGCGTGCCAGCCCATGTTCATGGACCTCTACCGCAAATGTGGTCCTCAGTGAGACGTAATGTGGTGTAGCTGATACCAGGTCTTGGCTGTACAAGTCTGCACACATTCGTGTGAATCCATCCTCTAGTCATACATCCCAATTTGATTGACTACACCAGCATAACGAAGAGGGCGGGTCATTGGAGCAGGCACTTGCCAGAGCGAGCGGCCTCCATGGCCGCGATCCGCTCCTTGGCCGCCCGGCCCGTGCTCGACTTGTCGTAGAGCGCCTGCAGCACCTCCGCGCTCGGGACCCAGCACTCGACCCCGACCGCGCCAGAGCTGGCGAACGGGTCCACACCCAGCAGGGCCACCTCGGTCAGACGCAGGAACGTGTTCTCCACCTCGCTTCCGGTGCGGCTGCTCGTTTCGGCCCAGCCGGCGGCGCCCAACTCCAGGGCCAGCGCTTGGCCCTCCTCCGGTGACACTTGCCTTTGATGCTCCAAGTCGTTCTTCGTGCCAACTAGACGCACGCGCACACAAGCTTAGCTTGAGGTCACACGACAAGGGCAAGGCGGAGGGGAGGATTGGTCTACCAAGGAGGAAGGGCATCATGTCAACATCGTCGGGCAAGTTTCGCTGCACTTCGTTGATCCAAAACTTGGCATTCTCCCACGAGCTTCGGTTGGTAACGTCGTAGACCACCACCAGACCGCGCGACCCTCGGTAGTAGGCCCGCGTGATACTGCGGAAACGTTCCTGGCCCGCCGTGTCCCACACTGAGATGCCAACCCAGTTCAGTCAAACACTCTAATAATGCACTCCACGCACACGCACGCACAACACACACACACACACACACACACACACACACAGAGAGAGAGAGAGAGGTGGGGGTAATACCCTGAAGCTTGATGCGCTGGCCACACAGCTCGATGGTCTTGATTCCAAACTCAACACCGATGGTGCTGACGTAGGGCAGGCTGAATTCGTCCCTGAAGAATCGCGTGTGGAGGGAAGTCTTGCCCACACCTTTTTTGGGGCCAAAAAAGAACACCAGAGCGAGAGTCAGCCCCATGCGTTTACACAAACAGCACCATCAAATAGCCCGTAGTGAAGCGTACCGGCATCGCCGATGACGTTGAACTTGAAAAGTTGGTCGTAGTCGGCAGACTGTGGCGGCGATGGACGCGCAGAGGCTGTGGGTCCGGCGAATCCTCTTGCTGGAGAGAGATGAACTGGCCCGTCAGCTATCGATCTCATCAAGTGACATGCAGTTGAAAAGTTACCTTTACTGGTGGCGTACTGCTTGAGGCGGGGCTGGAGCCAGGCCATGTAGTGCGCTTTCCATCGCTTGCCCTCCGACCCCTTGTCGTCGCTGCTCCATCGAGCATGGCAGAATCGGCGCCACACGTGGTCATCGCTGCTCACTTCGTTCAGCATCTGTGGTGTGGAATATGTCAGCCAGGCAGGCGACGGAGGCGAATCGAGGTTGGGGGCGGGGTGGATACCGAGCAGGCCTGGGCGACAGCGCACAAGTCGCTGGGCTCCAGGAAAGCCATCACGTGCACCAGCGCGTCGAAGGGCATGAACAAGATGGGACACGCCCGATAGCTCCAGCTTTCGATGAGCTCCGCCACGGCCACGTGGCCCGCCTCTCTCGCCACCTGATATCATGCGGCCTCCATCAGCCTCCTACCCTGGACTCAACTGCAAGAGGGACGAGCAGTGAAGACGAGGAGATGAGGGGAGAGGAGGGGCTCACCTCGGCGGCATTGCCGTGCTTGCTCATCATCTGTGTGTCGGCTCGCGAAGAGAGAAGGAGCGACACGACAGCGGCGTGGCCATAGCGAGCGGCGTAGTGCAGCGCAGTTTCGCCCTGCTCGTCGGCTTTGTCGACATCACTCACATGTTTGCCTGTGCACGAACGGCCCACTCGAATGTCAGCACCGCGTCGGTGACCACAACCTCACAAACGACTGCACCTTGAAGGAGGAATTGGACAACGGGCCAATTGCCGCGAGCGCAGGCCACATGGAATGGCGTCATCCCGTGCCTATCGGGCCTGATAACCCACATGATATGGTGTTAATGCAGTGACACACGCTTATGAACGTGCGGCCGTGAAGTCATACCAATTCGGACTGGCGCCGATGTCCAGGAGCAGCTGCCAGAACTTGACCGCGGGCGAAGGCATGGCCCATCTTTGCACCGTGTTGACCCACCTCGCACCAACCGTCGCCGGCAACTGTGCCATTGGTTGCAAGGATTGGCGTACGCGCGATGGTGCGTGTGCGGTGGTGAGTTTGCGGTGGTGCGTGTATGCTAGGAGTGGTGCGCGTACGGCAGGGTAGGGACCCTTCTGTGTTTCGGCCAGGGCGTGCAGCTCTGAGCGCTTGCAATTCTGCTGATGGACATGGGCGCCGTGGTCGATGAGCAGGCGGGCCATGGCCATGTTGTTGCACTTGACCGCGGCGAGAAGCGGCAGCAGGCCCATGTCGTCAGCCTCATTCACGTCGCACCCTTCTGGTGGTCAAAAATGCCTCGGTGGTGAGAGGCTGGAAAGGCAGTACACCACCACCACCACTACGACGGCCGCAACGTACGAGGATGAGGGCTTGCACCGAAGTCTGGTCACCGTCGACCACAGCCGTTGTGAGGGCTGCTGCGGGACTCAAAGTACTCTGGTCTACGCTGGTCGGCTCCTGCCGATTGTTCGCTGTGGCTACGCTGGTCATCTTTCCTTGTACTGGCCAGAAGTGGAATGATAACAACTTTTGCGGTGAGTTTGTGTGCCATGTGGTGTGCACGGTAAGGGCAGGAGCGACCGTCGTTATCTTCTTCAAGAAGTGTCTTCTTCGAAGAGCCTTACGTCGACTGTCGACGGTTGGACGCATCAACGTCACCGTCGACATTAAATGAAGGACTCAGAGTTGTTGCTGGTACTAATCTCAGCAGGGGACTGTGACCGATGCACCTGCGGCATCACCGTGCGTGAGGACGGGCCGCACCGATGGCCGGCCAGTGGTAAGTATGCGAGGTACCCCGCTTAGGCCATGCGCCTGAAGGTGATCGCGGCCAGCGGTGTGTGGCCAAGTCAGAGTCCCACTTTTTCTTATTCCGCCAACCAACACAGCGATGGAAGACGGCCACGAGAGAACAACACGGCTGCGGCTTCTCTGCGTGGCGGTGGTCGTGTTTATTGGACTCGTGCCACCGGCCGGTGGACAACCTCACTGCTGCGCCCCCCGCTCCTATTCCATCTTCTCTGAGACCTTCTCCAACTTCCCCAGCACGTCCCCCCCTTCGATCTTTTTTGTGGAGGTCGCAGAGTGAGCCCTCCGCTTACCGGCTTTGTGCCCGCGTGCAGACTACCCGAGGGTGGGCATGAGCCATGACGCGTACGACGAACAGCGTGGCATGTACTCGCGCGTGCTCTACGGCAACGACACGTACGAGCTCTACAGCCTTCCGGTGCGTCCCCTCTCGGCGGGTGTGGTTGTCGCTCTATTTGCTTACGTGGCCACAGGAGGCGGTGTACATCGTCAACATGACCGACAATCCGCAATGCAAGAAGACGACCTGTGGAGGTGACAAATGCTCTCTCCAACCCGCCCAAGGAAGCATCCAAGTGTAGCTCACCCGCGCCTTGTGGTGGTGTGCGATTGCAAGCGCCGTGCTTCTACCCATTGTGTACGAACACGACGAACTGGTTCTACAACGGACTGATCACCATTGGTGTGGAGAAGGCCAGCCAGTGGACGAACAACTTTGGCAGCCTGGACATGCAAATGATGCCTATGGCCCATGATCGCTGCATTCCCGTGGCCTACACCTCCGTCTTTGTATGTTCTCCAACGAGCATTCACCCCCCGAACAATCCCCCACAAACGAGCTGATGTGTTCTCCCCACACAGGGAACGGTGGAGAGCAAGCTGCAGTATCTCTTCACCTGGTGGCGGAACATGCAGGAGGAGCCATTCCCTCCCACCGCCTTCCAACCACCTGCCATATGCCATGGGCTGGAGGACTCAACCACTGCGTTGCAGGCCAGCCACCCTCGCCTCATGTCATTTGTACACACCCACTCACTTCACTCTGTGATCAGAAACAAGTGAGAGCACCAACCAATTCGACCTTTGCAGCTTTTCCTCAGTTTCTTGTCGTGTTCTGATTTCGTTCTGAATTCTGAGCACAACACGATATTACAGAAGGGATGGAGTACGAGCAGCGATCCTTTCGATTTGGCGACGGCATAGAGGCCTCGATATGGCTGCTCTCTGAATTCAAGGGCAAACAATTCGATGCCAAGCAGCAAGGTGCGGATAATCTCCATCTTTATCAAATTTTGTACAATCTCCATCTTACGATATCGTGCTCTGTCTGACGCTCACAGGTTTGTACCTGTGGCCTGGTGCCGAGCGCCTGTGCCGATTTGCTGCCTACAACCCACACCTCTTCGCCCAGAAGCGAGTAATCGAGCTCGGTGCCGGGGCCGGCCTTGGCAGCGCGGTACACATCACTCCCTCTTCCTGATGTCCACAGAAGAGGCCAACGCAAAGTCGTAACTTTATGGGGTCTGCGCAGGTGGTGGCCCAGCTGGGTCCCAGCGAGCTGGTCGTCACGGACGGCAGCGAGCAAGTGATGGACCTCCTGCGACGCAACGTGAACGAGAATCTGAACCGAGCGCCGCAGCGAGTAGAGAGTGGGGAGAACGGCGACGCTCATCAGGGAGAGGACTGCAGCATGGTGGAGCAGAACAACGGCGGGACCACGACGGCGGCGGCGGCGGCGACGAAGGTGCAGGTGCTCAGCCTGGGGTGGAGCGCGGACGAGGAGGAGTTGAAGGCCGCGCGAGATAGCGAGGGCCGAGAGCTCTGCCACACGTTCGACGTGGTGTTCGGGAGCGACGTCATCTACGAGTACGCCAACATCGTGCCGCTCCTCACCACTGCCAGGGCGCTGCTCTCCGACGACGCCCGCGCCTTCTTGGTTTTGGCCTACGTGCACCGGTCCGACTACCTCTGGGTACAGATACGCCTCCTTCACACTTCACAGTGTCGCCCGCGCAGTGTCGTGTGGCGTGTCGTGTAGTGCTCACAGTGTTTTGGCGATTCGGCACAGGACGAGATGCGGCGGCACGCCCAAGAGCTGGGCTTGACGTGCGAGGTGGAAAGCGAAAGCACGGGCGGCGGTGGCCAGCTCGGTCGGATTCTCATCTTCCGCAAGATGCGATCCTAAGAACAACAGCAAGACCACGGACACCGAAGACGGAGAGGGAGCGTGAGTGTAAGTAAAAAGAAAGGCTTTAACGGTTTTCTGTTGTTAAGTGCATCTAGTGATATGTCCACCTCTCTTCTTTGTTAGTGTTGAATACATCTGTTACGACCATAGCGATTCTATCTACATGTACTGCTCTTCTTCTTCTTTGCCGCCCGTCGTCGCCATCATCGACAGCGACGTGTCACGCGGCGCAACGCCACAGGAGCTGCTGTGTCCTCTCCTATTACAGCTCGTAGGCTCGACCCACTCGCCCGAGCTTGTCCGACACCTCGATCTTGGCCTTGCCCTGATACGTCCCTTGCTGCAAATGCGTCGTGTGCGATGAGTTGTGTGCGTGTGCGTGCGTGCGTGCATGCTTGTGTGTTGTGTGTTGTGTGTTGTGTGTTGTGTGTTGTGTGTGTGTGGTGAACGATGGGGGGGGTTTGGCGTACGTTGGGTCGGAACTTGCCGTCGCAGTGCATGTGGCCGAGCTGGAGGAGGTGGCACGGGTTCTTGAGCACGGCCCCCTTCTCGCGCATGGCCTCGACGAGCGCGTTCTCGGCGCCCCACGTGTTCTGCTTGATGGCCAGCTCGGCCACGTTGGCGCTGAAGTTGAACGGCAGCGGGCTCAGGAAGAGGAATGCGTCCAGCGACGAGATGTCGGCCCGGGCCAGGCAGTGCTCGTTCTTCTTCTCCACGCAGAAGGGCGACGTCAGCTCGTAGCGCGACAGCGCGTACACCTTGAACCCGTGCTGCTGCTGCTGCCCCGGTTCCTCGTCAGCTGAGCCGGCCGTCGCCTTCTGCTGGTCGCCACTGGTGGCAGCGACGGGTTCGCTGCTGCTGCTGTTGTGCGGTTTAGCTCCGACGTGGAAGTGGTCTCGCGTGAGCGCGCCGAAGCCCTCGCCCAGGAACACGTCGCAATTCATGATCATCGCCATCTCGCCCTTCAGATGCTCGTCGGCGTATTGGATCGCATCTGCACGACGCACGACGCACGACACGACACACGGTCATGAGTCACTCCCTGCATCAGTCACACGGGACCCGCCAAAAGAACGCACGTACCGTGGTAGGTGAGGTACTTGCCGAGGAAGACGAACTTGAGCTTGCCGCACGGGTCGTGGACACCCTGGCTCACGATGAACGCCTTGTCCGCCTCCCGCTCCATCAGCAGGTGAATCTCCTTCACGTAAGGATTCGCTGCACACATGCACCACGGCACATGCACACCGCACACGCACACGCACACGCACACACGCGTGAGACACACACCGCACATGCGCATGTGTACCATCGCACGCGCAGGCAACAAAGACGGAGACGGTACCGACGTTGCGGCGCAGGGTCTCGGCGTACTCGGCCTGGCGCCGCTCGCGGTGCACGGGCGGGAGGGAGTTGACGTAGGCCAGGTGGTTGTAGAGCCGCCGCCGGGCGTCCATCTCGAGGTGCTCGTCGACCACCACCTCCTTCTGCTCCTGCCGGAAGTCCACCGCGGCCAGCACCGGGAACTGCATCACCAGATGGACCTGGCCCCGGCACTCCCCGCGCACGTCCCGCACCCGCCTGAACCACCGCCCCTCGGCCTGTCGATCCGCTTCGCTCATCTTTTTCGCCGCGGCAGCTTTGTCTTGGGCGGCGTTGTGGAGGGCGTGGCGCTGGGAGGGGGGCCGGCGGCCCCAGACCTCGGCATCCTCGGCCTCCCAGGCCTCGTTGTTCTGCATGGTCTTGACCATGCAGAAGAGCACTGCCGACAGTACGACCAGGGCGAGGAGCAGCATCTTCTTCTTCTTGTGATCTGTCGGCGTCATCCTCCTCCGATGTTACTTTGATTTTGTTGATTTTAGTTTCGGTGAGCTGCCGTGGGCACTCGCGTGTTCTTCACATTTTAACTCCGCAGACAATGACCAACTACGGTGCTACATTTGCAGCGATTTTTCATCGGAAATGAAGAAAACGAAATTAAAGGCCAAAAAGAAAAAGAAAAGAAAAAAGGAGGTACAAGACCAAGATGGGAAGGAAGGGAATCGGTTGTGGCGCGGTGACGATGGGCTTGCGACGGCGGTGGTTTGTACTCCTTCTTGTGGGGACCACCCTCTTCTTCCTCGGCACCGCTTTCTATCTGCCCACGGTACCTTGTTAATCGTAACATCTTGCCCCTTGGGGCTGGCATTGAATTGAGCTGTTGTGTGGGTGCTGCACGAGCAGGAGCACGGCCGAGTGAGGCCCAACGCCGCCCAGTCGAGCGTAGACTACGCAAGAAAGATGACGAAGGCCGCGCCCAACGCGATGGCCGAGCTGACGCAGGAGCAGCGACGGCAGCTCCAGGAGCGACTCGACCGGGAGCTGCGTGCGGTCGAGGCCGACCACGATAGCATCGTCCACGCCATGTATCCCCACCCCGAGAACGGCACCTGCTTCGGCGAGATCAACATCATCACCCAGGTGTGCTCCTTCACGCCCCTTCCTTCGCACCCGCTCCTTCGCCTGCTTACGCCGTGTGTGCGGTGGCGTCTGCAATGTGCGTGTGTGTGCGGTGTGTGTGTGTGTGCGTGCGTGCGTGCGTGTGCGGTGTGTGTGCGATGATGTTTAGTTCCCAGTCTTGCCGGAAGTGCTGCCGGAGCTGGGCGAGGTGAAGAGCGCCAAGGACGCGGAGGCGATCGGGAAGGACCGCAGGTACGCCGTCGAGAAGGGTCCGCTCCACCGGCGTCGGCGGCAGGAGGAGTACCTCGACACGCTGCGCAAGAATCTGAGAAATCCGCACGTCAGGCGGATCCACCTCCTGCTCGAGCGGGAGAGCGACCTGGAGTTCATCCTGGCCCAGGGCATGCCCGACGTGTGCGGCAAGCTGCAGCCGGTGCCGCTCGGCCGCTGGATGCACTACCGCGACGCCTTCGAGTACGCCGCGACGAAGCTGCCCGGCGAGCTGTGCATGATCATGAACGCCGACATCTACCTCGCCCAGGGCTGGCAATTCGCCACCAAGGCCCTCTTTGAGCGCAAGACCGTACCCCATGGTACGATACGACCAACGACACGCACACGCACACGCACACGCACACGCACACTTATGGCAAGCGATGGGACGGCAGTGTACGTGCTGGCGCGGTGGGAGGGGCCGTCGGTGTTCTGCGTGGAGAAGCCGGAGGACAGCTGCACCACGCGGGCGCGGGTGGGGTCCTACGACGCCTTCGTCTTCCTCTCGCCGCTCCCTCTCGACGAGGGCGACCTCAAGGCCATCGACTACCAGCAGAACATATGGGGCGCCGAGAACCGGGTCCTCAACGTCCTCCACATGAGTGCGTCGCCCTCCGCCTCCGTCCGCTGGGCTTGTCTCTGTGTGTGGTGGCTGACGTGACGTTTGCTTGCTTGCTTGGTTTGGTTGGTTCGCGCGGCACACGACAGACCAGATTGGCGTGAGCAACCCGTGCAAGATACTGCAGGTGGGGCACAACCACTGCGACGCCTTCTTCCGACCACAGCAGGGTGCGAGTCTCTTCACGCGTGACACTCTTCTGCGCTTCCGCTCCCACACTCACTCCCTCCGGCTCACCACTCCTGTCTTCTTGGTTCGTTGTGTCGAACAACCAGGTATGCACGAGGGCCAGTATCGCGTGCCAGCGGGAAGAGCCCACATGGCGCCCTACTCCGCCACCCTGTAAGCAAACACCACCCCCACCACCGCAACAACGACAAAGGCCAAGAGATGGCCATCAAGTTTTTATTATTTATTATTTTTGGCTGGGACGAGCGTCACACGATGTAGAGCTTGGCGCCGGCGACGGTCGCGACGTAGAGGCACACCGTGTCGAGTACGTCCACCTCCTGGGCGTGGAAGGGCGCCGACGCCGCGAGCGTGACCACTGGACTGTCGCTCAGGATGGCCCGCGTCAGGGGCAGCTGCAGCGGCTTGCCCCACACCTCTGCTCCCCCCACGCACCACCACCACCACCATCATCAGCTCTCCTGATCATGCGAGAGCGTGGAGCGTAGGGCGTACGCTTGGTCGTGTCCTCGTCACCGCTGCGCGCCTCGAGCTGCGGCCTCTGCCGGGTGTGCTCCAGGACGCCGTGGAACGTGCACAGGTAAATGCTACACTGGCCCGTCGCGAAGATGAGCGCGCCGTTCTCTATGACGATCAAAGTTAACCAAATGACGAGGCCGAAGAGTGGATGATGATGAGTCAATTACCGAGATGGTCGTCGGGCGGGAGGACGGTGAGGAGGTAGCGGTTGAGCTTGAAGGGCACCATCAGACGGACGACCCGCGCGATGGGATCCGCGCCCTCCGCGGTCGTCGCCCATAGCGTGACGAGGAAGAGGCTCCCCTGACTGTCGAGGCACGAGAACGTGACACTCTCGGACCTGCGCTCGATCGGGTAGATGGCTTCCGAGAGACAACGCACGACACGCACACGCACACGCACACGACACATAGCGCGTGAGTGGGTGACGGTTGCATCGACGATTGATGCTCGGGGGTGCGGGTGTGTACCGGTGATGCTGGTTGCGCTGGTCGCGCTGGTCGCGGGTTCGAGCGCGAGGACGCTCCAGGCCTGATTGGTGTCGCTCCTGTCCAGATGGTGCATCACGAGCCCGTGCTCGGTGCCGGCCACCACCGTAGCGCCCGACGACGGCACGAGCGCCAGGCAGGTCACCTCCATCCCGGGGTACGACAGCAGCCGCTCGAACGTCAATCGCAGCTGCCGACGGCGCGTCTTCTGCAAATATGTCAAAAAAGAACGTCATCAGCACAGGCAACTGTGCGAGAGGGGGAAGAGGAGTGCGGAGCGTACGCCGAGCGTGACGGTGTGGAGGGCAGCGCTCCACACGCAGATCTCGGCCACGCCCTTGGCCGCGACCACCATCCGCGCGCCGTCCGAGGCGACGTGTGCCTCGGTGGGGTTGGGCAGCGGCATCACGCTCGTACGTCGCCCCGCTCTGCCGATGGTGGCGGCAGTGAGTCGTGTGGTTGTGCGTGCGCGTGCCGTGTGCGTGTCGTACGTTGGTGGCTGATAATCGTCGTCGTCCTCTTCGTCGCCGTCTTTTCGGCCCTTGGCCGCGTGCAGATACGAAAACGAGCCTCCTTCACCACCAACGCCCACGGCGGCTCCCGACAGCGCGCTCGTTGGCTTTGATGGCGGGGAAGATGATGAAGACGAAGAAGACGACGATGACGTGGTGGTGCTGGCGGCGACCGAGGCGGCAGCCTGTCGCCAGTGGTCCAGCGTCTTCTCCAACCGCAGCGGCACCTCGACCTCGACCTCGATCGCCTTCCACTCGCAGGCATGCTGGTGGTGGTGCTGTGACGTTGGCGCCTTCTTCCGGGCCTGGTCGCCGCGCACCACGACATGGCGCAGCTCCCAGGCCTTGACCTCGACCTCGTCGCCCTCGCGCTCGTGCAGCGACACCACCACTGTCGCCCTCGGCGCCCGTCGCCCCGGGCCGGCCGGTCCCTGCTGCTCGAGAGGCACCGCGCCACCGCCGTCGCTCTCGGTGCCCGATGTGGGTGGTGGCGCAGCGGCCGCAGTTGACGTCGGGTCGGGCACCACGGGCACCGCCAGGAAGTCCACCCACACCGACGAGGCCTCCACCTGCAGCACCTGCCCTCCGTCCTACGTTTCGAGCCCCGCCTCGGCGTTTGTGTCAGTGCCATGCCCTGCAGCCGACGGACGAGATTCGTTGTACGAATTGAGAGAATGGGAGGACCTTGAAGTGGTGTATGTCGCACGAGCCGTCGCTGCGGGACAGGCCCACGAATGCTGGTGGCTGCGGCTGCATCGCGTCACTTGCGTGCGGCAAGGGTTGGTGATTGCGGGCCTTGCCGCCACTACTCGAGTAGTGCCCCGACTTGAGCGGCGCGGGGGGCACCACGAAGCGACGGATGCCGCCGCCCCAGGGGAGGCCAAAGGTGAAGACGGGCTGGCCTGCCCCTGGCCCCACCCCACCGCTTCCTCTTGTGCTGCCCATCTAAAAAGAAAAGCAATGACCGAAAGAAATGAAAAAGAAATGACACCTCCGGCCATGCCAGCGTACGTCTGGTCTCGTTCTCCCTGCTTGATGTGCGCCGGCCCAAAGACAGCGAGCTTGGCATTCCAAGCCTTGTCGATCAGCACGTTGGACGACTTGAGGTCGCAGTGCAGGTAGGCGAGCCCGAGCGCGATGCCCTGGACCATGCGCTCCCGCGGCTCACAGCAGCTTGATCGAGCCGTCGGCCAGCACGTCGCGGAGCTTGCCCTTTGGATCCACTCGGTGACAATCCAATGTTGGGCCGCACGCAGGCGCCGATGAACAGGACCACGCTGGGATGGCGCAGCTAGGCCAGCAGGGCGGCCTCCTCGCGGAACCGCAGCATGGTGGCCTCGTCGAGCCGCTGCTTGACGAACCGATTCGCCGGTGAGCCCCCCGAAGGTACCCGACGAGACCACCAGCACGGGCTGCTCCCACGCCGCCTGGATAAGGCCCCACGCCGCCAGAGCGGAGGTCGTCGCTGCGGTCGTTGGCCTGGAGCTGGTTGGGCACGATCAGTACGTCGATCCCGGCACGCTGGACAGCACCAGCTCGGCGTTGCTGCTCGTTGGAACTGCTCGATGGCGTATCGGGCGACCACACCATTCTTGTGTGTATGATGACGCCCCAGAGAGCCAGCCAGCCAATGGCCCTCTTTGCTGAGTGGCCCATTTTAGTGCCCGCGGGCCAACGGACTTGCGACGGTCCGCCAAACAAGGCAAAAGGCTGCAGAGCACAGCTGCCCAGACCAGGGAGGCTCGGGAAAATAGGTAAAAGGTGAAGGGGGAACTACTACATGCTCTTGAGGAGGTTCTGGAGGGCTTCCTTCTTGTCCTGCGGGTCTGGTGATGCGGCCGGGTCTGTTGTGTCGCTGAGTAATGGCGACGAGGGCAGCGAGACGGAGGAAGTAGGCGGTGCCGACGCCGCGCTCGACGACTTGGCCGCAGACGACGTCGGGGAGAAGGGCATGATGACGGTGCCGGCTCGCCTCTTCTTCCCATTAGTGGCGTTGTTGGTGCCGCGAGGTGACGATGCCTCCTCGCCCGTGATTGTCTTGGTAAGGTCCCTGGCGCCCACCAGAAACTTGACCCCCTGGTTGGCCGCCGCGTAGTCCTCCTCCAGCTTGACGATTTTCGAAGTCTTGATCGTTGCCTGCAGCTTCTTGTAGGCCTGTGCACGCACGTTTTAGTTCCTATATGCAACCCAGAACGTTCATAGGACTTAAAAGAGCGCACCTTGATGAGTTCGTCGGTGTCGATTCTCCGTTTGGGGAGCTCGTTGATGAAGGAGAGCGCGTCTTCAAAGTTGAGCGACAGCAGCTCGCTCTCGAAGTGCTTCAGCACCGACAGCGAGAATCGGTACACCACGTCGGGTCCGCCCCACAAGTACAGATCCCACACCCTGCGCCACCCCCCCCCAACAGACCAGGTGTAAGCCGAAGAAGAAGAGAAAAAGAAGAAATGAAGGGAAAAAGCGTACCTGAGCACGACCGGGAAGGGAAGGGCGCCCAGGAAGATGTCCATGTACCACTTGGTCGCGTACATGGCTGTCTCGATGCCCGCCTTGGCCTGGCCATCGCGGTTAACGTTAACAAAAGTATCACTGCAGCTGGGGTGATTGATAAGCCAAGCGAAGGGCAGCTTGCGGGTGGCAAAAAGTACGAAGTGAGCGTGGAGAGCGGGGAGGTAGCGCTGGAGCAGCTTTTCGTGCACGGAGAAGCACTGGAACAGCCGAGGAAAGCCCTGTGGGTCCGACCGAGTAAGACGCGCGGATGAGCAATACGGCCAATCGCACCAGAGCGTGTACGAGGGTACGCGTACCAAGCTGAAGAGGCCCTGCATGGCGTATCGCCTGATCAGCGCCACAAGAGTCCACCACGCCTCCTGCGCGACGATTTGAGTCAACACACGATTTGCGTAAACTTGAGCATCTCGCCAACTCTAGAGAGCGCAGAGTCATGGTGTTTGGGGGGGGAGCAGGGCATGGTTTGCCGCACCTCTTCTTCCATGTACATGACCAGGAGCGCAGCGATGTCGGCCATGCCCTGGCAGTACCCGATGTCGACATTGAAGATGCTGTACGCCTTCAGGATGTTGGACAACGCCTTTTGTCTGCGGCGTTGCGGGAAGAAGCAGAAGAAGAAGGGCAATCGTCACGCATGAGTGAACGCTTCAGAAGCCAGCATAGAGAACCAGGTTCTTATGTCGTAGAGGCGGGCGTACCCCATGCCCTTCTTGTCGCGGAACATGAAGTGATTGCGGTACGTTCGTTTGATGTCGAGATCGATCTGACGCCCGTCTTTTGTGTTGTGCGCCTTGGCGCACAGTTCCTGTGTTTTGGTCACACCATGGCCCGTATGAGCCCATCTTGGTCGGTATCGACAAGTACGCGAAAGGGTGGACGTACCGGGTAGCTGAAGCCCAGTTCCTTCTGCACCCCTCGCGCATTGACGATGAGCTTCCACACGGTCCCGCGCACGCAGTCCGGTATGCCTTTGGCCACCCGCCCGTGCAGCTTGGGCAGCTGCACACACCAAATAATAATAGCGCAACTTAGTAACGACGCATGGCAGAAGCCCAGCCACGCGCGGCCAGGAGCACCTTTTTCTTTCGCTTGTAGATCTCCCAGTGTTGAATGATCTTGCTCCATTTGAGCGCTCGCGAGGCCTCCATGGCTCGTCGCTTCATTGAAGATTCGGAAGTCTCCCTGTCGTGTGTGAGGTGGCATCCACGGGTATTGCGCGTTAATAGGAGTTCAATCCGACCTACATAGGAGCTAAAAAGGAGAGTGCGCACCCCTCGTCCTTGAGGAAGCCGTATTTGTCGAGTTTGGAGTAGTCGATTTCCTTCTCGCCAAACTCGTCGTCGCTGTCGTCTGAGTCGGTGAGGTACGAGGTGAGCGTCGCCTCGTTCTCGCCGTCGTTTTCGGTGAGGTCGCTCTCGCTCCTATCGAATCCACCACCGCCACCGCCGCCGCCGTTGCCGCCGCGCACGATGAAGTCGCCCGCCACCTCCTTGATCGAGTCGATGGCGTCAGAGCTGTGGCTCTTCAGGTCTTCGCGCTCCTTGGCCGGCAGCATCGAGAATCGTTCCAACAGGTCCTCGTTGCGTCGACTCCGCGGGCTCAGCTGGAAGCTGGCGAGCGAGGCAGTCTTGATCATCTTCCCGATGCCATTCAGCTTGCGGTCCTTGTCGCCCTTCTCCTTCTTCTGCCGGTCGGAGAGGTTTTTCTTCTTCTTTTTCTTCTTCTTCTCTTGCGGCTGCTGCTCGGCGGCAGCTGTCGACGTGGCCTGCGCGGTGGCCTCGTGCGTCGAGTTCTTGTTCTTGTGCACCACCGCCCGCCGCTCGCCGCTGCCGTCGAAGATCCACCCCTGCTCTTCGTTTTCGTTATTGTCGTCGTCGTCGCTGGTCCACACCCAGCTGCGGTCCGACGAGTCGTCGTTGTCCGTGCTCATGTTCTTGTTGTTGCCGCGGTATCGCCGCGAGGGCAGGGTCAGGTGCTGGTTGCCCTGGCTCTGGCTCTTGCCCGCCGCGCCCGCAGTCGCCGCCGACGGACTCACCGGCCCCGTGGGCTTGCTGGAGCTCCGGCCGCGCGGTGCGGGCTCCTTCTCCGGCGGCACCGCCTTGGCCGCTGCCCGGTTCTTCTCTTCGTCGTTGGCCTGCTTGCTCTGCGTCGGGTCGGGCGTGTCTTTCTTGGCGGCGGTGGCTCCGGCCAGGTCGGCGAGGGTCTTGTGCGGGTGATTCTTGTCGACTTGGGGCTCAGTCGCATCCTCTGCCTTCTTGGCGGCGTCTTTGCTGGTCTGTCGGTCGATGAGCTTGTCGATGAGCTCCAGCTGATCGTCTTCGAGGGCCGCCACCGTCGGAATGTCGCGCTGCGAGTGGTGCTGGGCGGCGCTGACATCGGGGGCCACACGAGGAGAGGCGGGCGTGGGCGCAGCCGGAGTGGTCTCCTGCGCCTTTTTGAGGAATTCCACGCATTTCAAATGCCCCTTGGCCATGGCCAACTGCAGCGGCGTCCTCCCGTGCTTGTTTGTCTGCGCAGTGTGGACGCAGGCATTGAATCTTAGCAGGTGAAGCAAGCGAAGCGAAGCAAAAATTAAAGAACGAAGCGAAAGAAAGAACGAAAGCGATACCTCAGTTGTCTTGGCGCCGGACTGAACGAGGAATTGAATGCACTCCAGCTGGCCCTGGTAGGCCGCGAGGTGGAGCGGCGTGGAAAGCGTGTTGTCCTTTCGATTGACCTCCGCGCCCTGCGACACCAAAAACTTGAGGCAGTCGAGCGAGCCCTGAAACGCCGCCTTGTGCTGGATTCGACCCACACGTGTGTGTCAGAGAAGTGCATCATAAAATGCCGATGATCACGGTGGTGGTGGTGGCAGGAGATAGATACCAGCGGCGTGGCGCCGTCGTTGTCTGTGGCGTGGATGTTAGCGCCGGCGGCCACAAGCAGCTGCACGGCGGTGTGGTAACCGCCAAAGGAGGCCAAGTGGAGCGCTGTAGTGCCCTCCTGTGCGTCTCTCGCGTTCAAATCCGACCCTGTGCGCACGTGGTGAGTCTCCAGCTGAGCGATGGCAATGATCAAGTGATCACCATTGCGAAGATATGAAGATGTGAAAGAGCGTACCGGCTTTGAGGAGGCGGTGGAGGACCTCGACAGAGTTGTTGAAGGCCGAGTGGTGCAGGGCGGTGTATCCGTCGTTGTCCTTGGCCTCGATGCTGGCCCCGTGCTCCAGCAGCAGCAGTACCGACTCGACAGCGTTGTTGGCCGCACTGAGCCCAGGCAGCCACCACCAACAAGAGCCGTCAGTCTCACTTGGAGTCGTGCGTTATGAGTTTGCACCAACTATATAGTTGTGCCTGCCAATAAGAAGGCACGCACCCGTGATGGAGAGGTGTGGAGCCGTCGTAGTCTGCAACGTCCACGAACGCTCCATTCTTCAGCAGCAACCGCACGCACTGGTGGAAGTTGCCAAACGCCGCTGTTGTTTCACACCACCAATCACGAACAGCACAACGCAAAGCACGTAAATAAAAACAAAGCGTTTGTCCCTGCCACCACCAGAGAGCACACGCGCGCAGGAAAAGCGAACGCGAAGAAGAACGAAAAGCGACAAAAGAACGAAGAGCGAAAAGCGAAGGGGGGAAGTGCCTTGGTGGAGGGGCGTGCTGCCTTCGTTGTTGCGGGCGTCGACAGTCACCACGAGCGGTCCGCAGGCGAGGAGGAGGAGGGCGATGTCGTGTCGGCCCTCGGCGGCGTAGTGAAGGGGCGTGTTTCCAAAGGGGTCGCGCGCGCCGACCGTTTCCTTGAGCTCGCGCGTGCCTCGCCCCTCCTTCTCGGCTATCACGGCCTTCAGCCCGCGCTCGTCGCCTCTCCGCACCAACGCATGAAACCCGCCCTCCATTTTTCCTTATTTTGAGATGAAAAATGGAGTTCTGAAGATGAAGATGGAGATGGAGTATACAGAAGAAGGAGAGCAGCCGAGGAAGATGAAAGATGGAGATGGCTAATATACTCTTCCTCCTTCTTAATCGTTCTTTAATCTGTATATATGTCGATCTTCTTCTATCATCAACCGCGCCTTCCCAAAAGGAGAGAAAACTAGATGGGCGCCCCCAGTTCCTTCCTGTCCTCCTCTCGGTTGGTGTTCGTGTGTTGTTGGCTCTCTGTTGCCTTTGTGGTTGCGGCACCTGGAAATGAATTTAATTTCATTCATTCCGCCTGGGCTACTTGGCATTTTTGGAATGCCACGCACGCAGGACAACAATGGTGATGACAACAACGTTGAAGTTGATGACAAGTTTATGTTATGTCTTGGGTTCGGCCAACATGTTTGCTGGTGAGGGTGTGTGTGTCTTGTCAACCGATCCTCCGCCAGAAGTGCATGATGCTCTTCTTCTTGGGCGGCACGGTGATGCTTGGGATGATGATGTCGTCACTGTTGAACAGGCCCTCCTCTGCGTCGTCCTTCTTCTCCTTCGGCGGCCGCTCGAGCTGCGTGTTTCCCACGCGTCGTAGCACGTCGTTCTCCCACGCGTCGAGCCGTCGCTGCTTCTTTTCCTGGAGCGGCGGCAGCGGCGGCGGCAGCTGAGGCTGCGACGCCGGGTGGTCTTCGCCGCTCTCGCGTCTGTCGTCGCGCCGCCGGTAGTGCATGCTGCCGTCCGTGGCGGCCCGCTTCACTTCCTTTCGCCGGTCGCGCTTGCTCGCCTTCATCGCCTCCCCCGCGCTCTTGGCCATTCGCTTCGAGCCGCTGGTTCGCCCGCCCTTGCCACTACCGCTGCCGCTCGTCGACGAGTCGCCGCCGCTGCCGCCGGTCGGCTGGCTGCTGCTCGTGCCGGAGCTCAAGCCCGCGCTGGCACTGGCTCCGCCCTTGTGCCTGCTGCCGCCGGATCGCAGGCCTCCTCGGGGCGATGATCGGGTGGAGCTGGACGCGGAGGTGCCCACTCTGGCGGCCGCAGAGTGCACACGTTCGCTGCCCTCCTGGTCCTTGGCCATGAGGCGCTTGACGAGATGCCGCATCGCGACGTCGACGTTGAGGCCCTTGAGCGCGCTGGCCGACACCAACGGGAACGCCCGCATGTCGCACCATTGCTTCAACCAATCGCACGCACACGTATTGTGAGCATCGGACCTAAAATGTTCAGTAGCGGGGCGGGGGGCGTCGAGCCAAAGATCAAGATTCGCTGTGTACCTTGGCCTGGGCGTAGGAGACAGCGGGAGCCTGCACGAGGTCCACCTTGGTGGCCACCACGACCACCGGAATATCCGGCGGTGCCAGCCTGGCCACACACACACACACACCACACACACGCAACACACACGCAACACACACGACGCCGTCGTGGTGAGTGTGGGCCACGTAGGCCGGCAAGAGGGGTGGAGGGCTGTGGCGGTGGTTACCGTTGCAGGTGTTGACACCAGAAGGAGAGGTTTTGGAACGACTGCATGTCTGACACGTCGAAGAAGAGAAGGGCGCCCTTGATGCTCTTCAGGTCACAGCTCTCTCGACCTCTGCGATCGTTCCCGACCAACAAACGTTGTGGGCCAGCCACAAGGTGAGCTCAAGACCACAAACAAACAGTCGGCCACGCCGTCGAGCTCATAGGAATCACGTACTCGTAGTGGAATCCACTCGCGCTGAACTGGAATCCGACGCACAGAAGAAGCCAATCGAGGTAGTCGGAGTTAGGCGCTATAAATGAGCATGTACGGTAGTGATGGGCACAAGTACCATCTGCAGCTTGATCGTCCGATTGTTGTGGTGAATGGCCTTGGTTTTCTGCGCACGCCGCCGACACAAGGTGAGGCGGGGGCGACGACGGAGAGACGACCCATGTGGTGGTGGTGTGAACGTACCGTCATTGACTTTCGCAACGCACGCGAACCCAGGTACGCATCATCCACGAATCGTGTGAGGAAGCTCCTCTGTTACGTAGATGAGCACAGAAAACACAGAACGAATCGATCGTCACAACCCGCGTGCCCCACCGATTGTTACACTCCACCGAAACAGCAACGGAACGCACGGGTAATAAAATAAAATAAAAATGGGAAAAGGATCAGGTCAGGGTATCCACGCAAGGTACCTTGCCCGTCCCGACATCGCCGACGAGGGCCACCCGGAAGAAGCGGTCATAGACCCAATCCTCGTCGTTGCGCGGACAATCGAAACGCCACCGACCCTCCTTGCGCGCCTCGCGGTACCTGTGTCGGCGGTGAGTCGAGAGAGAGAGAGAGAGAGAGAGGGGTGAATGTGTGGTCGTGGACCGAGCAGGTGCACAGAGAGTAGTGAGTCACTGGTGGCGCACCATTCGGAGCTGAGATGGAGTCGGAGCCATTTCTTGCATTCGGCCTTGTAGTCGTCGCATTGGGAGAGAGCGAATTGTTGCGGTACCAGCTCGCCGTACGCCTTCTTCCAAAGACTTTCAATAGAAAAGATGATGACTGAGAATGAGCCGACTACACACACGAACGCGACTGTTGACACAGAGGCTGCGGGTACCGGCTCTCGTCGGTGATGAGGAAGAATCGCTTGCATACCAGCCCCACGGCCGACAGGTCTTCCGCATCGAGGAAGCCCAGCACCTGAACATTCGCAGGGTGGGGGGAGGGGTTCAGCAAACGATCATCTAGTTAGATCCCTATCGGAGGCGAGCGAACCTTGACGAGCAGCTCGTCGGGGAGTGATCGCAGCGTAAGGAATGCTGCGTATGACACCGGGGGGAGGGGGCGTGAAGGTGAGTCCCACAGCGAGATGAGAGGAAGAGGAGTGGCGTACAGTCCATGAAGGAGGCGATATGGTCCTGGTGGTGGCTGCGGGCCACATCTGCAGCTGTTCCGCAATCCCCCAGCGCGTTTATGTCGGCTCCGTGCTTGACCAATAACTAAAGTGGCGTTTGCGTGAGTGTCTCTTTGTGGTCGGTCGAACCACGACAGGCAATGGATGGTGGGTTGAGAGCAAACCTCTATGATCTTCACGTCGCCCTGACGCGTGGCGTAATGAAGACACGTTTCACCGCGCCTGGGGAGTGGGAGGAGGTGCCCGTGTCAGCACAGAACTGCACGCGACAATCGAATTGGGGGGACAAGTTCAAGCCGCGGCTACGCACTTATTGACTGAGTGGACGTGAGCACCGTTCTTGAGCAGAATCGCAACCGCCCTGGCGTTGCCCTTCCAGCACGCGACTACCACACCACACCGCGTGAGCCAAGGCAGGCTCGAGCCATTGCGACGTGAGGTAAGAGGCAATGGGCGCGTACAGTGGAGAGCGGTCTCGCCGTAGGTGTTGAGGCCGTTGATGGAAGCCCCGTTTTGGAGCATGCCCTCGATTACGTCCTTCAGCTTGTGCAACGGCTCTGCCAGGTGCCAACGCCATGCACGGGAAGGTAAGGAGGCAGTTTAGGAGAAGAGAAAAAACAAAGAATATAAGCACACCGCGGGGAAGAACGGACCCTGAGTCAAGCGTTCGCACCGGAGGAGCATGTGCAGAGGCGACGTGTTGCTGATGTCCGCCAAGGCCGATGCGTCGGCCTTTGCATCCAGCAACACCTGGCAGAGGTCAAGGTGCCCCATGCTGAAACGGTGGACAGCGTCCCAATTTCCCCGTGGTGAGTGTGTCCGTAGGCAAAGAACGAAAGTGTCAACGAAGGAGGGGGGGAGCGAAAGCGAAAGCGAAAAGCGGGCGGAAAGCGGACCTGGCGGCGCAGTGAAGAGGAGTCCAGCCGCGGAAGTCGGTGTAGTTGATGACGAAGGGCAGGACGTAGGGGATGACGAAGCTCTCGCGCAGGCAGGCCACCAGGTGCTTGACGATGTCGACGTGGCCGAACTCGCAGGCGAGGTGGAACGGGGTCTGGCCCTCGTTGGCCTCCTCGGCCGTGATGAGCTCGATCAGCGCGCTGTTGACCACCTTCTTGATGAGCCGGTGCTTGCGCTCCTGCTTGCCGCCGTCCTCCTCGTTCAGCAGGGCCTGCTCGCGCATCTTGGCCTCCTTGGCACGCACCAGGCTCCTGCGATCGCGGCTCGCCCGCTTGGCACGCTTGCGCACCACCTTGTCCTGCTCGCTCCGCTTGGCACCGCCGGAGAGCCGCACCGACTCGCACGACGTGCGGCGCTTCGCCCGCGACTCCTGCTCCAGCAGCTGCTTCGCCCACTTCTCGTCCCCGATGCGACATGCCTGCGCCAGAGCAGCGGCGCAACCAGTCGGTCAGCCGGTCGGTCAAGTTCAGTTGAGCCCGGCGGCCCGAACGGCAGCGGCCGCCCGGGCGTTGCAAATCAAAGAAAACAAAGGATGTATGAAAAGAAAAATAAACTTGTTCGAACAACGCGCCGCAAGGCTTTGGTGCGCCGGTGGTGTGTCGCTTCTTGTTGCCGTCACAAAGAAGGGAGCGAAAAAAAAAGCCACGAACGGCAACTTGCTTTGGGGTTCTGGGCGACGAACGGGTAGGGCGAAGGAGAGGAAAGAGGAGGAAAGAGGAGGGGCGTGGTGGGGGGTACCTGATGTAGGGCGGTTGACCCGGGCATGACGATGCGCCTCCTGCGCCACGCGGCGGGGTCTTCATCGTCTTGTAGAAGACTTCCGCCTCCATCCGAACTGACCGCATCCAGCGAAGAAGTGCTGGAGCTGGAGCAGGAGCTGGAGGGGGCCATCCGCAGCTTCGTTTCGGGCGTGGCAGGTGACCTCCTGTAGAACATTTTGCCTTCTTCGTTCTTTTGCCCAGCGGGGAACTTGTTCCGTCTTCGTTCTTTCGTTCGGGCCTATTTTTTTGAAATGGAGAGGTGCACCTCTTGCCTCCTTCCTCTTCGTCTTCGTGGTGACAGCTCTGACGAGCGGCAATCGGCCCGTATCACAGCGGAGGGAAGCACGCGGTGGCGAGGCCTGTTTAGCTCCGACTTACCGGCTTTGGTCCGCCGGAGAAGACAACGAGCCCGTTTACGCCCCAGGCCATACCTCCCCACCTGGTGTTCCTCCCCAACCGTCACCGCTTTGCGATCCAATTCCTCGCATTCCTCGCCATGTTTTGAGATAAATAAAAATTATTTTGGCTGCGGCGAACGACACAACACGAAAAGGGTCTCTCTGTCTCTTCCTCTTCCTCTTCTTCTAGAACGTTGTGCAACGTTACGATTGGGTCGGAAGAGAACACCTGTCTACATGCCCTGGGCGGCCATCTGGAGGAGCATCTCCTCGGAGAAGAAGGTGTTGACGGAGACGTCCTCGGAGAGGCCCTTCCTCCTCCTGGTCTTGACCATGAACTCGCGGGCGAGGGAGGGGATGGGGGCGGGCTCGAGCGGCCGGAGGACGATGGACTTGTCGAGGGGGTCGCCGGGTACGATCTCCCAGTGGTCGAAGACGGAGACGCAGAAGGCCTGGCCCTGGGTGTGGGCGCGGAGGTCGGTCTCGAAGCCGAAGGACTCGATGACGGGGATGTAGGCCTTGACGGTGTAGAGCGGGGTGCCGGGCTTGGGCTCGTCCTGGGTGACGTGGCCGCGGCGACGGGAGAGGACGGTGTAGATGGGGGCGACGCAGTCGGCGGGGGCCTGGATCTCGACGTAGTAGACGGGCTCCATGAGGCGCGGGGTGGCGAGGAGGAACGAGGAGTAGGCGACGCGGCGCGAGGTGGGGATGATCTGGCCGCCGCCGCGGTGGATGGGCTCGGGGGCGAGCTGGGCGTTGAGGAGGCGGAACTTGACGTTGCGGATGGGCTCCTCGCACAGGGGACCCTCGCGGGTGGCCCACTGGAAGCCCTGCACGACTGAGTCGCGCACCGACGAGAGGAGCGCCTTGTTGGTCTCCTCGGGCAGCGTGTCGTCGACCAAAATATTTGGTCCCGTGAGGGGCTCGGGGCCGAAGGCCCAGATGGATCGCGCGGCGAGCACGTCCCACTCGAACCGCTCGCGGAAGAAGCCCATGAACTCCTTGCTGTTCCACTTGGTGTTCAGGAGCGCCCCGCTCTCGATGGCCTCGGCCAGGCCCTTCTCCATGGGCTCCGAGAGCATGGTGAGCGTGTTGCGCTTGTTGGGCGTCTCGGCGAAGCACTTGAGCGACGAGGTCTCCACGACGGTCTCGCAGAAGGTGACCACCGGGTCGGCCACCTTGATCTCGATCTCCGAGTACAGGTTCCTGAGGTCGTGCATGACGCAGTCGAGGTAGATCTCGCCCGTGCCCAGGATCACGTGCTCGCCTGACTCCTCCACCTTGGTCGTCAGCAGCGGGTAGCTCTTGTTCACCTTTCGCAGGCCCTCCAGCATCTTGGGCAGCTCGGCGGGGTTGATCGGCTCCACCGCGATCTTCATCGTCGCCACAGTGTTGAAGCGCAGCGGCTTGAAGACGTACAGCTCGTCCTCCGCGCTGTTGTCATCCACGATCGTCGCGGTCTTCATGATCGACGAGTCGACGCCCTCGATGAGCACCCACGTGCCGGCCGGCGCGCTCTTGACGGGGATACGGTAGCGGCCCTCGAACACCCACAGATTGGTGACCTCGCGCTCGGCCATGTCCTCCTCGTTGTCCATGCTGTAGCCCTCGCCCAGCACCTTGACCCGCTGGCCCGTGCGGATCGTGCCGCTGAACACGCGACCGAGCGCATCAAAGGCCGACAGGTCGGCCTTGTGGTAGAGCTTCGTCACCTGCACCATCAGCGGGCCAGTGGTGTCGCAGCGCACGAGCGCCGAGGCCACTTCGGTGTCGAGCGGTCCCGTGTAGATGTGCTCGGTCTTGACGCGCGCGGCGTCGGTCGGCGAGGGCAGATGGTCGACGCACATGTCGACGAAGCCGGTGGCGTTGCCGAAGAACTGCGTGAGGATGAGCTTGAGCAGTGGTCGGGTGTCGAGGTGGAAGTCCTTGTTCTGCAGCTGCACGCCCAGCTCGTCGAGCGTGCGCTGGAGCGCCGGCTTGTCCTCGCCGACCACCTGGGCGTAGATCTTGTACAGGGGCTCGAGCACGAACTGCACGAACGTGCGCATACCGCCGCCGGGAGGCGGCTTGCGCTTGAAGGTGCGGTCCTCGGGCTGGAAGTAGACGTCGCCCCACAGCCGGCGCGCGAAGTCGGCCGGTCGGAAGGTGCTGCCGTGGGTCTCGGAGTAGATCTGCGCGAAGGAGTGGAGGCTGAAGGACCAGCCCATGAGCGCGCTCGCGAAGCAAACGTTGCCGCGCTCGGGCGAGATGCGGGGCGCTCCGCCGCCGGGGTAGCAGGTGTCCATGATCATGTTGACCTCGTCGAGCGTGTGTCGCAGCTTGTAGTAGGCTTCGGCGGGCGGCAGCTTGAGCTCGAGGATGAGGCGGTCGAGCTTGTTGATGAGCACGACCACGGGCAGCCGCTCCTGCGCGGCGTGCCTCAGCATGCGCTCGGTCTGCACCATGACGCCCTCGACGGCGTCGATCACCACCACCACGCCGTCGCACAGGCGGAGCGCGGCGGTGACCTCGTCGGAGAAGTTGACGTGGCCGGGTGTGTCGATGATGTTGAGGAGGTAGGACTTGTCCTTGCCGTTGGGCAGGAGCATGGTCATGGGCACGGCCTTGATCGACAGGCCGCGCTGCTGCTCGTCGGTTCGGTAGTCCGTGTAGCGCAGGGTGCGGTCGAGCCGCCACTCCTTCGTGTGGGTCTGCTGCACGAGCGTGTCCATGAAGGAGGTCTTGCCGTGATGCAGATGTCCGACCAGCGCCACATTTCGCACCAGCGCCGGATGCTCGCGCAGGGCCAGCATGTAATCGAGGCCGTAGGTGGTAGGGGGGATGTCGAGTGGCTGCCCCTCGGCCGCGGCTTGTCGAGCCTTGAGCCCCGTCGCCGGCTTCTCTGCGATGTCGAATTTGAATTCCTTGACGGGCGCCACGATGGGCACGGTGAGCGGCTGGGTATCCTCATCTTGGACCAGCGTCTCGGCGTCGCCGTAGACCTCCTCGGCAGTCGGGTAGTACTTCTTGTCTTCGTACAGCACGACCGACGACGTGGCCGATGGATTATCGAGCGACATTAATTCCTGCCCCGTTGGCGCAGTGGGCTCCTCCTTCATCGCATCCTCATCGTCTTCATCCTCGGCCCATCCCGTGCGCTCTCCATCCTCCTCTTCGTCTTCCTCCTCATCGACGTCGGGTCCGATGTAATTGCCGAACTCGTCGTACAGGTTCTCCTCCATCCTTGACGCGTGCCGCACACTGATCGAGATCACAAAATCGCACACTCGCAATCGATCGCCTTTTCCCTTTTTGTTCCCGCTCAATTCCTTTCGTTCCCATAATTTTCTGTCGCCGGCCAGATTAAAATTCTTTCCTTTTTGCTGGCTCTAGAGCGCAAAAAGAAAATGGGGGAGAAAAGCAACAACTTGTCCCGCCGCTGTTGAGCTTGGGGATGGAGGGCTCCAACAGCTGGCGCCTACACAGGTGCAAGCAACGGGCTCGATGGCGCACCGTGATGGCGGTGGCTCTTGCCATCATCGTGGGCGTGAACGTTGGGCTCTTTATCCACCTGGCCTCACTCTCCAGCGTGCTCGACCCGGACCCTCCCTTCGCCCCTGGTGCCAACCTCCTTCTCCACGTCTCCATTTCATTCGTGTTACAAAACACTTCACCCCTCCTTTTTGTTCACTGTGCGCTCATCCTTCTCTGGCTATGCAGGCGAAGTGGGCGGGCTGCCATTCCATGTGGGTGCGTACTCACACATGTGGTACTACATGCATGCTCAATGCTCACACATGGCGTGCCAGGCACCTACAACATATGGAACCACAACAACTACTGGGATGTGCGCAAGCTTCGCATAGCCGAGGTCATACGCGACGCCCAGCTCGACATCGTCGGGCTGCAGGTGCTCTCTCTCTCTCTCTCTCTCTCACGCTTGCGCTCTCTTCGGCTTGTGGCTCACGCAGCGGCACCATACATATACGCACGTTCCACAGGAGGTGAGGAATGTGCAGCACCTGGGCGGCAACCAGCTGGACCACCTGACGGAGCTGCTGCCCGAGTACCCCTACTCCATTTTCCACTCCGCCCACATCGCCAAGAGACAGAAACGAATCAACGTACGTGCACCATCGCACGCACCAGCTCAAGTGATTGACGCCCAACCGTCCAACTGAATGTTGGCTTTTTAGTAAGCACTGACTCCTGCGCACTCCAGCTGCGAGTTCACGACCCTGAGGAAGGCGTTGCCCTTCTCAGCAAGCACCCGATCGTTTACAACGAAACCTTCACGCTCACCACCGTCTCTGGATCGGAGGTAAGCGTTCCTTGGTGCTGTTTTTCGCTGCGCTGCAAGGCGTGAGATAATAACACACACACACACACACACATCGCACACATACACACACACACACACACCACACCTATAGGACGAGAATGTGCGAGTGGTGATCCTGGCGCACGTGGAGGTGCCCAAGCTGGGCCTGGTCTATTTCTTCGTCACTCACCTGTCTTTCGTGCCCACCATCCAATGCCGGCACGTCTTCGAGCTCCTCCGCATCATTCGCTCGCTCGACCTCGACCCCAACCGACCCAAGATCGTCGTGGGTCCGCACACTCCATTTCCCCCTCTTCTTCTTCTTCTTCTTTAGGTCATCACTGATGGCATCATCGCACGCACTAACCCCTACCGCCTCCCACCGCACTCCAACGCAGGCGACTTCAACATTTTTCCCGACTGGGAGGACCCTGCCGCTTTCTTCGATCGAGATTGGACCGAAGGCATGCTCTCACACGCACAACGCACGACACGCACGCAACGCATGACACGAAACTGCGCTCGCGCACACTATGCAAATCTTAGAAGAGACGCATGCTCACATGTGTGTGGTACAAAACAGTGGAGAGGGAGAACAGGTGCTGGGAGATCGCGAGCGGCGAGAACCTGGACTGGTCCACCGCCGCCGTACGAGGCAACACGCACCGCCTCACCGACGTGTGGTCCCTCCTCCGGCCCGGCGACCCGGGCTTCACCTTTTCCAACCTACCCTGGGCCGGTACGATCAAAACACACACCGCCACACATACACCGCCACACACGCACACGCACACGCACACGCACACGCACACGCACACATACAGCCCGCGTCGCGGCTAACTTGCGCCATGGCGGCCTCGCGCAGAGCACACGCACACGTACCCGGCGCGGCCCACGCGGCCCGATCGGATCTATGTGAGCGGCCTCGCCCACGGGGCCAGCTCGGCCGTGCCCCACGGCGTGGTGCCGCGCCGCATCGTGCGGCAGGAGGACGGGTCGCAGTACCGGCGCCTGTACTACTGGCGCCTCATGGCCCACCGCACGCGGCACCTCGTGCGCACCCTCATCGAGCCCGCCAGCAACCACAACCCCTACTACACCTACGCCCGCGTCTACTCCGACTTCTACCAGCCGCTGCTCGACCTCTGGCACGGCGCGCCGGCCGAGCAGGAGGAGGGTGAACTGTCGGCTGAGGAGGAGAATCTGCAGGCGGTGCTGGCCAGCGTCGAGGTGGACGAGTTCGGCGCCATAGTCGCCACCACTGCCAGCAGCACCACCACCACCATGCGCGTCAAGCAGAAGGCGAAGAAGAAGGGCGGCAATCACAGAAGCGGCGCCACGGCCAAGCCCAGGCGTGACGAAGGCTACGACGACGACGAGGAGGGCTCACCGGAAGGGCTGCTGGACGTTCTCTGGTCGGCGTACGAGGCCGTGGACCCGAGCCCGCGGCTGTTGGGCTTCGCCGTGCACCGGCTCCTGTGGGACGTCCCCTCCCACCTGCCCCTCTACGCGATCGCCGTCGCGCCCACCGCCCTCCTCAGCGTCATCGCCCTCGCCAGCCTCTGCGGCTGCTGCGGCTGTCCGCTCCACCGACCACGCAAGAAGGGCCACCATCATCATCGGACCACCCACCGGCAGCGTTGCCTGCGGCTGCTGTGCGGCTGCCTGGCGCTGGCGCTCCTGGTCGCGGTGGCCGTGGCCCTGAGTGCCGCGGTCTTCCTCCTGCCGATCCTCTTCACCGGCTACATCGACGACCTCGTGCCCTCCGACCACCGCCTCGTCGTCGCCTCCTTCTCCTACTGACCGACCACGCAACATCAACAAAACAAGCTTTTTCTTCGGTGAACCGCAGGCGCGTCTGATTGCGTTTGTTGCGGGGTGGGGGGGTCAGTGTGAGGGTGGGAGGGTGCGGGGAGGCCGTGCGGGGGGCCGGGCCGGGCTGGGTGAGGAGGAAGAGGGGGAAGATGAAGAAGCCGAAGACGATGAAGACGACGTAGAGGAAGAAAGCAAAGGCGACGCGGAGGCGCGAAGCGGAATGGCGGGCGGGGGCGTGCGTGGAGGGGTCGAAGGCGAAGCGAGGCCGGTCGTGGCGCTTCGCTGGAACGGCGGCGGCGGGGCGCCACCACCCATCGGGGGCCGTGGTGGCCACGCTGGCCGGACCAGCGGCGCCGGCGACGATGTCGGCAGCTCCGCCCCGGGTGCGAGCGCCCCATCGGCGCTGCCGTGTCGTGGGATCGGGGAGGGTACGGGGTGGTGGGCGGTGGTGTTGCCCCGCAAGGCCAACGCCGGCGATGGCGAAGGCGACGACGGCGCGGAGAGCGAGGACGTGGCCGGGAGGGAGGAGGGAGTGGTGGCGGTGGATGACGACAGCGGCGGCGACGAAGACGAAGACGACGACGACAACGACGAGAAGGAGGCCGATCGGAGCGGGCTGCTGTCGGCAGCGGCGGGCGATGGCGCTGGAGACCCCGGCGACGGGGCGTGGGGCGGGGCCGCCTCGTCGGGCTTGGCCCTCAGGGCTTCGCCTGCGGGGGGTAAAGTGGGTGTAAAGTGAGCATCGCGGCCGACTCTGAGGTGGTGGATGGGGGGGGGGGCTAGGCACCGGTGGCGCCGTTGCGCTTGAGCACTTCGGCGCAGCTGGCCGACGGGCAGAGGGCGAGGGCCGTGTTGCTCTCGTCATCAACCGCATTGGGCTCCACCGAGTTGAGAATCAGCATAAGGCAAGCCAGGCCGTGGCCTTTAAGGAGGCGAATGACGTGTCAGTGGCTTCCTCCTCCCACGGTCGACCCAGGGTGGGTGGTGGTACCGGCAGCGGCAGCCGCGTGGAGGGCCGTCCGTCCGTGGTCGTCGGCGTTGCGCCAATTGGGCTCGACGCCCTGTGACACGCACGCCAGAATGTCCTCCAGATCGTTGCACGCCGCCGCCTCGTACAGCCGCTGGGTAGAGGGAGGAGGGACACGTCAGGCGCGAGATTCACTGGTGGGTGCGTGTGGGGGGAGGGCAGTGGTCCGTACTCGGCCGAGCGAGTTGGCATCGATGTCCTCCTTGACCACGAACTCGCGATCGGCGTACTTGGCCCGGATGAACTTCTCCTTGGTTGGTCTGCCACGAGAGAGACGCGTGTGCGGTGGTGCGTGTGGCGTGTGTGCGGTGCGTGCGGTGGTGCGTGTGCGCGTGTGCGGTGAGCCAAGAGACATCGACGAGGAGGAGCGCAGTGGTACCGGTCGTCGGTGGGGGACGGCTTGCGCTTGGCCGACTGGGCCAGGCCTCGTTCCCACAGGGAATTGACCATGCGGTTTCCGATGCTCTTCATCAGATCCTGCACCTCGGCTTCCAGCTCGTCCAGCGTTATCGACCGCACCTACGCACACGATGCGCGCGCGCACACACGACGTGAGTTGACTGCAGTTAAACTGGAGACCTGGTCCCGGTCCTGGCCGAACGTACCTTGGAGATGTGGACGCCCATCGAGCGGTGGACGCCGGAGCACTGAATGCACATCAGCAGACCCAGGTTGATCGATATCCAATCCGGATCTGAGCGCACACCGCACGCGCACACGCACCGCACACACATGCACACGCACACGCCACCGCACACACGTCGGAGCCGGCTCCGGTGAGCACTCCATGGCCGATGGACCTTGCGCTGTGTGAGGCAGGGAGGTGGCGCACCGGCGGCGCCACAGTCTACGCAGGCCCGATTCTCGGTCTGCTTCTTGAGCTCCTCCCAGGTCTGGAGGTTGCCCCGATCCTCCTGGCCCTTGAGCTTCGACTTGTCCGCCGTGTTTTCGTTCAGCATGTGCGCTATGCCCTCCTGGATTGCGTTTATCCAATCCTAGTACACAGCGTGTGCGGTGCGTGTGTGCGTGTGTGCGTGTCAGCACTCATCACGCTTGAATGGTGTGTCGGGTGGGGCGGGCGTACCATCATTTCATTGGGACTGTCGGCCACGAATTGGAACTGGCTCTTGAGGGAAATGAGCTCGAAGCAGTTCTTCAGCTTCTTCTCGCCGTACTTGGGCTTCACCGTGCACGTCAGCAGGTTGAGCGCCACCGCCGGCACCCCCTCCTCAATGTCCTGCAGGATTGCATGGGCCCATATTTACATTTTGCCCAGCGACAGTCGACAGGGCGGGAGAGGCTAGGCTCGACGCCACACGACGACGCACCTTTTCCTTGGCGTAGAGGTAGACCACGCCGTCTTTGATGGCGACCCAGGCCTTCTTGGCGCTCTTGAACGGTTTCACCGTCGCCTTGGTCTGCATGACCCCCATCTTCTTGGGCTCGGTCATCACCACCCTAAACATACACGACACGACACGCACGACACACAATACACAACACACAGTGTCGCACACGACACAAAACGACACACACGCAGGCCATCAGATCCGATTGTTGACTGTTGTATGTGTGTGGAGGGGGACAGTCAGTCTCGTGCGATGGACGAACCGTTGGATGGCGGAGCCGGACTTGGCCTTCTTCTTGTTTGGCGCAGAAATGGCGTCGAACGCCGCCGCCTTTCGCTTGTCTGTGCATTGCGCGCAGAAAAGGTGTCAATCAACGAGTCGCGTTCTCGTATCCATAAAAAGAAACACGCGCGCAATAGGAAACGACCACGCAGCACGCGGCACGCGGCACACGACACGGCACGCGGCACGCGGCACACAACAAAGGAAAGAAGGGGAGAGGCGCAGGCGACCTTTGATTTCCTTGACGATGTTGCTGAATATGCTGTCGACACCGAGGCCCGTCTTGGCCGAGGCCTCGACGAACGGGCATCGGTAGGTGTAGGCGATCGACCGGCCCTCCTTGGAGGTGATCTCCCAGCCGGCCTCCTCGCCCTCGGCTGCAAACAATTCAATTGATTGGGGGGGGAGATCGGGGCCGTGAGACGCACAACGCACACAACACACGGGAGTGGTTTCGGGCTGGGCGGCAATAAGTACTCTGATTGGCGACCAGCACCACCGGGAACTCCTTGGTGCCCTTCACCTTGGCCATCTCTTTGCGGTGGGGAGAGGGTGACGTGTCAGTGTCGACCGAAAATGAATGAACGAAACGCAAAGAGCGCGGCGGGAGACGGCACCATCGCGATATCGCGGGATCATGTCGAAGGAGTAGGCCGAGTGACAGTCGTAGACAAACACCACCCCGTCCGCCCATCCCAGCCACTGCACCACCGAGTTTCAACGTTCGCCATCAGCAAGAAGATAGAGCGAGAGAGAGAGACAGGAAGCATCACGCAACACACGACACTGGACGTGATGAGAGTGAAGAGCAGACCTTGTCGTGGAGGTAGTGGTGCTCTTCGGAGCCTCCCGTGTCGAGCACGTCCTGGATGCGCGCCGAACCCCCGCGTGGTGACGTCAGCACCACAACACACATGGCCATGCATATCACACCGACAAAGCGCACAAGGGCCAAGACATAGAAGTGGGTCGCGTACGAGGGTGACTTTGTCGTCGTCGACCACGAGCTCCTTCCTGTGGCTGTCCTCTGTGAAGGAGGGTCAGACGCGCGGACCCGTGTCGTGGCCCAAAAAAGGAAATGGTTGGAGCACGCGGACCACACGAACAGGGAGACAATGAAGGAAAGGAAAGGAAAGGGGGAGAAGGGAGTAGTTGGGGCCGTGCCGAGGGTGGGGTCGTCTATCTCCTCGTATTCGTCATTGAGGAAGCGGAGGACCAGGCACGTCTTGCCCACCGTCGTATAGCCCATGAAGCACTTTGTGAAAGTGTAATAAAATGCTATCAGAATTATATTCTCAAATAAAATAGAAAATAGAAAAAAACAGTGACGTGCCATTTGAGTTATTATTTAATATTATTTTTATGGTTTTAATTGGTTTTTGCTCGTGTAAAGATTATATTGGGGGGGGGAAGAGCGAAGGGAGGCGCACGACGCGGAATTCGTTCTCTGTCTTGGAGGGCGCACCGCCCTTCTTGATCTTCGACATGTGCTCGTCTAGGGCAGCTGCCGGAGAGCACTGCTGTTTGTGCGATGGGCTTTGAAAGCAAAAGAACGCGTGCCGTTGGCTTGTCGGTTACAGCTGCCAATCACTGCGATGGTGACGGAGTTGCAGACGAACACGAGCACAAAGTCGTGCGAACTGGGCGACGGCCTGCGCGCCGCGCGTGGCTGCAGATGAAGCGAAAGTGGCCCAGGAGAAGAAAGCCACGCTCGAACGGTCCAGTGGTTGGTGTGTAAAATGTATATGCTTGCCCCCAACAGCTATCCAAAGGAGGCGTAGACTGGAGGGAGAGGCCTACTTCTGGCGCTGGAGCTTGTTGAAGGAGGGCAGGTTGAGCTCCTTCTTCTTCCTCTTCGCCGGCCCGACCACCGGAAGCAGCGGAGGACCGGTTCGAGCTGTCGTGGACATGGGCGTCCTAGAAGATAACGATGACGATGGCGATGACGAGGGTGAAGACGAAGAAGACGAAGAGCGGGAAAGGGGACGGCGAGAGATAGATGGAGATGGAAGAGAAAAAGAAGAGGAAGAAGAGTATGAGGGCGACGAGTGAGATGGCCTGGAGAGTGCAGCTGCGCCCGTACTTGGGCCTCTGGCTGAGGAAGCGGGTGTAGAACGGGGCACACCTGCGGAGCCGCCCAGCAATTGCTGCTTGCGGACGAGAGGGCTGATGATCGGTGGCTGTACGCTGTGGTTAAAGAAGAGTGCCATCATTGGAAATGAGTGGAGAAGGTGTGGACGACCACGCAACGCCAACGCGGGCTGTACCTCTTGGTGCTGGCGCCAATCTTCTTTGCGAGCCTGGTGAACATGTAGCATCACACAACAGTGAGTGTGGGCGAAGGTGCTGCGAGGGAACAAAAGGAAGAAAGAGCCCACCTCGCTCTCGCGGTGGCCGGCGGAGGGGCAAACACAGGCCCGGCGCCGGTCCTTTTTCCAAAGGTGAACGCGGCTCGGGTCCTTGGCGCCGCCGAGATGTGCTTCGTTGCTCGGTGCTTCTTGGCTGCGCGTAACAACGACCAGAAGGAGCAAGATGAGAGCCCTAATCACAGATCACGCAGGGACCTTGAGTTACGTGACGACGAACCTTCGTTCTCTTGTTTGTACATTTCCTGAGCCTGAGGCCGACCTGTTCCTTCCGCTCCTCGATCCGCCTCTGTTCATTTTTCCACACCTGCTTCCAGCTGATCTTCCTTCCGTTGTGCTCCCGCTCCTCCTCGCGCAACCCGAGCCGCTGCGAAGCCATACGTAAACACACGACACACACGGTCAGCCGTGGTTCCGCTCGACGACAATGCATCGCCAAAAGGGCGCACCTCGCAGTGCCGCTGCCACATTCCTGCCGTCGGTAGCCTGCGCTCCTGTACCACAAACAAGCGGCGTGTGAGCGCGCAATGAACACAGCAACAATCAGCACTGGCGGAGGCAGAGGAAACGAACCGTGTGTGTTTCGACCACCTGAAGTGAGCACAGGAGTCGCGGCCGAGGAGAAGCCACCAGCCATTCGACATCCACGAGAGTAAGTAAGTGCGTGTAGCGAGCAAAGGGGCGGCGGGGAGGTGAACCAGGAGTTGTTCAGGAGTGCAGCGGTTGAGGATGGGAAGGATGAGCTCATCGGGTACATCGCCCACACTTGTGAGCATGTCGAGGTGGTCACATATAGCCATGGTGCAGAGTGTCTTCAAGGTGGGCACAGGCCACAAGCCCCGCCTCCTTCCTATCGAATGCATCTTTCCCAATGATTTCGGCTGATTTAAAAACACAAAAAAACTACAGCCACGGAAAAACGAAGGCAAACAGAAAAGGCTTTTTTTCTTTCGCCATTTTTGTAACATCTCAATTCCAAATCGAACATCTCCTGCAAGCGAAACCAAGGCAAAGATGGAGTCTGGACCTAGTGTAACCCTCGATCCCTACGATGAAGATTTTAAGAAGGTGCCGATCCTTTCTCTGTTTTGTTAGTTTCGTCTTTTAATTCATCTGAATTGTGTGCCCTGCCCCTCCTCAGCTGGAGATTTCTGCCGGTGATTCCGACAATCTGATCACAGTAACGCTATCAAATGAAGATCACACGCTGGGCAACTCGCTCCGTTGGATCCTCATGAAAAAGTTCGCCCCTCCCGTTTCGATTTTTGTTTTGATTGAGGTGAATTTAATTCCATTATTAATCCATTTATTCTTGGGCATCAGCCCCGAGGTGGACTTCTGTGGTTACAGCGTGCCACACCCGTCCGAACCTAAGATGAACGTTCGCATACAGACGAAAGACGGTACTGTTCACACTCCTGTTCTTGTCCTCATTGGTTTTGTTGTCGCGTGCTGATGGTTCGTGTGTTGTTCGCTGCAGGCAAACCATCCGTGGAGGCGCTGCGAAAGGGCCTCAACGACCTGGTGTCGATTGCCGAGTACACGCTGGGCACGTTCCAGTCCGAGTTCCAGATGTTCGTGGACTCCAACGATATCACAGAGGACGGCTCCGAGGCCTCTGAGATGGAAGAATGAAGCATGTTAACTACCAAACACCGCGTGCCCACTGTGCACCACACAAGGAAAGGAGGGCCATGCAGCCACTCACGCTGCTGTTTGTGCAAGGGGCTTTGGGCATGCCCGCAAGCCGCGCAAGTGTCGACGCATTTACTCTGCTCTGCCCCGGGATAAATGCCGGTTTGCCGAGCCGAGGTTTTTGTTCTTGATTGTGAAGAGGAGATTGAAGGGGGCTACTGCTGTCTGCGAGAGATTTGTGCCAATTCAATCAGAAGCGAGCGAAAATGATGAACGTAGGTGGTCTGCCGTCGCTCCTCAAGGAAGGAACCAAGCATCTGTCCGGTGTGGAGGAGGCCTGCCTCCGCAACATCGAGGCCTCGAAGCAGCTCTACCACATTGTGCGCTCGTCCATGGGTCCCAATGGTACAGAAGCCGCTTGCCTCCTCAGCACACATTTATTGGCGCTTGCGATCGGCCGTATGATTGATATGCCGGATGGGCTGTGCTCGAAAATGGCATCGCATTTTAGGCATGAACAAGATGGTGATTAACCAGCACGACAAGCTCTTCGTGACGAACGATGCTGCCACCATCATCCGCGAGCTCGATGTCGTCCATCCTGCTGCCAAGATGGTCGTGATGGCCGCTAACATGCAGGAGCAGGAGGTACACCATTCCACTTGATCTAGCCTGCAAGAATTAAGACTAATTTCTCATTTCCGCACAGTGCGGAGACAACACCAATCTTGTGGTGTCGCTTGCCGGCGAGCTGCTGGTGCAGGCCGAGTCCCTCATCCGCATGGGCCTCCACCCTAGTGAAATCATCGCCGGCTACACCAAGGCCGCTCAGCATGCTTCTGAGCTCCTTGAAGGTTTGTGCCCCTCTTTCTCTTTATCGTTCCGGCAGCCGCTGCCGATGCATCTCGCGAGAATGCATGACGCTCATCACTATCAACATCATTGACATTGTGATTCTTTTTTTTTAATTATATTTAGGCCTTGCCTGCCACACGTGTGAGGATCTGCGCAACATCGAGGAGGTGACCCGCTGCCTGAAGAGCGCTATCGCCTCTAAGCAGTACGGTTATGAGGACATGCTGTCCAAGGTTGTCGCCAAGGCCTGCATCCAGGTCCTGCCCAAGAACACGAGCAAGTTCAACGTCGATCACGTGCGCGTGGTCAAGATCCTCGGCGGTGGCGTGCTCGACACCCACGTGATGAAGGGCTTCGTCCTCGCTCGCGATGCTGTCGGTACCATCAAGCATGTCACCAGCGCGAAGATTGCCGTCTTCGCCACGGGCATTGATCTCGCCAAGACCGAGACCAAGGCCAACGTCACCCTCAAGAGCGCTGACGAGCTGTTGAACTTTGCCAAGGATGAGGAGAAGCACATGGAGGAGGTATGTCGTGGGTCCCTTTCGCTGATTCTTCTGTGGTCATGTGCTGAAACGCTGTCGCTGTGAAACAGGTGATCAAGCAAATCTCGGAGACCGGCACGAAGGTGGTGGTTGCGGGTGGCAACGTCGGCGAGCTCGCTCTCCACTTCATCGAGCGCTACGGCATGATGGTTCTGAAGGTCGAGTCCAAGTTCCAAATCAGGCGACTTTGCAAGGCCACCGGCGCCACTCCGTTGGTCAGACTGGTACGTTGGCTGTGCTTCTCAGTGCTTGGCAAAGCAGCGGTGTTCGACCTCACCATTTCGCTACACAGGGTGCCCCCATTCCTGAGGAGCTGGGCTACTGCGACGTGGTCTCAGTGGACGAGATCGGAAGCACCAAGGTGACCATCTTCAGGCAGGACACCGAAGACTCAGGCATCTCGACCATCATTGTGAGGGCCAGCACGCAGAACCTCGTCGACGACATTGAGCGCGCGATCGGTTCGTTTACTCACTTTGTTCCATTTCTCTATTCTTGTACGAACGTTCATCTGATTCTCTGTTATCAGACGATGGCGTCAATGTCTACAAGGCGATGGTGAAGGATGGCCGCTTCGTTGCTGGCGCCGGTGCCACTGAGATTGAGCTGGCCAGGAAGATTCACGCCCAGGGTGAGGCTTCTCCAGGCCTCGACCAGTACGCCATCAAGAAGTTCGCCGAGAGCCTCGAGGTATCTCCTCTTCTTAGATGTTCTTCCCGCCTCAAGCTATGGCTGACTCTTCACTGTGTGTTCCCTCGTTAGGTGGTGCCCCGTACTCTTGCCGAGAATGCCGGACACAACGCTACTGAGATCATCTCTCAGCTCTACGCTGCCCACACTGGCGGCAAGACGAACGACGGCGTCAATGTCGAGGTACCCCTCTTCCCTTTTGCGGCTCTGACGAACGTCAGAGTGCAGTTGCTTACGATCGTTGCCTCTCTCTCTCTCTGCCATCAGACCGGCGGAACCATCAACGCCGCTGAGGCCGACATTTTGGATCTGCTGGCCAGCAAGGCCTCTGCCCTCAAGCTCGCTGCCGATGCTGCCACCACCATCCTCCGCATTGACCAGGTAACTCTCATTCTCCCTCCTTCGTCCGCGTGTTGCGTCCAAGAGAGCTGACCGTCGTGCCGTCTCTTTCGTTTTTCAAACACCCAACAGATCATCATGGCTCGCGCTGCTGGTGGCCCTAAGCCTCCGGCCATGGGTGCCCGCGACGCCAGCTAAACCAAGAAAAACGAAAACAGGCAAAAGGTGTAACGGTGAGCGTGTGTCAACAAACTTGAAGCAGGCCTCCTCTTTCGCCCCATCGTCACTCCCCACCGACAACACAGATCACCTCACCTTCGCCTCCACGTCAGGCGGGCAGCCAGCTCGTTTTCTTCTTCCTCGCGGATGTCTGTCTCCGTCGTCTCCGCGGCTGCGTGGTTGGTGGCTCATCGAGCCTGCGAATTCTCGGTCGGTTTTGTGGGTTACTTTGGCTCGAATCCGCATTGAATGGCTGCACGTCGGGCTGTGACGGGCTGCCACGGTCATTCCCACCGGTGAAGGAGGCAGTGGCACAAGAAGAAGAGAAGAGAGACCACAACAGCAGATAACACGTTATGCAGAGCAGCACGGGACAGCTGTGTGATGGAGCTAGCAAGTACGCGAGAAGAAGGGTGGTTCGCAGACAACCCACACGACCAAGCCACGACGTGCACGTCCCTGCTACGCGCACTCATGGAGAGCCTGCGGCGCCGCGGAGAGAGCGTAGACGAGGGAGCGTGGAGGTGCTCATGAAGTTGGGCGAGCTCGTGGTGGTTCCATTGATGGAGGACGCCAAGAGTTTGGCCGCCTTCATCCTCTCCTCTGCCGATCTCAGCCAGAGCGTTACCTCCGCCGCCACCGCCCTCGATCGCTTCCTCTCCCCAGCTCTCCTTGGTCTGCCCGTCCCGCCCACACCCGACTCGGCGCCCCCCTCGTCTCCCCCCTCTGGTGCGTTTTTGTTCCCTTCTACTTCAAAAGGAGGAGCCCAAGTTGACTGTTATGGTGGTTGTTCTGCAGACGCGGGAGCGATGATGGTGGACATGCCGAGGCTCGATAGGCGCGGCTCGACGGAGGCGCTGCCCAACGGAACGACGCCAGGTCACCACCGAGCGGGCTTGGCGCTGACGATGGAGGAGGAGGCCGCGCTGAGCGGCGCCAACGGCTGGGGTCACGTCATTCAGTCCCTTTCATCAACGCCGTCGTGAGGGCTGATCAGTGGCGTCAGCTCACCACCACCGTTACTACATTCATCATCGGCTTCGACTTCCGAGCTCCAAACCGATACCCAACCCCCTTGAAGGCGACGCCCTCGAAGGGAACCGTACCACCCGCTCCACGTGCGGATGCCAAGGCGAGCGCCAACTGTCCCTGCTCGAGGTCACGCGAGGCCTCCTTCCAACAGCGCCGCCAGGACCTTCTGGAGATACACCACTCTCTCCCCGGCCTTGTACAATGCACATACACCATAAACGAACTTGGACACGAACGCACTACACGTGATGATGGCCTTCCTTACCCAGAACTCGCCTTCGACCTTGGAGGGACGACCTCCTCGGCGACTTCCTCCTCCTCCTCGATCTCCTGCACCTTTGCGTACCATAAACAGACCGCTTGGCCGCGGAGTGGTGGAAGACGCCGAGGAGGGCGTCTCGCCAAGGTCGAAGGCGAGTTCTACGCTCCGACAAGTATTTATTTGATGAATTCATGAATTTATGTACATAATCGAACAGAGCAAGTGGGACCGAGATGTGGCGGCGAGAAGAACAGGAGGTGCAGCGCTTTACGTTCCGGCTCACCACGAAGGGGCAGAGGGATGAAGATACTGCTGCCGCCGAGATGAAGATTTCGAATGCTGGCCGAAGGAAGCCTCGTGTTGAGGTGACCATCGTGGGGGTCAAGCCGGCCACCTTCAACACCGCCACCTTCCTCCAGCGAGATTCTGAGAAGAAGCGAAGCCAGCAGCACAACGATGAACGCAAAGATTCGGAGAAAGATGGAGAGGACGGAGGCAAGGACAACAAAACGCTGTTTTGCGTGACGTCGCATGTGGTCTGGCGAACGTCGCAGCTGATGGCGAGCTGGATGGCCTCTCACGCGTCGCTCTTCGCCCCGTCGGGTCCGTTGGTGTCGAGTGGTGGCCGCAGCCTGCGGGTGCTGGAGCTGGGCTGCGGTCTCGGGCTGGCCGGCCTCGCGTGCGCCAAGGTCTGCGCGGCCCTGCGGCGACCAGACACGCCTTCTGCAGGTGCGCCACCGCCGCTCAGGTCCCAGCACAGTGCATGCACTGTGGTCGTTGCTGACATGTATAGCGTTGGTGGGTGCGTGTGTCACACTCGGCCAGAGCCGGCACTGGTCGTGATGACCGATGGCGACGCGGCGGCGCTCCAGCTGCTGGAGCACAACGTGGACCTCAACTGGACGGGTATGCCATCCTCTCTTCGTGCCGTGTGCCGTGGGCGACTCAGCACTCACCTTTCTCACGACACGCAACGCAACGCAACACATCACCACCACCAACACCAGGCGATCGCGATGGGCGACCACAGGTGGCACAGCTGGTGTGGGGTGACCTACCATGCATGCGACAGCTCAAAGGTATCACCCCCACGACGTGAGTCAGCAAAGCCGCGCAAAGTGTTGACGCGGGCACACGCACACGCACACGCACATGACAGCCACACACGGAGGCCAGGCATTTGACGTGGTGCTGGGCGCGGACATCATCTACCACCGCACCGACTACGAGGCCCTTATAGACACCATCGGCTTCTTCCTGAGCACAGACGACGGCAACCGGCGCGAAGCGGAGCAGCAGCAGGGGTCCATCACGAACGAGAACGCGCTGGTGATCATCGCCATGCAAGAGCGCCACTACGGCGCCCTCGACCACCTCGTCCAGCTGATGCGAACGCGGTTGGGCATGGCCGCACGCACACTCGACGTGCCACGCATGTTCGGCGATCATCATGACGGGGCGGCACACGGAGATGACGATGAAGATGAAGAGGTCGACGACCGCGGGTACATCGGGAGCAACCACTACATGGTGGTATTTCACCACCCCCGAACCACGCTCGAGCTCCACTCCCTCGGGCCAGAGGTGGCGAATGAAGTCCTCGGCGACGAGGAGGACCTCTTCTTGTCCATGTCGCCCCCATAAAACCACTACTTTTCCACGTCTTCGCCGTCCGGGCTCTGTCTTTCTTTGTCCCCCCCCCTCTCACGTTTTCGGGCGCCACATCGCGAGGAGGCAAGCATCAACAACTCGAAGCGCAACAAGGGAGGCCAGGCAAGCGAGGGTTTGGACGAAGCATCAACAACTTGAAGCGCGGCAGAGCACAACCAGGTATGTGTGGGTGTGCGTCTTACTAACTCGTGGTGGGGGGGGTTGCTCTTGCACTTGCCTGCCATGCACGCGCACTCACATCCCCCTTCAAGGGTCGACCAACGTACCTGTGGCCATGGAGAAGGGGCAGAAGCGAACGAGGGCAGACGAAGTCAGGGCCCGGCGAGAGGTGGAGGACACACGACGCAGGCGAGACACCAAGCGCTACGAGGCCTGGTGCACGAAGCGGGAGGCGGGCGAGCAGCTTGGTGTGGACCCCATACCAACGTGCTGCCCCTGCTTTGACAACTGTGGTGAGTGCGCTAGTTCACTCAACGACTATGGGCCAAAGCGCAAGATCAACATCCACACACTTGAGGAGGAGTGTGCCCACCTCTGCCCCAATGGGCTGGACAGGGAAACACTGAAGCAGATCAGTGAGGACCCTGAGTGGCATCTTGCCCCACAGGCAAGCACCCCCCAAACCAGCAAGCCACACAGGCACTCAGGTAAGTTGCATTGTTATTCCATGTGTGTGTGTGCATGTGTGAGGTCAGGCAACAACTACTAGCAATGAACTGAATGGTGAATGTGCAGAACCTTTGGAGGCAATATGCAGGGTGACAAGTGTGATGGAAAAGCTAGGCCTTGTGGACTCTGCATCTCACCAACACAGGAGAAAGGCTAAGCAGCCCACTGCCCACCACCAGCATGAGGCAGGGGTCCAACACTCCTTCTCTCTTGACCTCAACACCACCAAGGACAACTCCATCACCTGCCACAAAACACTCTCCTCCTCCTTCTCCTTCTTCCACCCAGAGGACCAGTCCCTCCACTTTACACCCTACATCATTGGCCAGAAAAAGCAAGGTACCACTGTTCTCCCTTACCAACCCCATGATGGCCTCCCTCACTTTTATTTCTATTAATTAGCAGGGCAAGTGGATGTTGAGCCAAAGGAGTGCTACCTTGTGCATTACTGGCCAGAAGACTTGTACACCCTCTTCCACTCACAAGCCAAAGGGTAGTAATATAACATGAGTGGTTTGTGCAGTTTACCAGATCAGTGGTTGCCAGAGGAGGAAGCAACCAAGCCTGTGGAGAAGAAGTGTGTGGACCTGGGACCATGGGCCTTTAACAAGCTCCAGTCCCTTGGTAAATAACATCATGACCACAGCTGTACATCATGTTGTCCACAAGAAGGCCTGCTACACCAAACCTCAAGGCCTCCCACACCTCCATTTCATAGCTAAATTGACAAATTTGGTCCCAAAGGTGATCATCACCCACATGAGAAAAGTGGTGTATTGTGAGGTGTGCACTCTGCACAGAAAGCAAGAAAGGAACAAGGAGAAAGGAAAGTAGTTTGGCTTAACCACTCCAGCAGCAGCCATAGCCAAGTGGTCGGGCTTCGTTGCTCGCCAGGTGGATAAGGTCGTCGTCTTCGTCCAGGTCGTCGTCGATGGGCGATCGTGCCATGATATGCTGTGTGATGGCCGTCATCGCTTCTGTGATGCCGACGTCCTTCTTGGCCGACGTCACCATCCAGTCCAGGAAGCCGTGCTCCTTGCAGTACTGGTTCATGACGTCTTCGTTGAGCGGCACGTTGACGAGATCGCTCTTGTTGGCGACGAGGATGCAGGGAATGGGGTCGCCGTTGGCGAGGGCCACCTTCGCGTCGATGTCGCTCTTCCACTTGCGCACGGCCTCGAACGACGCCGGTCGCGTGAGGTCGAACACCACCAGGGCAGCCACCGCCTCCTTGTAGTACACCCGCGTGAGGTTTCCGTAGCGCTCTGCACGAAGACGGCAAGGTCAGCACCGGCTTTGCATTGCTCGGCGCGAGTGAGGAGATAGTACCTTGGCCAGCAATGTCCCAGAGTTGAAGCCAGGTCGTGGTCTTGGGGTTCAGCTTTACGGACTTCAACGCAAAGTCGACGCCGATCGTGCTCTGTGTGGGGTCAGGGTCAGGCTTTCTCGTTCTCCCCTTTCACTAGAACAAAAAGTGGAAAGAGGAGTGTACCTTGTAGGCATCGGAGAAGATGTTATCAACAGCTCGGCGGATGATCGCGGTCTTGCCTGCGCCGATGTCGCCGACGACGAGGATCTTGAAGACCAGCTCGCGTCTGTTCTGATCCATCACGGGCGAACCCGAAGGGCTGCTCGAGGTTGATGTGGTAGTGGTGGTAGTCTCGCCGAAGAAGGAGCCCATGCGCTTCATCTCTCTTGTGTGGATGGATATATTCGGTCGATGCTCGAATTAATCCGCTTCTCGATTCTGTATTACCCCGGCTGTGCTGCAGGTAGGCTATGCTCGGTTTCGGCGTTCGATTCGGTCTTGTGTCGTCGTGAAGGAGCACAGAAGCAGGTCATGGTGCTATTTATCCGAAACCCAGCAGCCGTGGAAGGGAAGTAGAAGTCACGATACCGGCACTCTCGTGCACAGCTTCGCTCTTCTTCTTGCGTGGCAAGCTTCTCTCTCGTTGCCAAGGCCGCTTCGGCAAAAAAGAAAAGAAAACAGAAAATGTGATAAGAAAAGCAAAAGACACAGGGCGGAAGATGGACGTGAGGAAGAGGAGGAACAAGAAGAAGTGGACAGGCACGCAGCGCCTGGCGCCTGCTCCGGAGGTGAAGAGGAGCGTGGGGAGCGTGGCTGCGTCATGGACTACGCTGTTTGATGCTGCTGTGGTGGCCCTCGTGCCTCAAGCGACCTCGGCCGCTACATGCCAGATGGTTGCCACCCAGTACGCCCTTCCTCCTCATCTGGCGAAGCACTTCGATTCTTCTTCCTCTGATTTGGCGCACCTAGGGTAGGAGAGATGGGCGGCGATTTGAGCGCGCGTGTGGTGGGGGCGATGCGACGCTGGCGCCTCGTGCAAGACCAACAGTCCCTCGAACTGGTGGCCCGGCTGACGGCCTTCTTCGACCCACCTTCTGTTGGCCGCCATCACCTGCCCCTCAAGTGCGCACCTCCTCCCATCGATTCGCGACCAGCCGCTGTTGTGCTGATCTTGAGGCGGTTGTGCCATGCAGCGAGTGGGGCCATCTGCCCCACGAGGCCTTGCGCGCGACAGCGAGCCTGTGGAGCAACATCTCCTCCATCGACGTCTCGCCACCGAAGCATGCGCCCGCCGAGGCCCATGTGGCCGTCGACGACGAGTGGCTGGAGGAGCTGGCCGAGAGCCCCGCAGCACAGAACCACCTGCAGGAGCTCAACCTCTCCGGCTGCCCGCACATCACCCTGCAGGGCCTGCGTCACTTGAAAGCCTTTCCGCACCTCAGGTACGTTCCCTCTTCCACCCCATCCACGCCGCCCCGCTAGTGACACCCCCAGCACATGACGCACCCTCTTACCACGGTGACCTTGTGTACGCACTACGCAGGAAGTTGCGCTTGAAGCGACCCGAGAACGCCCCAGAGCCTGGCGAAGACGACACAGACCTGTACCAAGTGTTGGTGGCGAGCTGCCCCATGCTGGAGGTATACTACTACCATGCACGCCACACGCTGACTCGCACATTGATCTCATGACGGTTTCATGCACCCAGTTTCTCGTGCTCGATGCTGAGCTACCACCGTTCACGTTTGCCGACCGGCTGAGCAAAGCTCCCTTCAGTGCGGTCTCCGACACCGAAGAGGGCGGCGAGACGGGCTCGGTGGTGCTGCCGCACCTGCGCCGACTGCGTGTGCCTGAGATCCCCATGCGCACGCTGGAGGTTCTTTGGCAGTCGGGCCGGCTCGCCTCCTTCCACGAGCTGGGCTTCAAGCTCCCTCGCATTCACCTCCCCACAACCACCAGCTACGCGGACATGCTCACAGCCTGCCCGAGCCTTCGCAATGCCGTGCTCACCGCCGATCACGCCGTTGAGATCAACGAGAAGTTTCAAGCCACCGGGTACGCCACCAACTCCCGTGCAGCGTAGGCTCACAAGGCGCCCAACTTACGTGCACCCCGCAACTTGGTCAGATCGGTGCCGGGTTTCCTGGCCGAGTGCGTCAACCTGGATCTCAACGGCATATCGCTGTCCCTTCTGCAGCACTGCCCTCGGCTCGAGAAGCTGTCCCTGTTCGAGGGTGACTGGACATTTGCCGACTTCGGCACTGGCTTCCCTCGGCTGGCCCACCTCCGCCGCCTCACGCTCAGCTCGCTCGATATCACCAACGACAACCCGGACGACCAGCCCGACCCTCCGGCCGCCGAGGCGACAGCCCCGTCGCCAGCGCGATCCATGTGGCGGGCGGTCTTCAGCGCAGTGCCCAAGCTGGAGTACCTCAAGGTGACCGACTGCGAATGCGGCACGGCCGAGCTCGTTGACTCTCTTCGCCTGCTGACCAACCTCAAATCGCTCACTCTCACGGACCTCCCGGGCCTGTCGACGGCCATCACGCTCGAAGCCATCGCCTCCGTGCCGTCACTCACCGAACTTGTGCTCGAACTGACACCGGACCCGACGGGCACCGCACCGGGACAGACAGTCCGCTTGTGTCATGGTCGCCTCGAGCACATCCGCCTCTCGGCCAGGCTGTACACCAACCAATCGACCAGCCTCCAGCTCGAGTGCCCGCGGCTGCGCACCTGCGAGCTGTCCTTCGACCGTCTCGACGTCGCCACAGTGACCGACAGTCTGCGTGCGAGATCGCCTCTCCTCAGGCGCCTCGCGCTGGGCAAATTGTTAGAGTGGCCCGTGGGAGTGACGTCCCGGTGGCTGTGTGAGCTGGTGGCCGACTTCCCGCTCCTGCAATCGCTCAGCGTCACGTCGCGCCAGTTGCCCGTCAGCGCGCGCGATCCACGTGCCGACCCGTCGCTGCCACTGACTCACCTCTCGCTGCGCGTGTCGCTCTCGGACGACGGCGCCATGCGGCAGCTCCTGCAGGCGTGCCCGTACCTTCGATGCCTCGACCTGGCCGTCACCTTCCCTCAAGCGAGCCTCGGTTCTGCGCTACCGGCACTGCCCTCCGTCACCGCGCTGCGCCTCGACGAGGTGATGTTCCCTCGAGGGGCTCGACTCGACCTGGCGGCGATCACACCCAACGCAGAGCAGGTGAGCCTGACGTCAGTCCACGTCGACAGGCTGGTGGCTGTCCGCTGCCACGCGCTGCGCAATCTGGAGATGCGAAACTGCCTGCGCATGAATCAGGTGGAGATTGCCGACGCGCCGCGGCTCGAGAAGGTGCGGTTTGACGGGCCGCCGGGCCAGCAGCCGCAGTGGAGGCTCCGGCGCTGCCCGCTGGTCTCGCTCGTGCTGGGCAATGCGAGGGGCGCGTCACACGGACCCGGCGGCTGGGACGACTACTACGAATTCCTCGACGACCCCGATGATGACTTTGACGACTACTACGACGACTACGATGACTACCACGACGACGACCTGGACGACTTTCCCTACGATGAGGATCCTGATTACTACTCCGAGGACGAGTATCCTGATGACCTTGAAGAGCAAGACCTCATCGACGCCGAAATCGACGCCCAACAGGAGGAGCAAGACCTCCTCGACGCTGAAATCGATGCCCAGCAGGAGGAGCAGGACTTCCTCGACGCCCAGATGGCCGCCCGCCTGGACGAGGAGCAAGACCTCATCGACGCCGAAATCGATGCCCAGCAGGAGGAGCAGGACTTCCTCGACGCCCAGATGGCTGCCCGCCTGGACGAGGAGCAAGACCTCTTCGACGCTGAAATCGATGCCCAGCAGGAGGAGCAAGACCTCCTCGACGCCCAGATCGCTGACCGGCTCTACGATGACGACCACTACCACGACAGCGACCAGGACTAAGCGACGTGTGCCCGGTGTTCGGTTGGTGCCTCGTCGTTCTGCGAACGAAAACTTTGGCCTTTTCGCTGCGCCTTGTTGCGTGCGAAGTAAAGATTGAAATCTTCGAAGGCAAAGGCCAAGCACTCGTGACACACCACTCGCCAAGATGGGTAATGGACCGGCGAGACCTGAGAACTATGGCGAGCGCAAGCCCACCCATTTGTGCGGCGAATGGACGTCGCCGCACGGTCAGAGAATCGAGCTGAGATTGGGCGACATCACCATGGAGGACACAACGGCCATCGTCAACGCCGCCAACAGTCGGCTCATGCACGGCTCAGGCGTCGCGGGCGCAATCAGCAAACGAGGAGGCCCCATGATTCAAGACGAAAGTGATAGCATAATCAAGAGGAGGAAGGTACGCGTACCCCCCCCCTCTCTTTCCTCAACTACCCCATCCACCGTTCTCCCAGGGTCATTCTTCCCCATTCACTTGTATTAAATATTATTTAAATAAAAATTAATTCGCTGAACCGTGGTGCCCGCGTTGTTGCAGGAAGTGCCCACGGGCGAGGCGGTGTTCACCAAGGGCTACTGGTTGTGGGCGCCCTACGTCATTCATACAGTAGGCCCCACCTGGGCCGGAGGCAAAAAGGGTACAAACCGCTGCCATGTCTCGTCTTCATTGACCCTCGTTTTTTTACACGCCACCGGTGGCGCTGCTCTGATCAGGCGAGCCCGAGGAGCTGGTGTCGGCGGTGAAGAGCAGCCTCATCATCGCCGAGAAGAAGAGATGGAACTCCATCGCGATACCGGCCATTAGCTCGGGCATCTTCGGGTAGCGTCCCTTTTCCACCTCACTGAGGGTTGTGTCGGTCTGACCTCCCTCCCTCTCTCTCCTTTCACGCCACCAGCTTCCCCAAGACCCTGTGCGCTGAGCTGATGTTCAAGACGGTCATGGAGTGGTTCGACGTTCGTACTCCCGCTTGTCATATGCGATTGCGTGGATTTGCCAGCCAGACTGACGTCGCTCAACAATTCACTCCACTTACTTCAGGAGAACCCCAAGAGCCGGCTGCGTCTCGTGCGCTTCACCAACTTTGACAAGCCCACCGTTATCGTGTTCCAGAAGCAGTACGAGGTACGGCCACTCGCGTGCACAATCAAACGCGCTCCTGACTGCTGGAGACGTCGTTTCGCTAACGACGACACACGCACACGCGACGGATTGTCTTGGACCGAGAGCAGAAGGTGGTGGGGCCGCTCGACGAAAGCCTGGTGGTGGTCGATGACCCACCGCCGAAGAAGAAGCCGCAGGCCCGCAAGCCGGCCGCCAAGGTCGAAGAGTCGTCCTCTTCCAGTGATGAAGACGAAGAGGAGGAGACCGGGGACAAGGGCAAGGGCAAGGGCAAGAAGCCGCAAAAGAAGGGCGACTCCTCGGACGAAGGCGAAGAAGAAGAGGAGCGAGAGGAACCCGCCAAGAAGAAGAAGGACGACGAAAAGCCGGAGGAGACCGCTGCTGCCGTACCGGCGGCGTCCAAGAAGGAGAGCTCCGGTGGTGAAGAAGACGAGAGTGAGTCGTCGAGCAGCAGCGGTGAGGAAGACGCATAAAGAGAGAAGAGGCCACCACCAATATATTTATAAAAAAACCTGGAAGTGTCAGGCTGCCGATCACACCACTTGCTTGTCGACAGAAAGGCCGCACAGAGGGGAAGACCCACAAAGGCGTTGTTGGGCGCCGCTTCTGGCGTTCTCAATCTTTCCTCCTCTCGCCTCAACTAAAGTAGAACTGGCGTGGGCGGGTGGTTCGCTTGGATTGCTTCGCCATAGACAGAGAGAGGAGAAGTAGCAAATGTTTGGTGTAAAGACGAAGACGGCGGCGGCACCGAAGGAGAATGTCTTCTTCACGCAGGAGATGATGGAGATTTTGGACGAGATTGACCGAACGCGGCATCAGCAGAAGGCTTTGGACGCTGATGTGGAGGCCGCTTGCAAACGCATGATCGATAAGAAATTCGATAATAAGCTGCTGGACGAGCTGGAGAGCCTTGAGAAGCAAGAAGTCGATCTCGAAAACAAGCACATGCGCCTCTGCAGGGACTATCTCACCCTCAAGCAGAAGGTGCTCTTGCACGCACCCCCCCCCGGTGCGTGAGATTAATTACTAATGGCGTGTCTTGCGTCCCTCGTAAAGGTGCGTCGTGAGGTGTTGAAGAAGGAAAAGGACAAACTCGCGGTGCCTGCCATTGTGGTGGATGAGATCCTCGACAGCGCCTCTCTTTCAGTCATTGAGACGCGCGTGTTCGGTACTCTACAACAACCCCCTCTCCCCTTTTCTTTGCAACGTTGCGCTCGCCGTTCCCTTTCATTTACCCACGTCTTGCTGGTCTGCGTTTGGTCGCGTTCCGTTTTCCTGCACCTCCACACACAGGCAAATCTACAAAGTCGTACCTGACCAAGGGCGAAGAGCTCACGCACGATCTCTCGACGTGGGAGTTGGATCCCTCCGAGATCAAGGTCTTCGAGAAGCAGAAGCTGGGCAAGGGCACGTTCGGATCCGTCGTGAAGGGTAAGTGGCTCACCGGTGTCAAGCGCCGCACATGTGGATTGTTGTTGGTTTGCTCCTGATCGTTTGCGTTGCTTACGATCGCACTGCGCTTCAGGCCAGCTGCGCGGTAAGACCGTGGCAGTGAAGACGATCGACGCCAACTGGAAGTCCGATGGCGAAGTCCACACCAAGATTCTCGACGACTTCCGTAACGAGTGTGCTGTCATGACGAAGCTTCTTCATCCCAATGTACGTTGGCTCTGCTTCTTCGAGCAGATGCGAGATGTTACTGGGCGCTTAGGCCGGTACTTGTCGGCAACAGGTACTGCTGTTGATGGGCGTGTGCCTGGAGCCCGAGCAGGGAAAGCTGATCATGGTCACCGAGCTCATGCCCCGCGGATCCGTGTTCGATCTGCTTCACAACAGCGACGGTACAGACTGCCTTTCTCCCCGATCTGGCTTTCGTCTTGGCGCGGCGCCCGTCTAAACAGTTGCGTTGTCTTCCCTTGGCCAGATGAGATTTCGTTCAAGCAGAGGATGCGCTTCGCCCGCGACACTGCCTTGGGCGTGAACTGGCTGCACCTCTCCAATCCTCCCATCTTGTACGTCTTTTCGCTGCTCCATTACTGCTTTGACAACGCTTCTCGCTTCCCAATCAGCACCATCTCACCTGTGTCTGCGCTGCCCAGGCATCTCGATCTCAAGACCCAGAATATCCTGGTGGATGAGAACTGGGTGGCCAAGGTAGCCGACTTTGGTCTTTCGCGCATCAAGAAGAAGGACCAGAAGGGCGCTGTCGGCAGTCCCCTCTACATGGCTCCCGAAGTTTTGGCGGAGCAGCCCTACAGCGAAAAGGCCGATGTGTACAGGTAACGCAGTCACCACCGATCTCCATGCTAGCGCCACCACGTACACAGCTGATTCTCTCTGTGTGCCTTTCTCCTCAGTTTTGGCATCATCTTGTGGGAGCTCCTCACCCAAATGATTCCCTACGAGGACAAGGACTTCGAGACTGTGGCAGGTTTGGTTTCTCGCCTCGCCTCCCCTCCCCTGCTCTTAACAACGCACAGTGGGCTCGTTCCCGAGGGCGAAAGTAACCAGTTTTTATTGATGTGGCCGACAGATGTGTTCCGCTATGTTGTGAAGCAGCAGAAGCGCCCGACCATGCCTGACCACTGCCCGGCGCGACTCGCGAAGCTTATCGGAGCGTGCCTGGAGCATGACCCCCGCAAGCGTCCCTCTTTCAAAACGATCCTCGAGGGCCAAGTGCTTGATGAAAGTACGACCCAGTCTATCATCGTTAGGGCGGTTCAACGATTGGCTGACCGCCTTCTCCGTCCTTATATGTGTAGTCATGCTGGACGCCATCATCAGCGATGCCAACTCACTGGCACGCGAGTTTTGGCTCAAGTCCTTCAAGACCAGGGAGGGCACCATCCGCGACAGCGTACCCTGGAAGGAATTCGCTAAGGTACTGATCAAGTAGTCCAGCCCTCCCACCGTTGTTTCTCTTCCAACCGCGGAGCAACCTCCCCCCCAGACCTTCATCAAGTACTGCAGCATTCAGCTGCCAAAGAAGACCACGTGGAAGGACGCTCTCATAATCAAGGCGCTTCACCTTGTCTTGGGTATGTATTGTTGTTGAGGTATCGTTGCTGGCGGGCATCAAGATGCTGACTGGTCGCCGTTGCTCCTTTTGTGCGTGCAGTCCCCAACGCTGCTGACTCCACCGGAGGCCAGGTTTCGATTGAGGACTTTGGCAATGTGCTCGAGTGGTTCGGGCCTTTCACTCCCGACGAGACCTTCCCCAAGCGGGTTCAAGACATCATTAAGATGAAGTACGGGCTCCCTTTGTCGTGTCTTCTTTGGCACGTGCGTGTGTCTGATGTCGGTCGTCATCGGCCACCTACAGCGGCTTCTACGGTGACATCACGAGTGAGAACGCTGAACGTCAGATGGCGGGCAAGAAGGTGGGCACCTACATCATCCGCTTCAGCTCCAAGCCCGGCTACTACACCGTTACTGCCATGGAGAGCGAGGGTCAGCTCAAACACTACCGGTAACGTTTTTATATTTCTGCTCCCCTCCAGCTGCCCCTCCGCCTCTGAACGCTCACGCCCAAATGTGTTATGACCAACAGAATCAAGCACCGAGCGGGCAGCGGCTTCACGCTGGGCTCGCAGGAGTATCCCACCCTCAAGGAGCTTCTCAAGGCTCGCAAGAAGGACCTCGGCCTCAAGGTATTGTATTCTGCTCCTTTCCCCCCCCCCCATTCATATGTTGGACCTTTCACTCACGCGCGCTTTGTTCTCCATTCCAGCGAGCGCTGATGGGTTCCAAGTACGCGCAACTCTTTGTCGCTCACGACTCGCACATGGACGCCGACTACGCTCGCCTGGCCGACTGAGATGAGACGTGGACATCAGTCGAAATATGTTTTAAATATGTGTTGTGCATGTTACATTGGTCCAAGATGTTGAAGTGGCCTGTCGAGTTTGAACCACGCAACAAAGAGCTTCTGGTTCTACTTCCTGGCCGGTCTGCCTGGCCTTTCCCGCTTTCTCATTCCTTTTCGAGGCAAAAGCGTCCCATAATTTTTGGGCAAAGGCTGGCGGTATACTTGTCGACTATAAGTAGCACCAGGGCATCAGTTTTCTTTCAGTTCTAAACCCACGCTCGACCGGACGCAGGGGCTGCTGCGCTCGATTTGCACCGAGGGAGGTCGAAAATAAGAATAATTAAACAGAAATCGAGAGAGATTAAGAGAGATCGAATAGAGATTTGCAGCGGCACTCACTCGTCAGGGGAGTGTGGAGGAGAGGTCTACGTCGGCAGACAGCGTGATGAAGCGAAATGCCAGCAAAAAGGGGGGTGGCAACCTCGAAGGGCTGCTCATGTTCGGCGATGCGCTACCCCCTGAATTGGTGGCTGGTGCTAAAGCCTTGGGCATGGGCGGAATGGGCTTTGCACAAGGACTGCTCGCAGAGGGCGGCAACGTTGGTGCAGGTACGCCCCCCCCCACAATGGGCGATCCTTTAGTATCAATTCTGACGCCTTCCCTCCGCAAAAGATGATGGTGGAGGAGAGAAGGCGCCTGATGCGATCGATTTTGAGGACATGAGCGACGGCGAGGTGGATGACTTTGAGGAGGATGAGCCCGAAATCAAAAAGGAGAAGGAAGAGGATGCCGAGGAGGTGAGGGCGAAGGCTGCTGAGATGGCGCGAACGCTCAAGTCCAAGCTGGCTGCGGGTGCCGCGAAGAAGGGAGGCGACGACTACGATGACGACTACGACGCCGACTCATCATCGCTGCCTAGCTTCCCCGCTGCCGCCCTGCACGCCAACGGCGCAGCACCAAAACCTTCGACCACCACAATGCCAACTGCTGCTGCCGCAGCGCCACCGTCGGCCGCCACCGTGTTCGCCTCGCCTCTCCCCATCAAGCAAGAGCCACACGTCGATGCCGGCGGGATGGGACTCGACGAGATGGAGAAGGCTCTTTTCAGCGATGAGGACGAGGAGGAGCCCAGCGAGATGGACGAGGACACCAGCAGCCAGCTGTCCCGGGACTCGATGCCGCCACCAGCCGCCGCCGCCGCGGGCCAGATGAATCCTGCCGACTCGGGTCCGGTGCTACCGCCGGCCATCGCGGCCGTGCTGAGCGGCAACGCCATCGTTCTCACGCCGTCGGTGAA